CGCCCAAAAGCCAAGTATAAGACCGGACTTCGGACAACCTGTCTGAACTTAAAACTCTGGAAGATGGGCGAATGGAGGAGGTTGGTGGCGTGAGATAACCCACCTTGTCCGGTCTTCGACCTTGGAGAGGTATCTGCTCTCGAATTATGCGCCCTACGCAGCACCTGTGCACACCTTTCCTAATACGCTCTTTGGAAGTGCCAAGGCTCGAACTTGACAGTTCTACAAAGGTGTCAAGTCAGCGTGCGACAGTAAGGCCGCAACTCACGCTATTGAGAAAAAGAAACGTCAACCGTTTTCAGACTGCCGGATCGGCAACTCCCGTATAGTAGAGCTAACGGAGTTACGGAGGTCTTCGGCAAGGATGATTTCGGGGTCGATGTTGAACTCCTACCGAGTAAGTTCCAATTCCTCATTATTGTATCCGCGTGTTTTGAGCTCATATAATTTCGGGTCGATGGCGCAAATGTCCGGAACGAGGTAACGAAGATAGGCTGGCTCAACTCGTGGGCGTGGCGGCGGCTGTGGCGGCGGCGTCGCAGCCTGCTTCGTTAGACCTGATTCCTGAATCACAATGACATGTGCATGCTTTGCGAAGCAAGAGAGCCATTGACTCGCGCGTTATGCCGAGTCGGGATCTTGGGAAAAGCCCAGGAGATCTGCCAATAAATTGGCGTACAGCCATCCTTGGCAAGCGATATGTATAGATAAGAACAGCCCCAACAGTGGCCCAGAATGATGCGTTCAGGATGCGCGGCAGGTGTAATAACTGATCGTGAAGAACGCTTATAGAAACAAGCTGATTAGGCGACAGCATTTTCCTTCATCTTCCCTGCGTGTCGCAGAGATTGTGGGGGGGGGGAAAATGAAGAACAACAACAATGGTCACTCCTCATGCAATCACAGGCAATACGCCAAGACTTGGCTCAAACCAAATCCTCTTCAGCTGTGCATGATATTTGGCCGGATTATTTTTTATTTCGCCGACCAAGGTGCTTCGTTTGGTAGGTCGAACCTTGAAGTTGATGCCTTGTGTTTACTGTTCGAGGGGCCATCGGGAGTCGAGAACGCCTGCCAGATTCCGTTTGTATTTGCCCTCTTGATCTGGAAATACGCCCAGGTCTAAGGGTGACTTCGACGCCGCCCATTGTGTTGAATCTTAGACTTTCACCAGGCACCTGGATGTCCCCTTTTCCGATCCTTATCGCGGATGTCCGGCGCCCAGGCGCCAGGATCATAGCCACAAAGCTTGGCAGTGGAGCTTCCGGCCGATGATGTGCTGTCGATCGCCGTCTTGGCCGGCCCTGGAACGGGACTGAACGGGACCAGCAGGTGTCCGGCATGCGTTTTAACGCCTTTGCCAGGGGGCCGGGCATATGGCGCTGGTCGGCAATATTATTCGATCGGGACGAAACCTTGAAGTTAACTTTCTCAACCCATGCGTTGGCCAGTCACATCAAAGCACCTTGGCAGCAGCTTGCACCTGTGATTTGTATGAGTGTAAGTTTTGCAAAGATGAACCTCACAGGCTCACATCAAGCTCGGTGGAGCACTCCTTGGAAGTCTTCAGACGGGAGCTACTCTAGACCATCACCAGGGTCATGGGCCCAGAGCCCAGAGCTTCGGTGCCCAGCGAATTGCTGCCCTAATCAGCCACTGATTCTGGATATGAAGACGAGATTGCGTGTTGATTGGCAAGTGGAGGCCAAGACACCCACTTTCAAATGTCGATACTGAGCATAAGTCGATAGAACCCGCGGCCTACGGTCCCCTAGCCGCACTGCTTGGCAAGCAGGCAGCATTGTAACAAAAATATCAGCCATCTTCATTGCACATTGCAGAGGGCCCACCGTCCAAGAGTTACTCCGACTCAACTCATAATGAACGGTGTTAGGAGGCAGGAGAGTAACTCCGAAGGAACCTCACTCAAAGGCTGCCCTGAAGGTCGAGAACACGGGCGAAGAGGCGAAAAGCTAGAACATGCAAATTATCCATAAGGATGTGGAAGGTCTGTAAGCCAATGAGCAAGATCAGGATTGTGATGATTCTCGATGTGGGACGTTGAAGTTGCAAAGAATGTCGGACCATCTAAGGTGAAGAGACCGACAGAGGCCAGTAACGAGGAAGGCTCGAGCCATGTGACTCCTCACGTTGCCTTCAGCAACTCCCAGCTTCAAATTTCGACTCCTCTCGAGCTGTCCCGCTCCCCCATGTCTTGCAAGCCTCCTCCGACTCTTGTTGCATCGGGCCGAAGCAGCTAAAACGAACCAGCCGAGACTCCGATCTGTCTGGCCAATTTCTTGAGGGTTAAAATCTAAACGAACCACCCCTGTCGGGCCCAGATCCACTTTCCTGGCGCTGCCTTTGCATCTTTTAACCAACCGCAGGACTGCGTGTATGGTATTGCCATCTCGACTTTGCTGAGCCTTTGTGGTGGAACAACAGCACGATAACAGTCTTTACATTGCATACATCAACCCAGCCTCAAACACCCGATGGATGGGGCGAGATCCTACCACAACGGTCCACGTCTATGGAGTACACCCAGTATACACAGCACGATGGCATCACAGCTTGCTCACTGAAGACAAATGGTGCAGATCCTTGCTCCACTCCTCCTTATAGGCATCAGAATTAGCCACACACTTCGACAAGTGCCACCATCAACTGCAGAACCCTGTGGGCTTGTCTTCCGCTGTGTTATGTTGGAAGTATCAGTTAATATCATTCAGTTCTGGCGTGCGTCATCTCCGGTCGATATGTGATGGAGGCTCGAGCTCTTTTCTGGACCCGCGGCTACTACAGTCTTGGTTGGACCCGACTATCGAAGATTAGCAGCCGCAAAGACACGGCGGCCCAAGGACCAATGCCCTGTGATGACCCGATATGCAGACGATTGAGCATAATGATTACTCTTAGTGGGTTTTGCCCAGACCCGATGGTTTCTTTGGTTTGATCGACGCGCTTGTCCTGGCAACTCATGTACATTGTTGGTCCGCTTGCGCCTTTACATTTCAAATTATGAGCCTTTTACCCCTTTGAGTTATTCTGGATTGCGTACTACTCCCTTCTTTCTAACCTTCTCGACCCTGCGCCCCCGCGTGCCTACGTTGGCCTTGCTTCCATCTTCCTCTTCCTCAAATCTGGAATCCGCGACATAAATGCTCTTCACTCCTACACGTCTCTCGCTACTGTCTCTCATTATTATACAGCATTTCCTTTCTTATCATAAATATCTTGTGCTTTCTTCAATAAATCTCCAGCCTGTCTTTTAGCTACCCCTGTCAATGCTCCACAGCCTTCATCGATTTCAGCCATAATGTTCGACAACACACCTTACCCAGAGTCCCCCAGGTCTGAGACGACCACACTTGAGATGGAGTTGAAGAAGCCTACTAACTTCAGCATCCGCGAGAGGCTACGGCACTTTACATGGGCATGGTACACTCTGACCATGAGCACTGGAGGGCTAGCTCTCCTCATTGGGAACCAGCCCAACAGATTCAAGGGGGTAGACCAAATCGGCATGGCAGTATACATCGTCGACCTTATCCTCTTCGCCTTCGTTTGCTCTCTTATGTCCCTGAGATTCATCCTCCACGGGGGGCTCCTCGACTCCCTCCGCCATGAGAGAGAGGGTCTCTTCTTTCCGACCTTCTGGCTCTCCATCGCAACCATCATCTCCGGCCTATATCGCTACTTTGGCGAAGATGCTGCGGACTCATTTGCGATAGCCCTTGAGGTCCTCTTCTGGGTCTACTGTGCCTGCACCCTCACTCTCGCGGTTGTCCAATACTACTTCCTCTTCTCCTCCCACTCATACAACCTCCAGACTATGATGCCATCCTGGATCCTTCCAATCTTCCCCGTCATGCTCAGCGGCACCATCGCCTCCGTCATTGCCGAGCAACAACCTGCCCGTTCCGCCGTCCCCATAGTCTGCGCTGGTATCACATTCCAAGGTCTCGGGTTCTCGATCAGCTTTATCATGTACTCGCACTATATCGGCCGACTTATGCAATCGGGCCTTCCATGCCGCGAACACAGACCGGGTATGTTTATTTGTGTTGGGCCTCCGGCATTCACAGCGCTTGCCCTCGTCGGCATGACCGCCGGTCTTCCCGAAGAATTCAAGATCCTAGAGGACCAGTACGCCATCGAGGACGCCCGCATCATGACCCTCTTTGCCGTAAGCTGCGCGGCATTCCTCTGGGGTCTTAGTTTGTGGTTCTTCTGCGTCGCGGCCATTGCTGTCATCAAGTCGCCACCCACTTCCTTTCATCTCAGCTGGTGGGCTATGGTCTTCCCCAACACCGGGTTCACACTCGCGACCATTACTCTAGGGAACTGGCTCAACAGCCCCGGAATCAAAGGCGTCGCTAGCGCAATGTCCGTGTGTATTGTCTGCATGTTCATCTTTGTTTTCGTGAGCCACATTCGGGCCGTTATCCGACAGGACATCATGTACCCGGGCAGGGACGAGGATGTTTCCGACTAAACAACTCATTATCAAGCTCATCTCTGAGATTGTTCTACTTTCGCTACCACGACTTTCGATTCACCACATACACTGTTTATTCGACGCTTGCTTTTGATCTCTGATTCACAGTACCTTCTTACTTCCTTCTCCACAACCCCTTGCATTCGATTCTCATCACTTGCATCGAATTCGTCACCTTCTTGATTCTGCTTCCATTCTTTTTTTTCTTTCCCTTTCTCATTTCCCCACCATCTGTCAGAATCGTCAATTGACCTAATTTGCTTTGCTGTAGCACTTTTCGGCGTTAAAAAAAGGTTGCGTTGCACATCATGTCCTCTCGGGATGGTCCCGGGATTCCTAGAATGCGATGATCGGCGTTGGGGATTTGCATGCTTATTGTTTCAGCAGCTCTGTGTTGCGCCTGCGTTGCATTGTTTGGATTGTCGATTCGCCTCCGTGGTGATTACTTGCTTGTTTGCTTGTTTACTTCGGAAACCCAGTATAGAAGGTATAGAATCATAGAATGGACATAGAATACCTTAGAAGAATAACAAGACAAAAGAAAGAAAGAAGAACGAAAAAAAAAAACCAGAAAAACAGAAAATGAAACAAAAAGGGACTTCAAATCCCCTTTTTTCAATTTCCGTCGTTGGAGCAGAATAAACTAGGGCTGCGGTTGGGCTCCGTAGTTCTACTAGTTTCAGGGCGGGAGTGGGGGAGGCGTACGTGTCGTCGGCTGAAACCATTGGCGCCACTCAACTTTGTTTTGCGAGCTTATCTTTGCGTATGTTTCAGGGATGACACTTGGTGATTACGAAGTGTGCTTCGAGACTCCCTACTATCTGCATTGATATACTCCGTGGGCCCTTCGGCTGTCGCTCCCTACCCCGTACTTTTGACTATGGCTTGGCGCAGAGGTCGCTCGCTTTTAGGGTAAGTATGCCGACATCGCCATAAAGGTCTAGAATCGTACGGTACTCTAGCACACTATTCGAAAAAGGATGTCATTGCGTGTATCTACAAGGCCAAGGAGCACATTAACGAGAACAAGCAACAATGACATTGACGCCAAACATGCATACATGAAACCGGCCTGCCTCACTCACTCTAATTCTTGGGTATACAAGACCGACTTCTAGTATTCAGAAAACAGCCAGCTCCGTACATACTTTGGACCCGCTTTCCCTCGATATATCTTCGTCTCCTTCCCCACAAAGTGATCTATTTACACGAGGGCGATCCAATGCGTAAATGTGCTATAAGTAAATGTCCTTGTAAGTAAAACTGTTCCGTAGGACTAGAAGATCACTTACCATGGAGGGTAATGTCATTTGCTTCACTGCAGATGGCCTTGTTTTTTTCTTTAGCCAGCCTTTGGACGCAAACGTCAGTGACGGAGTATGAAACTTGCGAGAAGAAAGTACTCACAAGCTCTGTCACTTACTGGGCTTGCCATCGGGCAGCTACTGTGTGGCGTGACATTTAATCTGGTTTGATACAGGACATGATGCACAGTGCTTTGTGATCTGCCCGACAAGGTCAGCAAGCCGAAGAAGGTCACGTAAGGGTGAGAAGTAGGAACGGAATATCTGACTTGTTTTCTATGCTATCAGAGCGAGGCCGGCGGTGCGGACTGATTGATTTTAGTCAGCCTATGTATCGTTAATTATCTGATGAGACGGGACGCTAGATTGGTGCACATACAAGCTCTGTCACTTACTGGGCTGGTCCGCGGAACCAGGCAAAAGGAGGGAAAAAAAAGGAGATATGGTCGTATGCGTGCATGCATGTATTTGTATGTACATATGGGCTTCAAGGATATCTAAAAGGTCAGCTAGTTAGAAAAGGTTAATGAACAGAATATCTTACTTGGTGTCTGTGCTACCATAGCAAGGCCGGCGGTGCGGACGAATTGTTTTTAGCCAGCCTATGTACTGTCAGTTGTGTAGCAAGGTGAGAAGTCAAGCCAATTAACTTACAAGTTCTGTCACTTACTGGGCTGGTCCGCGGGGCCAGGCAAGGAGGGACTTGATGTACGTGTTCGAATCTATCTGGGAGGCCAGTAAATGAAGAAGGTCAAGTCAGCAATGTCATGGGATATCTTACCTGGTGCCTGTGCTATGCTGGCTAGGCTGGCGGTGCGGAGGGATGTTTTTTAGCCAGCCTGTAAATAGTCAGCCGTATAACGAGCTGGAGAGTCAAGTGATTTGCATGCAAGCTCTGTCACTTACTGGACTGCTCCGCTGAGCCATGCAAGGAGGGGAAGAGAGCCGAGGAGATTTATGTATGTATGCATGTTGTTCGAAGCTAGCCACCAGGTTAGTCAATCGAAGAAGGTCAAGTCAGATAAAGCGGGAGGTCTGACCTGCTGCTGATGCTATCTAGCAAGGCCGGCGGTGCAGACGGATTGTTTTTAGCCAGCCTGTGCATTGTTAGCTACGTAGCGTACCAAGGTGGAATGTCAGGGTACTTCACATACAAGCTCTGTCACTTACTGGGCGGGTCCGCGGAGCCTGGCAAGGAGGGATGAGTCGATTTTATGTATGAATGCATGTCGCCCGAAGCTATCTAGTTGAGTAAACTGAAGAAGGACAAGAATCGGGTGGGCTGCTCAACTTGTTGTAGGTGCCATCGTCGCTAGGCCGGCGATGCAGACGGACTGTTTTTAGCCAGCCTATCATAATTAGTACACCACAGGATGCAGACTACCGCGGGGAGTTGGTTCACATACAAGCTCTGTCACTTACTGGGCTGGTCTGCGGAGCCTGGCAAGGAGGGGAGAAGCCGATTGTATGTATAAATGAATGCCGTTCGAAGCTATCTATCTGGTCAGTAAATTGAACAAGGTCAATAATGGAACGGAACATCTAACCTGTTGGATGCGATAACGTAGCTAGGCCGGCGGTGCGGACTGATTGTTCTTAGCCAGCCTGTGAAGAGTTAGTAAACATACAATAGAAACTAGATGGAGTTCTGGTTGACGTACAAGCTCTGTCACTTACTTGGCTGGTCCGCGGAGCTCAGGCAAGGAGGGAAGGAAGATGCGTATATGTATGTTTGTCAATTGTAGCTATCTAATCGGGTCAATCAGTCGACGAAGGTCAAGTCAAGAATCGGATGGGATGATGTCTAACTTGACGTATAGACTATCTTGCTAGGCCGGCGGTGCAGACAGATTGTTTTTAGCCAGCCTATGCGTCGTCAGTACACCATACAGTAGAAGAGAAACGGCGTAGTTAGTTCACTTACAAGCTCTGTCACTTACTGGGCTGGTCTGCGGAGCTCAGGCAAGGAGGAAGATAGAGTAGTTGTTCGAAACCATCTATCGAAGCCAAGCGGACAATTTTCTTTAGCCAGCCTGTGCCATGTCAGCATTGAACAGATTGAAAACCCGAGTCGGATACTTACAAGCTCTGTCACTTACTGGGCCAGCCCGCAAAGCCAGGCGAAGAGGAAGAAAAGGAGGACGAGAAGAGGACGACGATGAGGTAGACAAGCGGACGGTTGGTTTTAGCCGATCTGTACACCGTTAAAAACGCAGCTGAACGAAGCACCGTGTTTGCTATCACTCACAGGCTCTGACACTTGCTGGGCGTGCCGTAGTGCCAGGCGAGGAAGAGGGGGAAGCAGAAGAAGCAGAAGAAGCAGAAGAAGCAGAAGAAGCAGAAGAAGCAGAAGAAGCAGAAGAAGCAGAAGAAGCAGAAGAAGCAGAAGAAGCAGAAGAAGCAGAAGAAGCAGAAGAAGCAGAAGAAGCAGAAGAAGCAGAAGAAGCAGAAGAAGCAGAAGAAGCAGAAGAAGCAGAAGAAGCAGAAGAAGCAGAAGAAGCAGAAGAAGCAGAAGAAGCAGAAGAAGCAGAAGAAGCAGAAGAAGCAGAAGAAGCAGAAGAGGTAGGCAGGCGATTGGACGATTTTTTTTAGCCAGCCTGCGGATTGTTAGAATCTAGCAGCATGAAGCAGTTCGACTGACACCACTTACAAGCTCTGTCACTTACTGGGCCTGTCCAATCTGATGTTGCGAACGAGTTTTTTTAGCCAGCCTGGAGAACCGTTAGTAGAGGAAGATGGCAATTGGAAGGAGAGTGCAACTCACAAGCTCTGTCACTTACTGGGCCTGTTCGCAACTGCCAGGAAGTGGGAGGAAGAGGAGTGCTACGATGCTACACTACGATGGACAGGAGGATGTAAAGAGGAGAGAAGGACGGAGGACGGAGCTGGGGGGTGAGCTTGGTTATATAGGCGAGAAGTGCAATGACGTGCGCAAAGTCCTAGGTATAAGATTCAAACGTACCATGTTTCCAAAGACTCATCCCTTGATGTCGCGATATGGAGTTATGGTGTTGTTTGTCATTGCAGCCTAGTCCGCCCGAGGGAGGCTGGGAGAGTCAACACCTGCCCAAAATGAGAACCAAAAAGGCAAATGAGCAAGTAATGGACACAGTTATTGTAGACAATATCAAAGCGAAAACAATTCACTCTTTACCCATCTTCCCTGCCAAAAAAGTCTTGAATTGCTGGTCAAATAGATACCAGCAGACGGAGTAGACGAGCTCGGGACTCGGAGTCTAGCCCTACTTTGTTGCCCTCTACCAACTCTAAGTGGTCAGGAAGTGGCGATAAGCATTAAGTTAAGGTTAAGCAAGGAGGGTTTCTGCCTTCCAAGGGATGGGCGGGCCAATCAAAGTCTCAGAGTCCGCGCGGAAGTGACGTCACACATCGTGAACTCGGCCGGTACCTAGGTAGGCCTCAAACTGTCCTAAACGGGAAGTCGCCACCCCCTTCCCGGCCCTTCAGCTTTAACGCCGACACGATGGTGCGATATAGCGCAATTTCACCCCTTGATTCGCGCTGATTATTCTACGGTAGACGCCTGTCAACATGACGTTAGTTGTTTCGGCTCTCCTCTATATATATTGTCTTCGCGCCCGCCTTTTCCTTACGCACTCTCTGCTTCCCTCTACATGCTCTCTATGCATAGTAGCCTTTCTCTGCTTCTCCCCATGCTTGTAGACATCTCTGCTCAGCAACGTGAGCAGGCCCAGTAAGTGACAGAGCTTGTGAGTATCTTCCTTCGACTTTTTCTGCAATCAGCGACTAACCGAGCTCAACAGGCTGGCTAAAAAAAAATCCGCTCACACCGGGGACAGCGTCTCTAGGGACATGTTCATGTGCGTGTTGCTGCTTTGTCCTGGGGATGAGATGAGACGGAGGCTAATCATGCATATAGGGACTTGAAAACCCAACTTGTCCGCTTTATATATGGCATGGCTTCCCTCTCTTTTGTCTCTTCTTTCTCTTCCTCCTCCTCTTCGACGTGAGTCAGTCCAGTGAAGTGACTGAGCTAGTAAGTGTTCTGCCCCGTTTCATGAAGAGAGGGTGCTTGCCTGTGGCATACTAGGCTGGCTAAAAACAAACCACCTCACGTTCGATGGTGGCTCCCTATGGGACATGCTTCTGTGAGTGTTCTCCTTGTTGACGGTGCTCGATGTGAGTATTGACTTGGATAATAGGATGAGGATAACCCAACTCATCACTACGCCACTCCCCTCCAAGCATGCGTCCGCCTCGCAAGCCTGCCCAGTGAAGTGACAGTGCTTTGTGAGTTGACACGATCATATGAGGATATGACAGACAGGGTGCTGACATGACTATAGGCTGGCTAAAAACAATCTGCTTGCACTGCGGACCGGCTCCCAACGGGACCTCGATATGTGGGTGCTTCTCTTCGGATGGATGTGAGTGCGGACTGACTTGAACTTAGGGAAAAAAAAAATTTCCCTTCTTCTTGTCTACTGTCATCTTCCTCTGCTTCTTCTTTTCTCTCTTTCCTCGCAATGTGGGCCAGCCCAGTAAGTGACAGAGCTTGTGAGTATCTTCTTTCGCTTCTTGGGATGATGAGATACTGACAAGGTGAATAGGCTGGCTAAAAAAAAATTGCCCATGTTGCAGGTCGGTGTGTCCGGGTGAACAAAAAAAAACAAAGTAAGTCTCGAGAGAAACTTGACTTGTGGATAGAGACTAATATGGATTACAGCGAGTTGGACTGTGTGGATTGAGGGTTATGATGGAGGATTGGAAACATCGCTCCCTTGACATCGTCCTTTGATTCACCATCTTGTATATATTGTCAATGGGTGATAGGGGATTGTTTGTGTGTTTAATGGGGTATGACATGTTACGGTGGCATGGAAGGATACGGAAGAATGAAGTGGATGAGAAAAGATTTTGAGTTGTATGCGTCAGGATGCAAGAAGCTCCTCATTGATGTTTCATGTAAGTAGTCTAAGGCCAAGCACGTTTGGGTATCACATAATGTAGCAACATGGAAACCAGTAAATAACGCCATGATCCGCACATGGGGAAGACTCGGAGAGTCGTCGCCGGGACACGCCCGTATAGAACCATCACTCTAGATAAACCGCGCTTAGCGGAGGTCACCCGGGGAGCAGAGGCGACCTAAGCAGTCATGGCTTGCTGGACCAGCGGGTTACGGCCTAGCGGCACTCGCAGGATCAGAACTGGGCGAGCTGAGCGTCTTCAGCGGATATGGGAATTGTTGACAAGGAGGATCCGGCTGCGCGGAACGATCCGTGTCCCCGTGCGAACTTTCGGGGTTTGACCGTGCGGCAGACGCTGGATGAAAGCTTCGGTATCGTGACCACGTGTTTGTCAATGAATGAAACATCGCAGCAAGGACCGAGCGACGGCCGCAGCGTGCAGTTGATTCGAGTCGGCGGAAAAATCAAGCTACCTTACGTCCGACGTTGCCAATACCGCGCCCAACAACGCTGACGATGATATCTCCAGTCTTTTCCTCACCAGAAGAGGCCTCTCTGAGACCCCAGCCCGGCGCGCCGAACTTGACCAAGTCTCTCGCCAGCTGGATGGCGCTTTCGTCACCGACGACATCACGGCCGACTTGGAGACGCCCAACATCCTCGGAGCCCATGGTCATCAATCCGACCATGATGGGGAAGGCCGCGGAAGGGACACAGCCACCCTTAGAGATCGTCTCGAGCAGCTGATACGCGCACTGCTTTCCAATATCCTCGGGCGGCTGACCACCGCTGGGCGGCGAAGCCACGTCGGCGGAGAACAGGCAGCCGGTTGAGGACTCTGCGACTAGCGACAGACCAAAGCCGAGACCGATCTTCTTCTTCGCCGACGGGTTATTCCTATCGTTGGCCGGGACAAGTGGAGCGGATGAGACATCCGAGAAGACGTACGTATCCGGGACGAGCGGATTAAGGACGCCGCGGGCGACATCGATCATTCGGGCATTGTTTGACGCAGAGACACCGACGGAATAAGCGACACCGCGGATGCGCTTGATCTTTCCAGCGTTCATGAGATGTAGTGTTTTGGGAAGGCGGACCTGGTGACCAAAGACGAACTGGACTTCACCACCTCCTCCTCGCCCGTTGGGGCCGGGGTTAGATCGTTTCAGCACACGCAGCTCAATGTTGTTGAAGATGCCAAATTGGTTGAAGAGCGGCAGGATCGCGGTGCGGACACTGTCGACGGACATGTCGCCCGTGGGTGTCGAGGATGTAATCACACCGGGACCGGTGAAGAGGACCTTGATAGGCGCCTTGGAGAACGGTGCCATGAGGCAGAGAGGGAGGAGGAAGTAGCTCACGCCGCGGGTGCATCCAGCAGGGATCTCATGCCTGATCACACCGCCGCTGCTTGATCCAGCGCCAGCAGAGCTTCCTGTGATAAGACCGGGCTTGTATACGAGGATCGTACCAGTGTACGAGATTTCCATTTGCGAGCCATTGGTGACGGATTCGAGAAGACGTAGAAAGGAAATTTCATGCGGTGCCAGACCCGGATTTGTAGGCGAAGACGGACGAATCTGCGAGATGTGGACTGTTCGGCCGGTCAAGGTCGAGAAGACGAGGCGGTAGACAAAATTCTTGTGGGAGGTCAGCCGAATGGGAGGCTGGGAAGTTGTAGCCATGGCTGCTGAATTATAACGAACAATGGTCCGACTGCGTTGATCTCATGTGTCGCAGCTTGTTAGTCGATACTGCCAAAAATTCGAGGACCAAGAAAATCTTCCGGAGCGGTATATTTTCCGTTCCGTGCCGGACTTAAGATCAGACTATCTCCGGCTTGTTGTATGATTCATGAGACACTGAGAAAGATTATCCAACAAACAATTGCGCTTCAAGAAAAAGGAAATATCAAGCCCGCCATATATTTGGCACTACTGACACAATGCTTCCCCCGGCCTTGAACATCCCCAAATGGTACCTCACTTCACTCATCTACATTTTGACGCATCTCGCACTTCGAACTACCCCTCCCCCGCCCTTCCTACCAAATATACTAACAATAGCGCAGGCTCGAAGCCAACTCTCACCTCCTTCAACCTCCCGTAAACAACTACTGCGTCTACCATCCGTCTTCCCCCGCAACCTCCGGCTACACAGTAATGATAGTCGGCGGCCCCAACGCCCGCACCGACTACCACATCAACACAACCCCCGAGTTCTTCTATCAGTACCAGGGCTCGATGCTCCTCAAGACCGTCGACACCTCCGTCACCCCGCACGTCTTCCAGGATATCCCCATTCACGAGGGGTCGCTGTTCCTCCTCCCCGCCAACACGCCGCATTCGCCCGTGCGGTTCAAGGACACGGTGGGGGTGGTGTTTGAGCAGCCGAGGCCGGCGGGGGCGGTGGATACGATGCGGTGGTACTGTAAGGGGTGCGGGGAGGTGGTGTGGGAGAAGAGGTTTGTATGTACAGATTTGGGGACGCAGGTGAAGGAGGTTGTGGAGGAATTTGCGGGAGATGAGGAAAAGAGGACGTGTAAGGCTTGCGGGACAGTTGCGGAGTCGAAGTATAAGGAGGGGGAGATTGTTCAGCCGCCGAGGTTTCCCGAGTAGACGATGGTTATTTAGATGCACGAAGTATGATGAATGAGATGTATTTTAGTGGATTGGGCCTTATCATAATGTTTCGTACCTTGTTTGTTGCATACCTAAACGCACGGACTGAGATATTGGACTTGTATTATTCAAATTATGGTGCACGATGGCTGGTAGTAAGATAAGGTGGCCATGTCAGGCTTTAAGAAGTGTGGGAAGAATGAGATGAATACCTGAGGGAAGCAGCCCGTGGTAAACGAGATCGACGAAGACAGACAATGAGACAAGTGAAAAAAGAGATGAGTATTAACACAAAACATCCATAAAGTGGAACCCGAGTGCAGCGCAAACTTGCTTCATCTGGTATCTGGAAATGACAAGCCAAAAGCAAACCATATAATAGAACAAGGGTATGGGTAGAGTCATTCGAGCCAACTAGTGAATGGAGAAAGCAGCGTGCACATGGCACGATTATAAGACGTATAAAAAACAATAATGAGCCCACTAAAGCCGGTTTGGAGGGTAGCCATGTCGTGTCACAGATGCGGAAATGTCATTAAGGACCATATCACTGTGTCTCATCATCGAGGTCCCAGTCAAGCCGTTGATTAGTCGTCAAACGGGCAGTCAATGCTCTCGTGACCGTCTCGCTCACAGAGGGCACACCACTTCGCCTCGTCAATCACACCGCTGGTCTTGCCTGCGACTGGCGCCATAGAAGATGTCAAGCCAACTCCGCGAAGACCTTCGAGGACAACATCACGACCAGTCTTCTGAGGCGTAGTATTTTGGATTGGAGATGGTGATTCATTCGGGGCAGCGGGCTTAGGAGTAGAGTGGTGGTCGTCCGCAAAGTCGTTGTGCGTAGGCTCCTTCGATTCGCTAGGGGCATTCTTACTCTCCGCGCCAAACATATTGGTGCAGCTTAGGATGTCATGGCCGCCGGTTTCGCAAATCTCACACCAAAGAGAACCGCCATCCTCTGAGCGCCCATCCGATTCGTGCATTGTCTCTAAGCGATGGTGGGAAGAGTCCGAGGCACCACGGCGGTGGGAAGAGTACCCTGGGTAAAGGCCATCCTGCTGGGGCTCGTCCTGCCAATCACTCGGCACCACGGTCCGATCGGAGAGACGATGAGCATGATTAACGGTATGTCCGTTGCTGATCTTCCCGGTCGAGTTGGAGGATTTATGCTGGGCATTAGACTGTGTGATGGTCGAGCTGCGATTCCGACTCCCGCCGTTTACCTGCAGTTGCTGCAGCTCGCGCTCGAGTTCCTCAATGCGGTAGGTCTTGCGCTCGCTGAGTCGCTCAAACTCCTGGACGCGCTGTTCCAGATCAGCCACATGGTCGGCATTGTAATCCGCACGGGCCCCGAAACCGTTCTGTTGCAGCGCATGCAGGTCAGGGTCACCCCTGCTCAGGGAATGGATGATCGCCTTCAATCCACGGATTTCATCGTCCTTCTGTTCGAGTTCCCTCAAATGCGACTGGGCATCTGGACTCAGGCTCTCCCTAGGCACGCCGGAGTTTTCTCGTTCCTTATTCAGCTCCAGTTTCGTCCGCTCGACCTCCCCTCGCAGGAACTCAACTTCAGCCCTGGCCTCGGCTTCCCCGCGGCGTGCGTCCTCCAGGCCCTCCTCAAGTTCCGAAACTAATTCCTCCAGCTGTTTGAGTTGTCTTGCCACCGCCTCAACATCCTCACCACGGTCCTGTAATTCCTTGTTCTGCTGCATGAGCTCGTCAATCCTTTGCTCGTAGACTCGTTCGGTTTCTGATGCTGCCACTTCCAGAGTGTCGAGAGTGCTCCTGAAGTCGGCACGGTGCATGTCAAACTCCATCGTCAACTGGGCAATGCGGTCATTCTTCTCCCGTAGCTGTGCACGGATCGACATTGCGTCTTCCCCCTCTAGTTCCTCCATTGTTCGCTGAAAGTCAGCTAGCGTGTTAGCCTGCTCCTCCAGCTGTTTATCCCGATCTAGCAACTGTTTTTCTAGGCTTTTAACCTGATCTCTCAAGTCCGAAATCTCCGCCCCCATCGAGTTGCGACCGAAATCTGAAGTCCTGGAGGATATGTCATCTTCAACGCTGAACCGAGAGGGCGGCCGATCCGAAGCACGAGATGGAGCTTTGACGGGGCTCCGGGCGTACCCGTTGGAGCTGGGCGCCTTCGAGGCGGTCGAAGGAGTTCGCAGTCCTGACAGACTTAGCTTTGGCGGCGCTGTGACTCGTGGAGATTCCGGTCGGGGAAGGGAGGGGCGTCGCATTCGCGGTGGGCGGGATATGGAGGGAGGGCCCACGGATTTGCTAAAGTTGATAGGACGCGATGGGGTTGGAGGGGCATTGGAAGCGGAACGCCTGGTAACGTATTTGTTATTGTTGATGGGGACAAAGATGCCCGAGCCCGGTGTAGAGGTCGTAAAGTATTTCCTGCCATCAACATCACCGCTGTTCTTCCCCCGTTTGGCGTGCTCTTGGGCGAGCTCGATACCCGCGAATCTGCCCGGCTTTCCAGCAACAACGCCCAGAAATTTGACGGTGCCGTACATCCCCCCAGGGACGTTCACGACGTCGCCGACCTGAACTTCGTCCAGGGCCGCCATCGCGAGTCGCAGTGCAGGAAACCTAAGCTGTAAAAATGTCCAATATGCCGGGAGGGGTAGGGGCGAAGAGTTGAATGAAGAAGGAACGGGAGGGGGGTCGAAGGAAAAGAAAGCGTTCGAAAGGAGAGGAAAAGAAAAGGGATGGCAAAGAAAGTGGAGGCAGCACAAGTGACTGATCAACGACGAGTCATCCTGGAGCTGAATGGCTGAAGACTAGACAACCAGGACAGACCGAAGAATTTGCGCGCTTCAATGCCCAACAGGACGTGTAAACAAAGGCGGATGCATGAGCTGAGAAGGAGGCAAAAAAAAAGCAGGGGACTGAAACTCGAGGAAGGCCGACAGGGACCGGATCCAATGGTGATTGGGATCGCAGTGTCGTCATGTACAGGCGCGCTAGGGACTTAACTAGAGCGGGCTAACAAGGGCTTTAAGGGGAGGCCATTGGCTACTGATATTTTTCTTGTCTTGATGCTTTTCATGCTTCGTTCTCATGAGTTCTGATCAACACACGAACCATGGTTACTTCCACCTCGTTTCCCCCCGCAGTCGGGGGCCTATCAGGCTGTCGGACTCTCAAGCATGACTCGAAGAACGCCGGCTACAGAGTATGACTAGATTATCTACTTGATACTATGATGTTCTCACTCCTCTCGCCTTATCAGGCTCTAGAACCACGGCCCAACCGAGACTGCTCCGTACAACATATAGAATGCAGACTAGCCAAGCTTGTAATCGACATGATCTGCTTGAATATCCTTTACTGCCGGTCGCACAAGGAGCGCCTTTCCCTCATTTGCCGGCCCTGGTACGACCTACTTGGAGAAGCCAATGGTCGAACGGTCTTCAAGTGGTAGTTCGCACTGCGTGAGTGTGATTGAGGCGTGCATTGATCATCCTCCAGTCAGGAATAAAATCCTGAAGAAATCTTGGACAAAGCAGGTGGAAGCGGGTAGACGGTCCACTAAAGACAAGGAACAAGCGATTGCCTTGTGGATGCAGCCCGTGTTATTACCATTGCTCCGATTCTGAAAGCTGGTCAAGGCGCATGCAAATAATGGTCTTCTGGTCAATCTGTCATATGTGCCTTGAATGTGGGGAGCTGTTCCACTATCATGGAAGCCGGTCCGGGGCACTCTGTAGGGTTCTCATTTCTCGGTATAAAAGCAGTGTCAGGATAGATGGATTTTCGTGGATACTCCGTAGATTGGTCACGTCTCTGTTGGGAAGAAATTGGGAGTAGACAGTCGAACTGCAGTAGTCTGGCAGTCAAACTTGGCTAAGAGCTTCCGGCCACCTGTTGTCAGCTCCGCCTCCTCTCCTCTCCGCCTTTCCTTCCGCCCATCCCGTCGCTGGAGTCCACGAGCTTCAAGTGGAGCCTAGTCTGGACAAACATACCGTCTTCATCGCAGCTGATAGCTCAAGACAACCCATTCATCACAATCAATTGATCATCGCCGGACGAGACTGTGAGCTTCTACGCCGCTCTTCAACATGGCGCAATACTTCTTCGACCTCCTTTACAACTTTACGGACTGCATGTGCTGCTTCCCCAGCTCTCCGCAGCTGAAAATCAATAATCGCAGTTTCAAGATGCTCCGGTTACTCGGTGAGGTGCGAGCTTGTCATTACCTCGAGAGTTTGTTCCCCTGAACTTAGCTTACATTTGACTTTCATAAATAGGGAGGCTTTTCCTACGTATACCTCGTCCAAGACAAATCAACATCAGAGCTGTTCGCCCTCAAGAAGATCCAATGTCCGTTCGGCCAAGAATCAGTATCACAGGCGTTGAAGGAGGTTGAAGCGTATAATCTGTTTACATCTGAACCACACGTAATCCATTCGATCGACCACTGCGTCTCAACAGAACCAGGCTCCAAGTTTCGCAACGATGGCGGAGAGGCGGGTTCCAAGACGGTCTACATTCTTCTACCTTACTACCAACGAGGGAATCTTCAAGACGCGATCAATGCGAATCTCGTGAATCATACGCGCTTTCCCGAAAAGCGACTGATGGTCCTTATCCTCGGAGTTGCGCAGGCGCTGCGTGCGATGCATCAATACCGTGTCAAGAGTGGCTCTGCTCCTACGCGCAAAGCCAAGGCTGTGAGAAGGGAAGGCGAAGAGGCGGATGTGGATGCGGCAATGCGAAAGGGCAAGGCCAAGCGACGGGGTAGTCAGCTCGCCGGGGATGATGATTCAGAGAACGAGCCACTCATGGATGACGAAGTCACTCAGAGCCAGGAGGGCGTACAAGACGGAGGTTTGCGCCCTTACGCACACCGAGATATCAAGCCTGGTAGGACCCCCCCCCAAGTGCGGATCCCGTGACGATGGCTAATCATTGCAGGAAATATTATGATTGACGACGACGGACAAACGCCCATTCTTATGGACCTTGGATCGCTTGCGCCCAGCCCTATAGCCATCACCTCTCGATCCCTCGCTTTGGCTGTGCAAGACACAGCCGCCGAGCACAGCACAATGCCATACCGAGCCCCCGAACTCTTTGACGTCAAGACCGGCTCGATTATCGACACAAAAGTTGATATTTGGTCACTGGGGTGCACACTGTACGCCTGTCTGGTGGGGAAAAGCCCATTTGAAGCCCGAAGCGAAGAAACTGGTGGTAGCTTGAGCATGTGTGTACTTGGAGGCGACTGGCGTTTTCCCGATGAAAAGTCAGGGGCTACCAAGGGGAAGGGCAAAGCTGGCGAGGCACCAACGCAAGACAGCGCGACTTCCATTAGCGCGCCAGTCAAGGACGTTGTCCGTCGGTGCTTGCAGGTCGAACCGGCAGATCGCCCTGACATTGACGAGCTGATTCAGTTGCTGAAAGACGTTATCAAAGAGCTCCCAGAAGATGATGTGGTGGGTTAATTAGGACTAAAGTTTTCTTGGCGCTAGGTTTTATGATTCTCAAGCTTTGCACTGTGTATAGTTTTGCATACCTCTAGTTTTACTAGATAACCTTTACGAGGGCAGTTGTGGTTACCAAATTGTACATTATGGAGAATAGGGATACTCACAACGTTTACTAGATCATGCTCGACGGAGCCATCGCCATTTTCGACAGATCATATACCACTAATATCTGGCAGTCACACATTAAACAAGTCTCGTCCACATCGATCCTTGTCGCAAGCACAATTTATTGCTATCTTTCCAAGATCCCTCCGACGAAGGGCCAGGTAGATGATCAATGGCTCTCTCCAATAATTTACAGGCGCTTTCGTCACCTTTCTTCTCCAACTTTCTTTACCCCAGCCTAATCAGCGCATTGACAACATTTCCTATCCTACTAGACGAAAAGAGGAAGTTCTATCCTTACCAATCGTTCATTCGTCTTGACGATTTGATACTCCAAATCGGGGCCCGCTTTGTTGCTCGAATTCCCATGGAGTTCCGATTAACAGTAGCTATCTGCCTACAGCTCAGCAAGTCATACAGTGAAGATGGATAAAGAAACCACGGACGAGATACTCGACATCCTATCAGGGCCTATAACGCTATCAGCATGTTAATCTTGCGTATCAGGACAACGCCTTGTCTCAGAGCGACATGGTTGCTGTCCTCCGTTGCGCCGCTTACCATGATTACCTAGGACCAGAGGGCCGAGGTTATCAGAGCTGCGCTTTCTACGGCGACGATCATCAGATACTAACTGATAACAGTTGTGGAGAAGCCTGTCAGTATCTACACGAGGTTGCGCAGGCGAGCTGATAGTCGTCACCGACGGGTTAACTCGACAACATTCCCGGTCCGCCAAAGCTTATCGGAGAATTTATGAGAACATGCAGCTTGCTTATATTTGACGAAAGCTCCTTGTCATTTCTTACCCGCTAATGGGCCTCAATTCAACGGACTTCAATACAACTTAGTGTACTGAGCTGAGTGCTAGTGAGCGTACAATATGACGCCAGCTATTGATCGAGAGGCCATCCCTGGCACCTTCACACTCGTGGATACGGAGCATGTCCTTGCAACCCGCCACCTTGACCGCGGGGATCGCGATATCGTCCTGGTACCCGAGCCATCTAGTGATCCAGATGACCCTTTGAACTGGTCACCCCATCGGAAGCTCCTATCTACTATTTGTGTCAGTGTGTAAGTGGGCAACTCTGAACGTGCAGGCGCAATTTAACCGCTTCTATAGCTACACATTGTTTGCTGGTATCGCGTGTGCGAACGTCTACTCGGTTCTCGTACAGCTGTCCGAAGAGACTGGAGTCTCTGTCAGCACCCTAAACGAAGGAACCGGGTATATGTTCCTGCTAGCAGGCTGGGGTCTGCTGTTCTGGCAGCCCTTTGCTCTGCAGTATGGAAAGCGGATGACCTATATTCTTTCACTAGCGGGGATGTTGGTAAGTTCTATCAATGTTGGAAATACATTCTAGTTCTAATCTACGGCTTAGGGCACTGCCATTTGGGGGTACGTTTACACTCTCTCAATCAGGATTCGCGATTGCTCATGACTCGGTAGACCTTTTGTACGCAGTAACGGAGAATGGATTGCGAGAAGTATTATTACAGGTTTTTTCCTGGCTCCTATAGAAGCCCTACCAGAAGTTTCCGTCACGGATGTGGTAGGTCAAAAAGCTCAGCTACTTGATGCTAGCTAACATTGACAGTACTTTACGCATGAGCGCGGGACATACATGGGCTTGTATGCCTTTTTCCTAGCCGGTAGCAATTACTTTGCCCCCGTTATTTGTGGCTTCATTGCCGAGTACCAGGGGTGGGAATGGGTCTTCTACTGGCCAGCCATATTTTGTGGCGCCGCTATGGTGTTTCTATTTTTCTTCATGGAAGAGACGAACTACGTGCGCGAGATGCCTAGTATGTCCGAGCCTGCAGCAGCATCTTCTGCATCAGCCGATCAAGAAGGAGAGAAAAAGACATTGTCGGCAGAGGCGTCCAGCCAGAGTGATCCTGGGGTTGGTGTGGTCTATAGTAAGAAGACCTATCTCCAAAAACTCTCTATCTTGGGACCGCGCCAGGCGAGAAACAACATGTTTCGCCGTGCATGGCAGATGGTCTACTATCTTAGCTGGCCAGTGATATTTTATGCTGGGTACGTCTATTCAAATTACTGGACCGTGAGTATAAGGGTTACTAACGCTTGTAGTTTCTCGTATGGCTCTTACCTCATCTGGTTCAACGTCTTGAATGGGACCGCGTCCCTGATCTTGGGGTCAGCTCCGTATAACTTTAGGTATGCTCAGCCCTAAGTAATGACAAACAGCTCGCTAAGAACTCAGCGCATCGATGGTGGGACTCAGCTATCTGGCATGCTGCCTTGGCGTCATCCTTGGGTGAGTGAGGCCTCCTACCTACACTTTGAGCGCAGCTAAGAAAGCAGTTCCCTCTTCACCGGCCGGTTCAGCGATTGGCTGACCATTAAACTCGCCCGACGAAATGGAGGAATCATGGAGGCCGAGCACCGTCTCTGGCCGTTTAGCCTCTGTCTGATCCTTGTCCCTGGTTCGCTCCTCCTGTGGGGTGTCGGCGCAGCGCACGGCGTTCATTGGTTTGGCCTCCTAGTTGCCATGTGTCTGCTGGCGATGACGAACACTTGCGGGGTGACATTGAGCGTCAACTATCTGGTTGACAGCTATCGTGAATTGAGCGGAGACGCAATGGCGACCGTGATTCTAGTGCGGAATACCATGTCGTTTGCGATGGGATACGGGTACGCCTCCTTCGTCATCAATTTGTCCGAACACCGCCGATTGGTGCCATCGCTAACTCTCATGTACCGTGTTTGATTAGGATTACACCTTGGGTACAAGATCTCGGGTACCAGAATTGCTTCATCTCAGCCGCCTTTGTTGGATTGGCTTGCTCGCTCGTCTTCCTGGCGATGGTCAAGTGGGGGAAGACATTCCGGGTCCAGAGCCGGACCAAATACTGGAGAATTGTAGTGGAGAATTGGGAGAAGGGAATGGGGCATTAAGCTTCGTCTGGCGACCTTATTGGCGATAAACCTTCGGGTACACGGACCCGCACTCCCAAAACTGTCATACCTGAAGCTATTCAAGTATACTGAATTTGCGCACACAGCATACACTTTTATGCTCATGTTTTGTTCCGTATCTCCAAATCTGCCTTGTCTTTCAAGTTCCTTCCCGTTATCTCCCCAGTACACTGCATGTCTCAGACATTCCTTTCGCAAGAAATTGGGGGCCAAAACCACGAGAAAAACAACCTTAAATACCGGGCGAAGAACTCAAACAACCCAAACCTATGTTGTTCATCGCGGAGGGAATACCGGATAGGGAAATTAAAGGGACGATCCTGGCGGCCATGTGCACAAATCCGGCTGCGCTTCCGATCACATCTTCCTCATCTCAAGACAAGCGGGATGGAGCGCCATGTTCAAACCAACAAGGACCAAACGAGCCGAGAAACCGCTAACTATACAAATCAATTAATCGACTTGTCAAATTCCAAACATATATACATCAATCAAGACTCTCAAAATGCCAACACAAGCCTCAGCCATTGAAGAGAAGTTCCCCCGTCGGACCCCCAATCCTGCCGAGCACCGCATCCATCCGCCCTCTCAGCCACGCTCGGCTCATTGCTTGTACCGCTCAACGGCTCCAGCCTCCGTCGCTGCATACTGCCTAAAACGGACCTCGTAGGCTCATTAGTCCCTGATGACTCTTGTCTTCAGCCTTACAATCCTGGCCCCCTTGGCACCTCTCTGACTCGCTACCGATATTCGCTGAATGGTCTGTGTTCACCCGGTTTCAGCCCTCGTGGAGATCATCATTTTGCATAGCCACGCGCGCAGCGTTATCTTCGGTTTATTGAATATCTAGAAAGTCTCGCGACTCCCCGTTGGGAAACGTGCCTACTCTTCAGTGTTTAACTGCAGGCGGGTAAGTGTTCAAGATGGTTGGAGTACCGGGTCGATCAAAGGCTTGTGTAACTTGTTTGAAGAGGAAGAAGAGGGTATGCCATTTACTCCCGCTACTGTTGCTTTCAACCGAACTGTCTAACCACATTGTAGTGCGACTTGGAAAAGCCATTTTGCGGAACATGTCGCAAAGCCCGCGTCGAGTGCGGGGGGTATCACCGTCCCCGCATCTTCATCAACAACACCATGGAGGACCACAACAAGCAGCTCACCAAAAAGGAGCGCGGCACAGCTACAGGCACCAGTACAAGCGGCGACGCAGACAGCAGCCGCTCCAACCCAAGCAGTGGAAGCGACGTCGCGCTACTTATGTCCTTGGCAAGAACCGCCTACCAAACGAAATACTTGGACCTGTGGTGGCAGCTATACCTACCAAATGGACAGCGGCTTTCGAAAGTTGTTACGAGCAATGCGATGGGTGGGTGGCTTGATGCGGTGCACGAGATGAATTTCAGGGAGCCTGTTCTTGAGAAGGCGCTTGTGGCCATGTCTGTTACGGCTGTGGGGAAGCAGGAGGGAGATCCAGTTCTGAAAGAAGAGGGGAGGAGACTTTATGGGAAGGCGTTGCAGAGTATGACGGGAGCGATGAGGGATCCCAAGAGGGCGACGAGTGATAGTGTCTTGACGGCGGTGCGGTTGTTCAGCTTCTATGAGGTTGGTTTCCTTGGGTTATCAAGAGTCTGATTCTTCTAATCCTGGAAACAGTCCTTGTTCGGTCAGAGCGAGGATGCAGCGGAGCAGGCGAGGAGCTGGCAGGTACATAACGCTGGCGACCTTGCGCTGGTTGCGTCTAGATCTCCATATTCGTTCATTTCGGGCTATTCACACCAGCTTTTCTGCGACGGGCGAACACACCTTGTAAGAGTCCCGCTGAAGCTCTTACTGACCTCTGACTAACGTGCCAGACCATGTCCTCCCTCCGCCGCCGAAAACGCCTCTTTCTCATGGACCCCGAATGGAAAACGATCCCCTGGCTCAAACGCGCAAAGACCCCGCGCGACCACTTGATCGACGTAGTAATGGACATGACCGCGCTCTTCGAAGACACCGACAAGATGAAAACCTGCCTCGATCCCCTGAAGAAAGAGTTCCTCCGCCAACAACTAATCGACGGCTTCCTGACCCTCAAACACGGCCTACTCACGTGGCAAACTCTCCACGCCCCCGACTACCACCCTCCCACAAACCCCGACAACCTACCCGACCAAGTCAGTCCAGAAGACCTCACAGGTGCCAACCTCATGACTCTCTTCTGGGCAACCGCCATTGTCGCTTGCAGCAACCTCGATGCACTCTGTAGGCCGCATGGCGCCGAGTACCATATCGAGTGGGACCTCGACGAGTTCTGCGGCAATATTGTCCGCACGTTGCCGTTCTTCTGCCATCCATCTATGGGGCTGTTCAGACAGCATATCGCAGTTTACCCGACGACTGTTGCGCTGCGTTATATATGCGCTGTTGGAGCGAGTCGGCTTGTTGACGAGAGGAGGATTCTGGCGGATAGCTTGTATAGTCCGGCGCTTGCGGGGGTGAGGCATTTTGTTGTCAGTATGAATGACAGTTCACCGGTAGACTTTTTGAAGTAGCCAGCAGCAGCCTCTGTCTTTTTGGTCTCTTTCATTGATGCTTCTTGTTTAGATTAGACTTTATACCCCTACCAGAATCACAGGCAATTCTTCTCCAACTCAATATACAGTCTAGATATCACTCCACAAGCCTAATAAACCCTTCCTCATCATGCCTGATCTCCCTCATCTTGACATTCCGCAAATGACTCACCCCCTTGGAAATTTCACAATCATGATAGAACAACCACCACTTTCCCTTCCACTCCGCAATCGAATGATGCGTCGTCCACCCCAACACAGGCTCCAAAATCCGCCCCTTATACACAAACGGCCCCAACGGCGAATCACTCACCGCATAAACGAGGTAATGCGTGTCACCCGTGGAGTACGAGAAGTAGTATTTCCCATTATGCTTGTGCATCCACGCCGCCTCGAAAAAGCGGCGCGAGTGGTCGTCAGCAGCAATTGGTTGCTGCGTGTCCGGGTCGAGGATGACAAGGTCGAGGACCGGGGATGCGAGGGAGAGCATATCCGGCGTGAGCTTCGCGACGCGAGGAAAGAGTGCCGAGATGCCTGCGCCGGAGGGTTCCTGTGGTCCCTTCTTGGACGCATCGAACACCCACCCTCCTTCGCCCTCTTCGGCAGACGCGCCCTTGGTCCAACACTGCAGCTGCCCACCCCACAGCCCACCAAAATAGATATACGCCGCCTTCCCATCCCCATCCCCACCGTTCTCGGGGGTGTCGACGAAAACCGCTGGATCGATACTATAAACCCCCTTGATGGGCTCCTTCTCCGCAACGAAAGGCCCCTCGGGTCTATCCCCAACCGCAACCCCAATGCGAAAAACATCCTGGCGATCGCGCGCCGGGAAGAAGAGATAAAATTTCCCATTCCGCTCCGCGGCATCAGGCGCCCAGAGCTGTTTCGATACCCAGGGGACATCGGGGGTGCTGAGGACGACGCCGTGGTCTGTCACTTCTGGCTGGTGGTTGTTCTCTGTTGAAGGTGGGGTCGAGAGCGAGAAGACGTGGTAGTCGGCCATGTCGTACTGGTCGCCATTGTCGTTGAATTGAATGTCTGTTTCGCGGTCGTGTGAGGGGTAGATGTAGAGTTTGTTGTTGAAGACGTGCGCGGAGGGGTCCGCGGTGTAGAGGTGGGTTATTAGGGGTTTTGGGGCGGGGGGGGACATGGTGGGGTTCTTGGTTTGAAAGTCTTCTGGGTATGTAGTTGTGCTTTGGTCTATTTGTCTAATAGAGGGTATGTTTGGTTTATGTGTTATATAGACGTGCTTGTCTGATGATGTCGCGTCAATTTACCCGCCGGCTAAAGAGGGTCTTGGGCTGGAGTTTACCCCGCGATGGGACGGAGTATGCTCCGTAAAATGGCTAAATGAGGGGTAATTGGAGAGGTCTCGCCTTTGCTTCGGAGGAGAGAGATTATACACAGTGGACCAGGCTGATGGCGAGATGGATCTACTTCATAAACACTTTATCCTAATATGCCGAGCCGGCCACTTGTTAGGGCTACAATGCTGTGGACGGTGGAGCCGAACTTTGGGGCCGAGGTGCCTTCAACTAAATGGTGCACGATGTGTCAAGGCTTCTTTCGTTTTGTTGAAAAATACGGATCTTCATTCTCTTTGTCCTCTCGAGGAAGAGAAAGAAATCTATGTTCGAGCTTTATGTGGGTGACCAAAATATCATCTTGAAAAGCATCAAGTTAATTAAGCCTGCAGACGCTGTGAATTAGGTACCAAATATCAAGTTTTGAATATATATAAATTCGTGATCTTACAAATTCACCATGCTCCAGGCACAGTAACAGAGCAACCGAAGCCCTAATGATGCCTCTCTCTGGGACTGCTTTCCGAGTCGGTCTCACTCAGCATCCGAATCCTCCTCCTCCCTCTCTCGCGCTCCATCTCCAACTCAAAGCAACCTCGCTCCTGCTCCCACACCGCAACCTCCCTCGCCTTCTCCCACTGCCTCTCAGTTTCCGCCCGGATCTCCGCTTGCCAATCCGCAACCGAGCCAGTCGTGGTTGATGTCTCTGCAGGACCGGTAGGGCTCTCGCACCCTTTCAGCCCAATAAACCTACCGAACCGCCTGCGCTTGACCTCAACATCCACACCCAGATCCCTCACGAGTCCATTCGTCGCAACCCACGGTTTTACGGGAAGCGGGTAGCGGAACGTATCGCGGGTTGGTGGATAGGTCTGGTGGAAGTGGATTGCGAGTTCGTTCAGCTCGGATGAGGTCAGAATGTTGAATGCAAGCATTGATTTGGGAAAGAAGGGGTGCGTTAGCCCCGTTGTTATAGAGACTAAAGGGTGGAGGGGCCGTGAGAGGCGGGAGATGGTTGGTTCGAACTCTGGGTGGAATTCGTTGACGCGGGAGTTCTGGGCTGTGGTCTGATAAAGGGCTGCTTGGGGAGTGGTGGTTGTGGTGGTTGTGGTACGTCGGTGACGATGATTTCGGCGAGCGCGGAGGCGGCGACGGCGGTGGGTTTCGCGATGGATATTGTGCATGGGTGGTGAGAGGGGCGACTCTTCGGTATGAACATCATCTCCCATCTCGTTGGAGGTTCCCGAAAATGCAGGGGTTACCGTATAGGGGGAGAACTCGAATCCGTCTCGGTCGTGGATAGACTGGTGGCCGGCGTAGGGCTGCGGCTGTGGTTGCGGTTGATATTGATCTGGAATGGGGTCGTCTTCAATCATTTCACCCTCCTCTCGGGTCGCGTCTTCGTCCTCGCCTTCATCTTCTTCGAGTATTTCGCCTTCCTCGGGGTCGTAGGCTCTGGCTTGTTCGAGCTCTTGTTGAAGTTGTCGGTCGATCTGTTCTGGGGTTTGCATGTTTATAAAATCAACCTGCTGGTATTGTCCGAGCGGGATATGCGCATGTGGTGTGCCCTCGAGTATTTCGTCCACTGACTCTTTCGTTGGCAGTCCATGTGGCAGCTCAGGGGAATTGGGAACTTTGGGCCATTCGGCGGTTTGTGGTGATGTGGGAGAATAAAAGTATTCCTCCTCACTTCTGAGACGGGGTGGTTGGCGCGTGTCCTTCATTGAGTGTTATACGGTCTACGTATATTATAACAAAAGTATAACAGGGAGCTGCTGCAAGTGAGCAGTATCCGAGGCTTCAAATATATCAGAGAAGTATAGATGGTATATGAGGTGAACCGAAAATTGATTCAGGTCGACGACCGAGTAACCTTATAAGGAGACCTTTAGAGCAAGCTGAGTGGACAAAAACAATAAGCTTTGGTCGTGCCATGCATAATGCAGCTCTTTGTCGAATCGGATCTTTGTGCCAGATCTGATCGACTCGAAGCGTTGCTGAAGAATCGAACAAAGGCAGGAAACATGTGTCAGACAATATTAGATCCCTTATGTCCAAAATAGATCAACAAACAACAACTCCTGCTCGCATAAGCGAGGTTAATTATATCGAAACTCGCCTAAAAAGGATCCAGTCAGGAAAGATTCATCTGCGCTAGACGGCTTTGCAGTGGCCTTGCAGTTTCATTCTTGAATTGCTCATAACGGTCAGATGCCGGGGCAAGACCGACATGCTTGTTGATCCAGTTGAGCACGGTGTAATGCCACATGAGCGCATTCTCCGGATTCAAAACCCAATGATTCTCATCTGGAAAGGTCAAGAAAGCGCTGTCGATTCCTTTCATCTGTAGCACGTTGAACGCAGCCAGACCTTCGGCTATTGTCAACCTATAGTCCTTCTCGTTGTGAATGATTAGGTGTGGTGTCTCCCACTTATCCAGGTGAAGAGAAGGATCCCATTGTGCCCAGTTTTCTGGCACTTTCCACTGCACACCCTTGAGATCGTGTATTGGGAAATAAAGTTCTTCGGTCGCAAGCAACGACTGTGTGCTGAAGATACCATCATGAGTCACAAGCGCTTTGAACCGGCGACCGAGCGGCTGGCCTTGAATCCAGTTCATCATGAAACCTCCATACGATGCACCCAGCGCGACTGCCCGAGATGTGTCGACATAGTCCAGGTTCTTTTCGATATAATCAAATCCTTTTTCCAGGTCGATGTATGGGAGCCCACCCCACGCTCCACGAATATCATCGGTAAAGTCCTGTCCATAGCCAGTGCTGCCTCTTGGGTTCGGTGTGATGACGACGTATCCTTGCTCTGCAAAGACAGCGGGATTCCATCGTGTGCTCCACTGGTCGTTCCATGCCCCTTGCGGGCCGCCATGGACCAGGAAAGCCAGGGGATATCTACTGCCAGGTCTGAAGTTGGACGGTTTCACCACCCATGCGTGGATCGGAGTATCTTCAGCGCCCCTGTACCAGATCTCGTCAACCTGCGTGGATCTGAGGCCAAAATTGGCACCGCCATGGCCAATAGAGGAGACAACACGAGAATCGTCTGGATTCTCGGGGTCGACGATAGTCCAGAGACTGTTGTCAACCAGACTGTTGCTAGAGACGAGGAGCTTGTGAGACTTTGATGTAGCAGGGTGGACGTCCGTCACATAACCGGAGCGAGTAATTTTCTTAAGCCTGTCCGGAGTAGAGTGACGAATATCGGCGATGGGAAGCTGGTATAGAACCCCACGGCCGTATTCCTCCGCCTGAATGAACAAGGATTTGTCGTCATTGGAGAATGTGAGTCCCGACGGACTGAGGTTCCACAGTCCCTTGCCATCTGCAGACGCGAAAGCCTCAATCATCTCGCCATTCCAGGGGTTAGGAACGTAGAGAATCCGGTTCTTGTCCGACTCGTAACCGTCCGTGCGCATAGCCAAAACAGCAATGGAGCTGCCGTCGGACGACAGAACCGGGGAGGACATCGCGCCCTCAAGGCCTTTGACCTTGTAAATCTTGCTCTCAAGGGCGTTAACTCCTGTCCACGAGAAGATCGGGCAGTAATAGCACGAGCCAGCCGTATGCAAAGCAGGGTTAGCGTCAGGATCTCTGGCCACGAACACGATGGCCGAAGGGCTGATATCAAAATCGCCCGCACCACCGAACGGCGGAATGGGCGACTCGACGCCTGTAAGCCCACAGATCGCAATCAAGTTGGTAACGCCCGAGACCGAGTATTTGCCCGCCTGCCGTGTAACAGGAGCCAGAGGAGCGCGCTGAAGTAAACCATAGAAAATGGCATTCCTCTGGGGCTCGATGTACGAGTCCCAGTGCCTCACAAAAAGCGAAGTATACAGTTTACCGGTACTGTAAGGTGTCTTGGCGTCCTTTGGGTTATACAAAGACCCATCGGGGTTTGCCTTTCCGGCAACAGCGAAACCAATCTTCCCTGACTCGACAGCAGTGACCTTGAGATCCGACACAGGCCCTGGAACTGTCCCCGCCGTGTAATTCCTGTCCGCTTGGCGAGCATCTCCGATGATAAAGCTTGTGTTTCCATTCGCCTTCGCCTTCAGCCAGATGAGTTGGTCCGAGTTGTCGAGCCATTGCGGGGAACTGGCGCCTGGATCATTCGTAATTAGGGCTGACCTGCCAGATGTAAGATCTAGCACGCGGATTTCATTCGTCTTGGTGTGAGACTCGAAAGAATATGTGGTTTGCGTATAGACAGCAAGTGTCCCGGAGGAATTGGGCACGGCGCCCGACCGTCGAGGTGCTCCGAGAAGTACCCTGGGAGTGTCAGCGAGGAGTCTTATCAATGCTCTCCAGAAAGCATTGTCGCAAAGAGACGTAGGAACTAGAAAGCTTCATCACGCTATAGCTTTCAAGGGTGAAAAGGAGCACTCACTCTGGTGTGAATTTCATGGATCGAATCGTCATATCCAAGTTGCAGGGGACGATAAGCAGTTCGGCGATAAGGCGGTGGTGCTACAGACCGCAAGACCAAGTCAGTGTAGCAAGATTTATTTAGATATCCGGTACTGCAATAGCAAAAAAGAGTGAATTGATGATGAAGATAATCTATCTGAAAGATGGAAGGGATGGGATGAGGGTTGTTCTTGATGCGGGGAGAAGAGAGGTGGAATGGGGGCTGGGGGAATGAGCTCGGTGCCCTCGGAGCTTCGGTGAGCTCTGGTGGTCTCACGTCTACAACGCGGTACATCCTGGCTCCTACATCATGTACTCCGTATCTTCGTATCTTTCCTCTCCTTTAGTTAGAGCTCATAAATAAATGTCTAATAACAGTAGGCCCTTTTTTGTCCCTGCATTTCGCAGTTACCAAAGTCCATTTGGTCGAGTGAGTGTTTGTCTGTTACAGGGCAAGCATATCTTACTACCCTAGGCAGCCTATGTCCGATCGACCAAAGTGTGCATTCCGGAGTGAGATCTCTAGATGGTCTCTGCCTCTGAATTGTGACATGACATGAACTATGTACCCCGAAGGAGCAATCATTAGTACGGAACCACCTTTCTATCTCCATCAAGCAACGCATGCAAATGAAATCCTTCTAATGACGCGGATCATCACAGTACAGCAGGCAGCCTGGGAGCCTGGATAGTCAAGCCTCGCTTCACGTGCAATGAGTTTGGGTGGCTACTTCTGACCATGTACGGGCGCCTCCCTAGAAACCATGTTCGGGGAACGCTCATGGCGAATGTCGTCAATATCGGAAGTAATTGCTGGTCGCGGTATGATCGCGAGTCAATGGCCGGGATTTGAGTTCCAGATGCGATGATACAGCCATAAAACCGCGTGGTGAGCAAGCGGTGCTCCGGCGACAGAGGGATTTGGGCTTTCGGGACAAAGGCTTTTCTTATACTACCGTTCCTATTTCGGTAGACCCGGCGAGCTTTCGAGATGTAGCGGGGCACCACCATTTGATGAAGAAGCGTGAGCAAGCGGCTCTGCCATGGTTGTGGTGCCAACAATGTCAACTAAGTTCGTATTCCCATGAGTATGAGTAAGTGACAGGCCAGTCTGAGCATCCTCAAGCTGGGGATGCGTCGCCACCACCCAAAGCCGCCTCTAGACGCGCTTTCTTAGCCCGTCGTTTGACCTCGCGTTTAGAAAGGGGCTTTTCGACCCCCTCCATGCTCGTTTCAGGGGCAGGGGAGGCCTTCCTCTTCAGATTGTCGCCGTTGCTGTCTGTCAACGATTTTGGCCCAGAAGCCTTGCCGGTGGATGCAGCAGCGCCTGATTTCGGTGCCGGTGTTTGTCCACCATCAACAACATCTATGATTCCGCGCCAGCTGGTTCGCTTCAGTCGAGCAAGAGCGACGGTCTTCCTCGATTCTGCACAGATCGCCTCTTTCCCGAGCTCTTGTGATAGGCCCCACACACATGCTAGGTTGATCACGTCGAAAGGAGCCCGCACACCTAATGCTTTCCTGGCCTCGCTCGACACGATCAGCCCCCGTCCACGGGTTGCGCGAATTAAGGACATTGCATTTCCGATGAGGTTTCTACGGGCTTCTAACCCGCTGCCTGTGACTCCTGGACCGTAGCATATCTCGATCCGTATACCTCGTGCGATTGCGGCAGAAAGCATCTTGAACTTGAAGTGGTATGGGTGTCTGACTGAGAGATCCAGGGAAATAATATCGCATTCGGCGTTGGTGCATGCATTTAATAGAGCTTTCTCATTCGTCGGGCGCAGGGCGACCAAGTCATAAGCTTGAGCAATAGTGGTAAGTCGTTGATTTTGGGCGGGATCGGAGAGGGGTAAATTGAGGCGCGTGAGAAGTGTAAGGCCCTTGGGGACATTAGACGGAAGGGATGGAGTCGTAGGGTTTGGCGGAAGCTTCCCGGCGATAGTGTACGAAAGGGCAACCGTTGTGTAACCAACTAGATGTCATGTTAGCTTTTCATGTGCTCTTTTTTCGGCCTGGTAAACCGCCCGCTGAGTCGTGTGCATTGAGCGTGGGAGAAGAAAATCAAAAAAAAAGTGACGTACGCTCGGCGAGGAAGCTAAGAGTAGCGGAGATCTCATGATCACCCGGGCTGTAGGGCACATTCAAATCATAGAACATGATGAGCTGCTGGAGCTTAAAAGCCCAATGCCAGACTCCGTTGCCGCTGTCTGGTCTTCCAAGAAGAATGAAGAAGCGCGGTGCATTCGAACTGTCCCAGAAAGGAAACACAAAACCAGTCGCAAGATCAGTTCTTCCGGAGCAAAAGCGGTCTAGCCTCTTGGGCTGCCCCATAACAGCCGTCCCGTGACTGGCAAGGCGGAGCGAGATTCTGGGCCAATCCGCAGTATCAGCAGAAGAGGTTGAAAGAGCCCAACTTTCTCTGCATCTCATTGTTCAGGGCACTAGCACAGCTGCAGGTCTATTTACTGGTGTCTTCAGCACCCCCTTTCGCAGCTGTTGCTGTCTGTCTTTCCCAATCTGTGCTGATCCCTCGCACCATCCTTACCCATCACAACAACCCGTCCCACCAACCCCGCCGCTTTTCGCAACCTCTGAATATCCGATTGTGGGCTGATATCAACGTCGCTCTTTAGCCGCCATAACCATGGCGCGCGTCTATGCTGATGTCAATAAGCATATGCCTCGGTCCTACTGGGACTATGACGGGGTAAATATCTCCTGGGGCGTCCTGGAGAACTACGAAGTTGTCCGCAAAATTGGTTGGTTTGCCTTATCCAGTACCCTTCGGATATTGCGGTTAAGATAGGAGATTCTAAATTACCACGCTTACAGGCCGCGGGAAGTACTCCGAAGTGTTCGAAGGCATCAACATCGTCAACTACCAGAAGTGCGTCATCAAGGTCCTTAAACCGGTCAAGAAGAAGAAGATCAAGCGAGAGATCAAGATCCTCCAGAACCTGGCAGGTGGTCCAAATGTGGTAGCCTTGCTCGATGTTGTCCGCGACAACCAGAGCAAGACCCCGAGCTTGGTCTTTGAATACGTCAATAATCTCGATTTCCGCACACTTTACCCGCGTTTCTCCGACTACGATGTCCGTTTCTACATCTACGAGCTCCTGAAAGCGTTAGATTTCTGCCACAGCAAGGGCATCATGCACCGTGACGTGAAGCCCCACAATGTCATGATCGACCATGAGAAGCGAACGGTATGTGGTGCTTCTGCTGACATACGAAATTAGCTGACTTGCTCTAGCTCCGCCTGATCGATTGGGGTCTCGCCGAATTCTATCACAAGGGCACAGAATACAATGTTCGTGTCGCCTCAAGGTACTTTAAGGGGCCCGAGCTTCTTGTCGACTTCCAAGAGTACGACTATTCCCTGGATATGTGGTCACTCGGTGCCATGTTTGCTTCTATGATCTTCCGGAAGGAGCCTTTCTTCCATGGCAACAGCAACTCCGATCAGCTGGTGAAGATCGCCAAAGTCCTAGGAACCGAGGAACTGTTTGAGTACCTGGACAAGTACGAGATTGAGCTTGATCCGCAGTATGATGATATCCTCTCCCGATTCCCCCGCAAGCCTTGGCAGTCATTCGTCAACAGCGAAAACCAGCGTTTCATCAGTGACGAGGCAATTGACTTCCTAGACAAACTACTCCGTTACGACCACGCGGTAAGCTATATTTCCCAAAAGGCACATACCTATTGAAGCGCATCTTGCTAACTCTTTCTTTAGGAACGTCTTACCGCCCAGGAAGCCATGGCCCATCCATATTTCGCACAGATCCGAGCTGAAGAGGCCGCTAACCGAAGCACTCCATCCTCATGAGCTTACAAGAGCCTTGAAAATGTTATTTCGTTCAGGAAAGCCTCGCTGTCCAGTCTATTCCCCATGGTTGCGGCATCCACGAAACCGTAACGAAGCCCTCTTGGTACAACTGTTCGAATTCGATTTATATGGAATGGAAAGTCGAGTTTTTTGTGAAGATCTACCTCACCCTGGAGCTGCCCTTTGAGCTTGATTTTGCTGGTTGAGCTGGAAACTGGGGGTCGTATGACGGATTGAATGGACGGGAACGATCTTGACGAACGGCTTACGCACATCCACCTACACCCTACGCTGGGCATAGAACCCATCTTAGCCCGTTATTTTTGGCGTTTGAGCGAGTGTCATACTCCCGTGAACTTCTGGGCTGGGATAATGTTTCCACATGTGTTCTTCGCAATTCGTCGTGGGTTGCGCTTATTTCGCTTTTTTGTCTCCTTACAAGTACTTGGTTTGATGTTGACGGATCTCACCTCATCGATCTGACTCTCTACATCTCTGTTTCCATCCTCAGTGCCCATCGTTTTGTCTGTTTCTCGCTCCTCTTATGGTCTCCATTTTACTTGTTGGGAAGGTCCATACATTATGATCATTGAAAGGCGTGGGGGTTTAGTTTGGCGGTCGTATAATGCACTCATGACTCATTAATTGCAACATCTTACCCTACTTACCTGCAGTTCTCTATTTCCCGCCCCAATAATAACTGACAGGGAGGATCAGCCTACCAACCCTTTTATATAGTTGTAGGTCACGTGCCTAAGCTTTGGCCTCGAACATTTTCTGCACCTTTGTCCCGATGAGATTAAATGAAAACACAAAAAGTGAGTCATGATAGGCATGTCTGCACCTTTCTAGTATGCTGCTTGTTTGATGAATCATTTTATATCTTGTCAGCCCAATTGCAAGTCCCAAATCTTTGAATCCAATCGCACTGCATCACCGGGGTTCTTCCAGAGCCCCGCATTGTCAGACTTGATTCGTTCCGCTCTCTGCTCTGCGACTGGGAAATTTAGTTTGCCCGCATTTCCCACAACCCCTCCCCCTCCCTCTTCCTCTTCTCTTTGCCGTTTGAGTCATCGGTGGTCAAGATACTTATAAGGCGACTCGTGGCGCAATCGGCGCCCAGGAGATTCCCTCCTCAACTATACCGACCGTTTTCCAGAATGGCTCAAGACTCTGCTTCGATGAACCCGAGTGAGATTTTTGTCCCGCCGGCTTGCTCGTTATTATCGGGATCGGAAAACAAAAGCTAACATGCCTGTCTTTGCTTTAGCTGGTGAGCCGACAGGCCCCAAGGTGGACGTTCCCCCTGCGAACAACCAGAATGCCGGACAGGATGCCGCTGCACCTCCGAAGGTGAAGAGTGAAAAAGAGTGTACGTGCACTTCCCGAAGACAATATCGACTGGCCGCCGTGATACCTATCAAAGCCACTGGACGCTAATTTTGACTTTTGATGACAGTGGAGAAGGAACGCAAGAAGGCCGAGAAATTGAAGAAATTCCAAGAAAAACAGGCAAAGGCCGCCGCGAAGCCCACCGCTCCTAAAGCCGAGAAGAAGGTCGCCAAGGTCGAGAAGGAAAAGACAACTGATGCATATGACCCCAAGACCATCGAGGAAGGCCGGTACCAATGGTGGGAGGAGCGTGACCTGTTCAAGCCCGAATTCGGCCCTGATGGCAAGGTCAAGCCTGAGGGCTACTTTGTTATCCCGATTCCTCCCCCCAACGTGACCGGATCACTGCACATGGGACACGCCCTCACGAATGCTCTGCAGGATACCATGATCCGCTGGCAGCGCATGAAGGGAAAGACGACCCTGTGGCTTCCCGGTATGGACCATGCTGGTATTTCCACGCAGAGTGTGGTCGAGAAGATGCTCTGGAAGAAGGAGAAGAAGACCCGCCACGACCTCGGACGTCAGGCTTTCCTGGAGAGAGTTTGGGATTGGAAGCACGAATACCATGGGAACATCGGAAATGCCCTGCGAAGAGTCGGCGGTTCATTCGACTGGACTCGCGAGGCTTTCACCATGGATGCCAACCTGTCCGCGGCCGTCACCGAGACTTTCGTCCGTCTCCACGAGGAGGGTATCATCTACCGTGCCAACCGCCTGGTCAACTGGTGCGTTGCGTTGAACACTTCCCTTTCCAACCTCGAGGTCGACAACAAGGAAATTGAAGGACGCACTCTTCTCGATGTCCCTGGGTATGACAGGAAGGTCGAGTTCGGTGTCCTGACTCACTTCTGCTACGAAATTGATGGCTCCAAAGAGAGAATTGAGATCGCTACGACCCGTCCTGAGACCATGATTGGTGATACTGGCATCGCCGTCCACCCTGATGACAAGCGCTATAAGCACCTGATCGGCAAATATGCGCGCCATCCCTTCGTTGACCGCCTGCTTCCCATTGTTGCTGACTCCGAGGTCGACCCTGAATTCGGTACTGGTGCCGTGAAGATTACGCCCGCTCACGATTTCAACGATTTCAACCGCGGAAAGGCTCACAACCTGGAATTCATCTCTGTCCTGAACGATGATGGTACCTTCAACAAGAACGGCGGTCCATTCGCTGGCACAAAGCGATTCGACGCTCGTTACAAGGTCATTGAGATGCTGAAGGAGAAGGGATTGTATGTGAAGTGGGAGCACAACCCCATGAAGATTCCCCGTTGTTCTAAGTCCAACGACGTCATTGAGCCGATTCTCAAGCCGCAATGGTGGATGAAGATGGAGAGCCTTGCCGAGCCTGCTATCAAGGCTGTCGAGAATGGCGATATCATCATCCGGCCCGAGTCCGCAGAAAAGAGCTATTTCCGTTGGATGCGGGGTCTCAATGACTGGTGTCTGTCTCGACAACTCTGGTGGGGTCATCAGGCGCCCGCCTACTTCGTGCAGATTGAGGGAGAGGAGGGCGACGATAGCGATGGCAACCTCTGGGTTACTGGCCGTACCGAGGAGGAGGCCCAGAAGAAGGCTGAGACGAAATTCCCTGGCAAGAAATTCACTCTCAAGAGAGATGAGGACGTGCTTGACACCTGGTTCTCCTCAGGACTCTGGCCCTTCTCCACTCTCGGCTGGCCCCGTCAGACTCACGATTTGGAGAACCTCTACCCTACATCCGTCCTTGAGACTGGTTGGGATATTCTCTTCTTCTGGGTCGCAAGGATGATCATGCTTGGCCTTAAGATGACCGGCAAGGTCCCATTCAAGGAGGTATACTGCCATTCCTTGATTCGTGACTCTGAAGGACGTAAGATGTCCAAGTCCCTGGGCAATGTCATCGATCCTCTAGACGTCATGGAGGGTATCAAGTTACAAGATCTTCACGCTAAACTGCTCGTCGGTAACCTCGCTGAAAAGGAGGTCGCCACGGCTACCAAGTACCAGAAGAAAGCATTCCCTAAGGGTATTCCCGAGTGCGGTGCCGATGCTCTGCGCTTCTCGCTTGTTTCTTACACTACTGGTGGTAAGTTTGAGAATCTTTCTTCACGCGTTATATACATCACTAATCGCTTATTATAGGGGGTGATATTGCATTTGACATCCAGGTCATTCACGGTTACCGCCGATTCTGTAACAAGATCTACCAGGCCACCAAGTACGTTCTCGGCAAGCTCGGGGACGATTTCAAGCCGCAAGCCACCGTTTCCAAGACCGGCAAGGAGTCTCTATCCGAGCGTTGGATTCTGCACAAGTTCAACACCGCCGCTAAGGAGGTCAACACGGCTCTTGAGGACCGTGAATTCTCCAGTGCCGCCTCCACAATCTACCAGTACTGGTACGCCCAGCTCTGCGACGTGTTCATCGAAAACTCGAAGTCTCTTCTCGCTCCGGAGCTGCCTGAAGAAGTACAAGGGTCCGCCAAACAAACCCTGTACACTGCTCTGGAGGGCGCTCTGACCCTTATTCATCCCATCATGCCTTTTGTTACGGAAGAGTTATGGCAGCGCCTGCCCCGTCGACCCGGTGACAACACCATCTCAATCATGAAGGCTAGGTTCCCAGAGTACAAGCCTGAGTTCGACGACGTTGAAGCCGAAACTGCCTACGAGCTGATCCTTAACACCTCCAAGGCCATTCGTTCGATCCTTTCTAACTACGAAGTCAAGACGAAGGGCGACATCATCGTGCAGACCTACGACGCCACCAGCTTCAAGACTGTCTCAGACGAATTGCACATCGTTAAGTCGCTTGGTGGAAAGACCCTTGGTGAGCTAAGTGTTCTCGGGCCTGAAAACACCACTCCCCCTCCAGGTTGCGTTGTGTCCGCTGTTGGCTCAGAAGCCGCAGTCTATCTTCGTGTGTCCAAGGAGGTAGCCCTTGAACAAGAAGAAAAGGCCAAGGCCAGCCTGGAGAGGGCTCGTGAGGGTGCTCAGCGTCAAGCTGCCCTGGTCAGCAATGCTGGGTGGAAGGAGAAGGCAAAGCCTGAAGTCCGCGAGCAAGAAGAAAAGAAACTCCGAGATGCCGAGAGTGAAATTGCTCGGCTGGAAGAGCAGATTCGTGAATTCGAGAAGCTGCGGTTGGAGTAGATATTTTGTTAGACACTGAGATTTCTAAATGCAGGATATGAGTTCTCTACTTTTCAAATTTTGACTTTTTGTTTCTTGTCTGTATGCTTATATGGTACAAGTACTTTTTTGAGTCCAGAATGGACATCGCTTATCGATAAGCCACGCCAAGCCTCTTCCGCCAAAACTTTTCCAACACCGATTTCACATCCAGCAAAAGTCCCAGTGACAACATCTTTCAACTGTACGTCGAGATCGCTCTGGTCAAAATGCTTCGTGAAGTGTAAGTAATTGTTCTTCTTCCAAGATTGGAGCCATTACCAGGCTACTCCTCGTCTGCGTCACTTATGTCCTCGTCTTGATCATTATTAACGAAATCTCTGCCGCAGGAAACCCAAAAATCCGCGCACTGCGCGCATCCTCAAAGCAAAGGAGCCTCAACTCATTGAAGGCCCTAAGCGCGCACTGATCCTCCACGGCTCAAAATGCCCAGCTCCCCTGCACACCGTCCTCAAGACAATCCACTCCCTCACAACGCCCAACTCGGTCCTCTTCCACAAGAAAAACGCCAACATTCACCCATTCGAGAACGTCGAGAGCATTGAGTTCCTGGCTGACAAAAATGACTGCGGCATGGTTGTCTTCGGAAGCAGCAGCAAGAAGCGACCTAACTGCCTGACGCTCACCCGCATCTTCAACACCAAGGTCTTAGACATGTGCGAACTGCTCCTCCTGCCCAACCCCGACGACGAGATCCCCGAAATGAGCAGACTCTCTATGCAGATTGGCGTTGGGCTCCGGCCGCTTATGCTTTTCTCCGGAAGTGCGTGGGAGGACGAGACGTCGACAACGCATACGATGGTTAAGAGCATGCTTGTGGATCTGTTCAAGGGCGAGATCAGCGATAAAATCGATGTCGAGGGATTACAGTATGCGCTTATGGTTGGCGCGGAGGAGCCCCAAGCTGGGTTGGCGCCCGTTATTCATCTACGGTGGTACAAGATTGTCACTAAGCGGAGCGGACACAAGCTGCCACGGGTGGAGCTTGAGGAGATTGGTCCCAAGTTTGATTTCAAGGTTGGACGTATCCAAGAGGCTCCTCGGGACGTCATGAAGGAGGCTATGAAGCAGGGCAAGAGGCCGAATGAGGAGATCAAGACGAAGAAGAACATTAGCATGGATCTCATTGGTGACAAGGTCGGTCGGGTGCATCTCAACAAGCAGGATCTGGGTGGATTGCAGACGAGGAAGATGAAGGGTCTGAAGCGACGGGCGGGCGTCGAGTCTGATGAGGAGGGAGGTGGTGCGGATATGATGGATGTGGACGAGATTTCAGAGGACGAGGGGCCAAAGCGGGCAAGGCGGGAGTGATGATGAGTCTACCGTGTGATTCTACGTACATCTTGGGTTGTTTCGGCGTTCATAGGTTGATCTAAAGAGTCGATATTGATAGTATAAATGGAGTCCACGTGACCATGACGTTGAGCTCTGTGGTCGACTTCGGCTGCAACTCACATGCCGAGGATCTTTTCCCTCTCCAACGGTCATCCGGTTACAAAAAGCTGCTGGAGATGCCGTCCCCAGCGCCGTCTCCTGTCCCCTCTGTTCCTTGTCCATAAAAGAGCTCTGCTTCCTTTTCTCCCGGTCGCTATCTCGACCTTTCCCTCCCCCGATGCTCCCTGTCCTCCCGGGTGCCATCCGCCGGTTCAACTGATCTCGCCTGATCCACCTCAGTCTGCCGAGGTTCTGCGCGAAACAGCGAACAGCTTCCAAATTCTTTCGACAACCGACACCATGGATGCCCTCGTGGTAGGATTCAACGAATGCGCATTTTGTAAATCTTGCGGAAGGCTAATAGCTATGCAGTCCCGGCTGGATGCCCTGGTTACGAACCCCGATCTCGCGCCGCTGCTGTCGCTTGTAAAGGGTATTCGCAATGGCGCCGTCTACGGTGCCAAGGTGCGGTTTCCGCATGCTCTGGTGTATGTACTGTCTATCGCGGGCTCTCCGATATCACCTATGCTAACCTGGCCGTCTTTACTATAGGATGATCTTCCTCTTCCGCTCTGGAACGTGAGTTCCCCGCAACCGGTCCCAGCAACCCCCTCGCTAATACGTCATCCAGCATCCGCGAAAAAGTCAAACTCGTCCTTAATGCTACTCGGCAACATGCCAGAAATCTAGCGGTATTCGCTTTGATCTATAAGAGCTCCATGATCGTCTTGCGCAATGTTAACCCCGCTGCGGTTGGGAAGGAGGGGAAGTATGATAGCTTCTTTGCGGGGTTGCTGGGAGGCTATGCGGTGTTCGGTCGACATAAATCAAGTATCACGCAACAGGTATGCTGGCGGGACTATATTCGCGATATAAAAGAGACTTGTTTATTAACATATTGGCAGATCGTGATCTATATTTTCGCACGTGTAGTGCTCGGCTTCGCCAAACTATCCATCCAACCCGGCGCGCACCCATTCTCTTCCCTCATCGGCCCCGAGGCACGGAAACAAATTGAGGGCAACGCCTGGGCTGTTTTCGCTTCTCTCAGCTGGGCATTCGTCATGTACCTCTTCCGCTGGCACCCCGAGACACTGATGTCTAGTCTGCGGAGTAGCATGGTTTACATGTATGCACAATTTACTTCCTCATGATGATCGGTATAGGTTACTAACAATTCGCCCAGATACGCCGACTCGGACCACTGGGATTCATTACGTACCCTCCTTGTCCACAACAAATAGACTCCTACTGATCTACAACGAATCACCTGATCTTCAAGACGACCTCTTTCCACCTTACTACTACCTCGGGCCGTGGCGTATAGAATAGGCGCATGTTCTTCTCTTGGTTTCGGACTTGTACTACATCTTCGCAATGGCACTGGCACTGGCCCTTTGTATTATTGTTGCTGTTTCTCTTGTTCCCGATTTAGACTGGGATTGTCCGGTGGTAGCATGATGAGTGAATTGGCAATGCCCCCTCCCGCAGGCGGATGGGAAGACTTATATACATTACGATACAATCAATGCATGAATATAGCTACATGGGATTTCTGCTCATTGTCATGAAGAGCAACGAACCCTAAGCGATGACTAGGACTGGGGCCAATCGGTATCATTCGATATTGAGTATCAGAATTATGATTCTAGCGATCCCATCTTTATCTACCTCTACTGAGACTACGCGCCTGTGCAGTTAGCCCCTTTGGCGCACCAACATCTCGCCACCCCGTCCCATCGAGACATGTATACTCTATCAGCACCTCAAAGCTTACTCTTAACCCCAACCAACCCCTCCACATCCACAAACCGATAATAATACTCCAAACTTTCCGGATTCAACAACGTCCCGGACGCCTTGATCTTCTTCCCAGAAACAATCTGCTTAACAGGCAATTCAACCTTCTTCAGATTCACCGTCGTCGGAATCGCTGGCGTCTCAAACACATACTTCGGCACATGTCGCGCACTCAACGCCCGCCGAATCGCCTCCTTAACCCTCGCCACAAGCTCCCCCGTGAGCTGATACCCGGGCCGCATGAGTAAGAAGAGAAGCACAGTCTCGTCGGTATCCTGTGGTCGGCGCTGGCCGACGCACAGCGAGTCGGCGACTTCGGTGGTGAATTGGGTTTCGAGCACGTTGTAGATTTCGGCGGAGCCGAAACGGATTCCGGAGGGGTTGAGAACACCGTCGGAGCGGCCGAGAAAGAATATTTGTTTGGTTGTTGGGTGGATGGAGATGAAGTCGCCGTGGGTCCAGACGTCTGCATTGCTGGTTAGGTTTGGGGTTCTTTCACTTATTCGGGGACGGGGAGGGGAGAGGAGGTGGTGGAGGTTAGACGTACTGTCGAATCGAGCAAAGTAGGAATCAAAATATTTCTGGGGGCCGTCGTCGCCTAGGAACTTGACGGGCATGGTAGGGAAAGCAGATGTTGCGACGAGCTCCCCAGGGACGCCGTCGGGGACCGGTGTTCCTTTCACGCCCGAGGCGCCTTCGTCGGCTTGGTCGTATACTTCAACCGCGATGCCCAGTGGGAGGCCCTGGCAACCTCCAACGTACAGCGGAGTAAGTGGGTTCTCAAGCCCAAAGCACGCTGCGAGGTCTGTTCCACCGGAGATATTGGCTAATTGCGCCTGCGCTGGGAAGCCCTCGTCGTAGAACCACTCGAAGAGGGACTCTGGGAGGACCATGCCTGTACTTGTGACGACTTGCAGACTGCTCAGGTCTTCTTCCTCGCGCGGGCGAATGTTGTTCTTGCGGAGCTCGTGGAAATAACGAGGAGACGTGCCGAAATGGGTGACTTTGTACTTGCTGATGAGTTGAATGAGGACTCTCGGCCCGGGGATAAATGGACTACCGTCATAGAGGATGGTGCTTCCACCGTAGAGCAGACCGGATATGGCTGACATGTACATGATCCAGCCTGTCGTGGTGTATTGGAGGGTTACGGAGTTAGGACCATGGCGGCGGTGCAGTCGGGCTTCTTTGCTCGAGTTGAGAAGGTAGCCGCCGACGCCATGGACAATTGGCTTTGGTTTCCCAGTTGTACCTGATGAGAAAGCTACCAGGAATGGGTCCCGGAAGCCAACGCGGGTGAACTCTAGTTTGTCGGAGGGTGCTGTAGCAAGTAATTGTGCCAGAGGCTGGGTCTTGGGGATCCCGCTCACGTCCACTGGGCGTTCTAGAAATCGGGGTAGGGCGATAATGTTTCTGAACTCGACGGTATCCTGGAGGCCGTTGACGACGTCGGTGATCTTTGACCGGAGATCGATGTGCTTTCCGTTGTAGACGGCAGCGTCGTCGAAGAACACGTACTTTGGCTTGATCTGGACGAGACGGTCTAGGATGCCCTTGACACCTGTGTCCGTGGAAGCAGAGGAGAATAAAGCCCCGAGGGCAGTGGTCGCCAGAAATACAACCATGGTGTCGATGCTGTTACTTGCAACAATGGCAATCCGATCTCCTTTTGTCACCCCAGCAACCTTGAGTGCCTGCAGCAGCTTCCCCGTCCGCTGCCTCAGCTGAGACCATGTAATGGAGATGGCGGGTTCCGCCGCCCCCTCACGGACTTGTGTTGCGACGATCTTGCTGTCTTCTTTGCCAGTCGTCGTGATGTAGTGAGTTCCATCTGGTGCCTTTTCAGCGGTGAAAAGCATGTTCTCGGCGAAGTTGAGTTGGATGCCTTCAAACCAGCTGGGAATGCTATCGATCCGAGCAGACTCATCGACAACGGAGGTGTAAGAGCCTTCATGAATGATGGGGAAATACTTCCAGGTGAAGTCCCAAAAGGCAGCGCGGTTCTTGACTGACCAGGCGTGAAAGTCATAGTATGTCTAGAAATCGTGAGACAGTGTTCAGGTGCGTATACAGTTGACGTACCGGAAAACTGAGGCCCTTTTCTTTCTCCAACTTTTCCTTGAATGCCCACATCTCTGTAGCCCTAGGGTTGGGATGCTCCCAGAGCTTGCGAGGAACCTCTTCTGCGGACGCCATCTCGGAGTACGGTAGGTGTACAGTGGCCAAAGATAACCCTAATAAAAGCCTAGTTATATAGTTCCAGCAGTCGACAGGCTATTCCGAGGATAAAAGGTCCATACCTTAAATAGCAATGTAGCAGCTTTGAGCCTCGGCTTGAGCGCAAGACTGCGGGGAAGTATCGATTCGGCTTTCCGGAGTCCCCCCCCGATGGCTTCATCCTCCACAACCCATTCGTCACTGGACGGGCTGGCCACGGCAAAGGAAACGAAAGGATCGTCTCGGTCACTTTTCTCCCCGCAATATCCGCCGTCGGCCCAATTCGATGGGGTTGTTCGAGGCTGTCATCCGACGGTCCTGTGACCCAAATTCAGTGGGTTCGCGTATCGGTGATTCTATGTTCTCTATCCATCTACTGCCGACGATCCCCGCTCCTAGTGTTACTTGGTGCTTTTTGTCAACGATTATTTGCTAAAGGGCAGCAGTGTCACTGGTTGTCCGTCTGGAAACCGGCCACTATATTACACTTTAGGACACTCTCTAGGCATTCACAGTACTGGAACAGGACAAGAGTTGGTAACCAAGCAATTCTGGCTTCAAAGTCCATACAGTCGTCCACCCACTAACAACTTGAATTGGGACCCTGTTCGTGAAAGTACACCTCAAAGAGATGCCCATTCGGATCTTCCACGCTCCTCGAATACATGCCATACTCGGCTTCATTCGGCACCATTTTCGGTCCAAGTTTGCCCCCGGCGTTGATAGCTCCTTCGATCATTTCGTCCACTTTTTCGCGAGTAGGAGCAGTGAGGGAGACAATAGATTGAGTCACTGCTGTCGCATCGGGGATCTTGCGGTCTGCGGGGAGCCAGGAACTGAACGTCTTGTGGTCGTGAAAGAAGACCATAACGTGCTCGCCATATCGAAACATGGCTCCGAACCCAGCCTCTGTGGAGTTGGTGAGGCCAAGGCCGGTAGCGAAGCGAGTAGAGGCTTCGAGGTCATTGGAAGGGAGATTGATGACAACTTGGTCTTTGTAAGGCATTGTTTGAGGTTGCGAGTTGAGCTTCGGTTGAGACAGGTTTCTTGGAGATTTTTATTGGTGTTCTCCACGACCAACATACTTCTTTATATAGCTTCACTGGTCAGTAATCACATCTAGGGTGATGTATACTTCGCCAACCGTTGCCTGGTTGATGCCTACGAGGTGATTCTCGGCATGTATTGGCATTCTCGTATTAGTTCATGTTGTTTCAATTCGCCTGACTGAAGGAGAACCTTCAATTGACAAGCATCCAATACCTGGACAATGAGGACGCCCAAAACCTCGGCTGGCCCAACCCGGTTCAGGACCTTGGCACTCGTATCCATCGCCTTGACTTCAATTCCTCAATGATCGAGCCGTGTCTGGCCAAGCCAGTCTTGCAAATGTGTTTGTTGGAGGAGGAAGGAAGATTAGCTCGTCAAGGAAAGAGACGACAAAGAAACGGCTGCTGCCTTGGTGCCTATGGCAACTATGGCAACCTGCAGCGGCCACTCCGCAAAAACAATTTGAGGCTGATGGCTCAGCTTAACCGCCTGCGTTGTGTGTGGTGGGTGGGCCTCTGATCCCATAATAATGATATTAACATTAGCATTAATATTGGCATCAACATTAGCATTAACATTCGCATTAATATTAGCATTAACATTAACATTAGTATTAAAAGGGATAATAATATTAAAATAGAGAATAATATTAATAGTATTAATTTTCTATGTGGGTTCCTATATTAAGTAATATAACTTTGGGGTCTAGCTAATCTGCCAGCAGAAATCCTGGCTAAACTTGTTTTTGCGGGTTGCCATAGGTGCCTCAGGTACACAGCTAGACAAAGTGAGCAAACAGCGGGGGTGAGTCAAATTCTCCAATTTCTGCAAAGCTTTTGATTGTTTCTCGCTGATTATTGTTACTTGTAAATATCCCAGTTTTGACCCTGTTGACTAGGGTGTGCTTCTAAAAGCGATGACCTCATCCACAGCTCCTGAAATCCAGATGGAGGAGAGACTCGGCGAAGATGCCCTAATTCCCCGTCCATCGGAGAATATACCCGAACAATGTGAAACAGAGGCAGAAACAGGTAATACAAAGACCCGAAGCAAGTGGCGGATCGGTGCCACCCTTCTAGCTCTGTCAGTATGTTACTCGAGAATGTTCCCCACTGCAGCGCGGTACAATACTCATGCAAGGGGTCTATAGTTAAGCTTGTTCATTTCTGCTCTGGATCAAACCATCGTAGCCACTGCTACTCCGACCATTGCTGCAGACTTGCATTCTGGAGGCGGCTATGTCTGGATTGGCGGTGCTTATCTTCTGGGAAATGCCGCCAGCGGCAATATTTGGGCCAACCTGTCTGATATATGGGGACGGAAGCCGATTCTTCTGTCAGCTGTTGCACTGTTCTTCGTATCGTCCATTGTTTGTGCAACGGCTATCCACATGCCCATGTTGATTGCAGGTCGCAGTATTCAGGGAGTAGCTGGCGGTGGTCTCATCCAGCTCATTCTCATTACCATCTCTGATCTGTTCAGCGTCAGGTAAGAGTATTCGAACCTTGAATGGTGCCTCATAACTCATGGGTTTTCAGATTACGAAGCTTGTTCCTGGGCCTCATCGAGTTCATTTGGACTATTGCGGGAGCCCTTGGTCCTGTACTAGGTGGTTCATTTACCGAGACCATCTCCTGGCGATGGATTTTCTGGATCAACTTACCAGTCTGTGGCACCGCCTTTGTGCTTCTCATTCTGTGTCTCGACGTCCACAATCCAAAGACCCCCTTTCTGGAAGGGATCAAAGCTGTGGACTGGTTTGGCAGCTTCTTTATCTTGGCCATCTCTATAATGGTCCTTCTTGGGCTTGACTTTGGCGGGGACACATTTCCCTGGGATAGCCCTAAGGTCATCTGCCTGATCGTATTTGGAGCGTTGATGTCGATTGCCTTCATCTACAGCGAAAAGAGACTGGCAAAGTATCCGCTTATGCCACTTGACATTTTCAAGAGCGGCTCAAATCTCGCCTGCTTCTTAGTGGATTTTACACACGGCTTCGTACGTTGGGCCAGAACAGAATTCCACAGCAAAATTTGCTAACCTTTACAGGCCTTTCTTGGTGCAGAGTACTACCTTCCTCTCTACTTCCAATCCGCCAAAGAAGCTTCTCCCTTCCACTCGGGTCTCTTGATTATGCCCTTTATCCTGACCGAGTCCTTCACCAGCCTCTCGGTAGGCATCCTCATCCACCACACAGGCCGCTACCAAGAGGTAATCTGGATTGGCATGGCCTTCGTCACTCTCGGAACAGGTCTCTTCATAAACTACACCGTCTCCACAACCCTAGGCAAGATAATCGGCTACCAGATCCTCTCCGGCTTTGGCTGCGGCCTGCTCTTCTTCCCACCCCTCATCGCACTCCAAAGCAACATCCCACCCAAGGAAACCGCCAGCGCAACCGCAACGTTTGGCTTCGTCCGCAACGTCGCCATGGCGCTCTCCGTCGTGCTAGGTGGCGTCGTCTTTCAGAACAGCATGATCATGCGAAGATCGCATCTCCGCGATGCTGGGCTCTCGGAAACTCTGCAGGAGGAGTTTACGGGCGCCGAGGCGGCGGCGAATGTCCTTTCCGTCAAGGATGTGCCCGATGAGTTCCAGCGCCAGGTAATCAAGGAGGCATTTGCGTGGAGTATTCGCAATATCTGGATCTTGTATACGGCGCTTGCAGCTTGTGGGCTTATTGCCAGTTTCTTCATCACCAAGAGGCAGCTTAGCAAGGAGCATGTGGAGACCAAGACGGGTCTGAGGGAGAAGGATTCTGCGGCTGTGGAGCAAGAAAGACCTGCCTCTGATGTATAACGCAGAGAGTACATATAAGTATATAGTTGACGCCGAGTAAATGTACACCAGACTACTCTCACATACAAAATTGCACAGCATAGAGATAAGCAAAAACGGCCATCTGCGATAAGCTCCAACGGCGACTCCCGAAGGTCCAACTCCACTCCACCCCCGCCCATATAAAGCTCCATCTGCTCACGAGTTACCACTATCTTTAATTCTTCCATGATTAATTATCCACCTCACTTCGTCAACCCTCCATTCGAGCAATTGAACGCAAAATCAAAGCCACAATGCCACCTCCAACCCTCCCCTCTTCCCCGGGTCTCACTCTAACGCCAGAGCCCCTCACCCGCACCTCCTTCGCACCCTTTGGCACTGCAATCATCCCCCCTCTCCCCCACAACACTACCAGCGCCCCCGATCCGTTATCAAGCCACCCTAAGCATGACCTCGTCCCAGAGCCAGTGGCCGCCAACCAGCTCTCCGCGCTAAAATACTCCCCCATCTCGCCTCTCCTCAACAACTACCCCGGAAAATGTCCGAGCGGGAAAGCGTCTGAGGCGAGGATGAGCATGTTTAGCTGTTTCCCGCGCAAGTTGCGGACAGCCACTACCAGTGGTGGAAATGATACATCTGCATCTCTCTTCGACGTGACAATCCTCGAACGACACCCGTACACAACGCAGACATTCTCCCCCCTTGCCCTCTCCACGGATGAAGAAACAATCTACCTCGTCATCGTCGCCCCGACGCTTACGGGCCAGACTGCGATTGCGAAAACAGATGAAGGGGAAAAAGTGACGATTCGTGACCCACCGGATTTGTCAAGGATCAAGGCGTTCTGGGCCACAGGGGCCCAGGCGGTTACGTATGGGGCGGGGACGTGGCATGCGCCGATGGTGGTTGTGGGGACGAGGAGGGTGGACTTTGTGGTTTCGCAGTTTGTCAATGGAGTTGCGGAGGAGGATTGTCAGGAGGTGAGGTTTCCGCAAGGGTTGGTTGTTGAGGTTGGATCTGGTGGAACTCGTGGTGAGAAGGTGGGGGTGAAGGCGAGGTTATGATTCAGGATCTTGTGGTCAGAAGTGGTCCACTGATAAAGGATGGATGGATAAAAGGGAGATGTGGCATTATGGGGTATTATTGATACAATAAGATAATGTATGTATACATGATAGAAGTGAATATGTTTATGACGAGACAACAGACGCACTGAGCGGAGGAGTTTCGCCGCGAATACTGTTACGCACAGTCTGCGCCAGATCGAGCGTCTCTCTAGGCAAACCCGCCAGCCGCGCGACTTTCAGAGCATGCGATTCCCGATTCACACCCTTGCGAAGCTTATGGACGAACGAAAACGAGCCCTCGGCGAACTCCTTCACATCCGTGCAGTACCTCCCCAAGGCGGGAAAATCCGCTGTCATATCAGCGAGAGCATGGAAATGTGTGGCAAACAGCGTCCGGCACTGATTGCGATAATGCAGATGGTGCAGACACGCATAGCTAACAGCCGTCCCGTCTTCTGGCGTCGTTCCGCGCCCGACCTCGTCCATGATCACGAACGACCGTGGCGTCGCCTGTTTCAGGATCGCAGCCGTCTCGAGCATCTCGACCATGAACGTTGACTGGTCGCGGAATAGGTCGTCGGCCGCGCCGATGCGGCTGAAGATCTGGTCGACGATACCGATTTCCGCGTAATCGGCGGGCACGAACGAGCCGACCTGGGCGAGGATCGTGATCAGGGCGTTCTGCCGGAGGAATGTGCTTTTCCCTGCCATATTGGGGCCTGTGATGAGCCAGATGCGCTCGGCGTCACCAATGAAGCAGTCGTTGCTTACGAAGCGGCGGCCTTGTTCTTCGAGCCCGAGTTTGACGGTTGGGTGTCGTCCACCGACGATCTTGTGGCTTGTCCCTTGAGTGAGAATTGGGCGGATGAGTTGCTGTTCTTCGGCGAGAGTGGCGAAGGAGCATGCGACATCGAGTTCGTCCATTACGGCCGCGTTGCGGCGGATCTTTACTAGGTTCAAGATGACCTCGCGGCGCAAGCTCTCGAAGATTGCTTGTTCTTCTTTGCGGATTTGGAGTTTTACTTGGTCCATTCGCGCTCCGAGCTCGGTCCATGCGGGAAGGTAGAACGACCTGGTTGATTTGGTTGCGGAGACGTTCCTTGTCACCCCAAGCTCTTCCAGCTGCGCCTGTGAGACCTTGGCTCCCTTGACATGGCAGATGTGCCCTAGACCTGGCGTCCACTTTAGCGTCAGGGCGGCGGATCCAACTGATTCACGGAGATGCTGGGTTAAGTTCGATTTCTCATCTAGTAGCTCCTCTAGTGTGCGGTGGAGTTCTTGAAGCGCGGGGCTGGCATCCTGCCGCATGATCCAAGTATCAATTACTGAAGGATCGTCTGCTAGGGCTGAGCGATCGCTGCCCTTGGCCCTGACTTTCTTCGGCAGACTCTCCAGATCTCCCGGGGATCCTTCGCTCAGAGCGACTTCCTGGGCCAACACGGCAGCCTCTGTGGCTGTGTCGTCTTCAATGCGTTGCTTTTGGAGCAAACCTTCCTCGTCAATAGCGGACAAGATTTTGTCGGCTAGAACGGTAGGTCCGTCCAGATACAGCCGGTTGATCATTGTCCGGAGAGATCGTCGAGAAGCCTCGGAGGTATGTTCGCTCGTCTCATCAAAGTTCTTGTTTGATAGTACTCTCTTCACCTCCTTCGAAGCCTCTATGGCCCTTGATAGGCATATCAAGTCATCTGGATCTCCCCGGCCTAAGGTAAACTTCTGAACCAGGCGTTGGGCGTCATAGCTGCGCTTCAATAGTTGTATCAACATGTCCCGGGCTTCACTATCCTCGATGAAAACAGAAACCAAATCCAATCGCTCATTTATCACCGGTAATGAAGTCGAAGGAGACGTAAGGCGATCTCGGAGAAGACGTGCCCCGCTTTTGGTTGACGTACGTCGGACAGCATGGAGGAGACTACCCTTTCCAACGCCGTCGCGAGCCGATTCAAGGATTTCGAGACCTCTAAGACTGTTGCGGTCGACGTTCATTGATTCATCCAAATGTCGCCGACGAGGCGGCTGAAGCTTCATGTTAAGACCCTGCAATTGCACACGTATGTACTCCAGTAGACTGAACCCCGCAGCGACCTCTTCATCCGTGAATGCGTCGATTGTCTTGGATGGAAGCGGCGCTTCCAGCATGGCTGTCCATTCCGAGATTGGCGATGCCTTCTCAGGGAAAGGGAAAAAGGTCATCAGTCGTTGCTCATGACCAAGCAGCAGCTGGAGCTCTTGTCCGATTGAGTCTTGAAGGCGTTGATCAACAATAATTTCTCGAGCACCTATTCTTGCGATTGCTGACGAAAGCATTTGCGCCGAGGTGACTTGAGTATAGAAATCGCCCGTGGAGAGGTCTAACCAGGCCAAGCCTACGTTTTGTGACGTGGATGTGAGGATATGCTGATGCGGAGAGTCGTCATTATTGCTTGGCCAGCTCTCTATGCCTGATGGATTGAGGTAGATAGCCATCAGAAAGTTATTTTCCGACGGATCCATGAACTTTTCATCGATCAATGTGCCCGGCGTGATGACTCGTGCTACCTTTCGAGCGAAAAGCAGCTCACCGGGACCCTTGCTCTCCGCGCCATGTTCAAATTGCTCGCTGATTGCAACATATTTGTTCAAGTCTTGGACAAGGATCTTCAGAAACCGATCGAGCTGGAAGAACGGGAACCCAGCCATGGGAACGGGGCCGGCGCTGGTCCTTTTCGAAGCGAGTTTTATGTTGAGCAACGGGGCTAGCTCTTCAGCTTGCTCAAAGTAAAGCTATCGTATGTTAAGATGGACCCTTTGTACGGAGATTTGCCGGACAATGTACCTCGTAGAAGCCTCCGACCCTTGTCAAAACAACACAGTTCTTGAACTTGTGCATGTTATTCCGATGCTCCTGAAGGGCAGTAGGGTATCGGGGACCTTCGTCAACAACCTCATGATAAGATTTCAACTTCACGGCACCCTGAGGGAGGTCCTTCAGCTTGACTGTTGACTTGCTTTTCGCATAACGTCGCTGTCCGTAATTGAGGCCCGGCACTGGCTCCGGAGCTGCGACGCGTCGCGGTCGTTGAGCATGATGGCAGATTGTTCGATGTACGCGACAGCGATAGGAGTTCGCGGCATCGATTCGAGACAAGGTCCGAGCTTGCGACTGTATTAAGCTAGGGAGACGATACCCATTGATTGACATGGTCGCCTCAGGGGAAGTATTGCTTAGGACTGTCCCAGGCGATTTGCCTGTTCATTTCTGACGGCAGAAAATTGATGCCCCAGGCCGCTATCGCCAAACCTTCCGTCTCCGCCACCGAAATCTGCGACTCAACTTCATCTTCCCGACAGCTTTTACCCAGCAACTTCTCCTTCCCAGTCATTCAAAGGAGCTCGCAGCATAACACTCGAAAGCGTGCTTGCTGCAGGAGGATGGTCCAGGTTTGTGAAACCTTACGGATCTCACTTCACCACAGAATTCATCTCTAGCTGCAGGTGTCTCGACGCGCCGCCGAATCCTGAGCCTGAGCTCCCTTGAGCCCAGCGACGAGTCATTCCGGTCACTGTACCGTTGACATACGCATACATTCTTTTATTTATTGGTTCAGATCGTCAAAATGGCCGACCAAAATATCTCACAGTATAAATACTCGGCGATGTCCAACCTGGTTCTCCAGGCGGACCGTCGTTTCATTTCTCGCATCAACGATGAACCTACCGGAGATCCAGAATCCCTCGCGGGCCGAATCGGTATTCGAGAAATGGGATCAAGGATAGCGCGCGATGATGCTCCGAAATCCAAGAAGAAGGCTCTCGGACCGGTCGACGTCGAGCGCGGTGCGATTCGAGAGGGCGAGGATGTTCTTGCGCGTGAACAGAAAAAGCGACAAAAAGGCCAGCCCGCCCAACTACGCGGCCAAGGCATTCTTTCCGCAGCCGACGCCCTCATTGAAGGGCTGAAATATCGCCCTCGTACACCTGCCACCCGCGCTACCTACGATCTAATTCTCACATTGACTGCGAGTCGTCTCGGTGATGTTTCACACGAAGTCGTTCGAAGTGCTGCCGATGCCGTCCTAGAGGTCTTGAAAGACGAGGAAATGAAGGATTTTGACAAAAAGAAGGAAATAGATGATTTGATTGGCACGTCATTGAATCCGAAAGAGTTTAACGAGCTGGTCAACTTGGGAAAGAAAATCACGGATTACGACGCACAAGATGAAGATGAGGAGATGGGTGACGGCTTCGCGGGCGAAGAGGAGGCGGAACTAGATGAACGTCAAGGTGTCGCTGTGGTCTTCGATGAAGACGAGGATGAAGATCGCATGGGCACTTTGGACGAAATCCACGACGACGACGAGTCCGAGTCCGAGGATGAGCATGAATCAGGCGATGAGGAGGCTGTGCCCAAGGAAGCTGAAGATGTGCCAACTGAGGAGATGGTCATCGATGGAGGAATGGCCCGAGATGGAGATCAACAAAAGAAGGGATTGAAAGTACACGCCCGTGAAATCGACGCTTACTGGCTTCAGCGTCAGATTGGTTCTGCATACTCGGATGCCCATATCCAGCAAGAAAAGGCTACCCAAGCCCTCGATATCATGGGCGGCAAAACAGAGGACGGCTCTGAAAAGCCATTGCGAGACGTCGAAAATGACCTCATGGACCTGTTTGACTACGACTACCCAGATCTTGTCGCCAAACTGGTTACAAACCGAGATAAGATTGTTTGGACTACTCGCTGGCGGCGGGTGGCTGAAGACGCTGACGCTCGTCACCTTGTCGAGAGTGAGATGGTCGAGGCTGGACATCGCTCTATATTGGATGAGATCCGTGGAAGGGCTGCCCGTGACGATGATACTGCTCGTCCCGAGAAGAGAATCAAGATGGATCTTATGGATGTTGACATGCCGAATCCCCCGGCTGCCGAGCAAAAGCCCGCAGATGGTGGACTGGTCCGTGGTCTACAGCCGAAACGAACGATCAACTTGGAGAACCTCGTCTTCCATCAAGGAAACCATCTGATGACGAACCCTAACGTCAAACTTCCCCAAGGATCTACGAAACGGACATTTAAAGGCTACGAGGAAATTCACGTACCTCCACCAAAAGCCAAGCAAGATCCGGGAGAGCGCAAGATTGCCATTTCAGAGCTTCCTGAGTGGGCGCATAAGGGCTTCGGAGATGCCAGGGAGCTCAACCGCATCCAGACCAAGTGCTATCCGTCCGCTTTCCAAGATGATGGAAACATGCTTGTCTGCGCCCCTACTGGGTCCGGAAAGACAAATGTTGCCATGCTTAGTATTCTTCGTGAAGTCGGCAAGAACCGCAACCCTCAAACCGGCGAAATCATGCTCGACGACTTCAAGATCATCTACATCTCTCCCCTGAAGGCCCTTGTGCAAGAGCAGGTCGAGAACTTCGGCAAGCGCCTTGCACCTTACGGTATCAAGGTGTCCGAACTGACTGGTGATCGTCAACTTACGAAGCAGCAAATTGCTGAGACACAGGTTATCGTTACCACCCCCGAAAAGTTCGACGTTATCACCCGCAAGGCGTCCGAGACGAGTTATACGAAGCTTGTGCGCCTCATTATCATTGACGAGATTCACTTGCTCCATGACGAGCGCGGTCCCGTTATTGAAAGCATCGTCAGCAGAACCATTCGTCAAGTCGAGCAGACTGGCGACCCCGTAAGGATTGTGGGTCTTAGTGCCACTCTTCCTAATTACCGCGATGTCGCCAGTTTCCTTCGTGTTGACCCGGCCAAAGGATTGTTCCATTTCGATGGGTCTTACCGACCTTGTCCCCTGAAACAAGAATTCATTGGTGTCACAGACAAGAAGCCTATCAAGCAGCTGAAGATCATGAACGACATTTGCTACAACAAAGTCATTGAGCATGTTGGTCAGAATAGGAACCAAATGCTTATCTTTGTTCACTCGCGAAAAGAGACAGCGAAGACTGCCAAGTACCTCAGGGACAAGGCTTTGGAGATGGAAACCATAGGCCAAATCTTGAAGAGCGACTCTGCAAGCAGGGCCATCCTTGCCGAGGAGGCCGAGTCGGTCGATGACGCTTCACTCAAAGATCTGTTGCCCTACGGGTTCGGTATTCATCACGCTGGTCTGAGTCTTGCGGATCGTGACTCTGTTCAAGCGCTTTTCAAAGATGGCAGCATCCAAGTTCTTGTTTGTACAGCAACTCTTGCCTGGGGCGTTAACTTGCCTGCACACACTGTCATCATCAAGGGAACACAAGTCTACTCCCCTGAGAAGGGTAGCTGGGTTGAGTTGAGCCCTCAGGATGTCCTTCAAATGCTTGGACGTGCTGGGCGGCCTCAATACGACACCTATGGCGAGGGTATAATCATTACCTCGCAAGCCGAAATCCAGTATTACCTTTCCTTGATGAATCAGCAACTGCCCATCGAAAGTCAGCTTATGAGCAAGCTCGCCGACAACATGAACGCTGAGGTTGTGCTGGGCAACATTCGAACTCTCGATGAGGGTGTTGACTGGCTTGGCTACACCTATCTATTCGTTCGCATGCTGCGCTCCCCTGGACTGTACAGCGTCGGTGCCGATTACGAGAACGATGATGCGTTAGAACAGAAGCGTGTTGATCTGGTTCATTCCGCAGCCGTGGTTCTAGAGAAGGCTGGTCTTGTGAAGTATGACAAGAAAAAGGGCCTTATCCAGTCCACAGAGCTGGGCCGCGTTGCCTCACATTACTACATCAGCCACAATTCGATGTCGACGTATAGTCAACACATTCAACCCTCTATCGGTAGCATTGAGCTTTTCCGTATCTTCGCCCTTAGTGATGAGTTCAAGTATATCCCAGTTCGGCAGGATGAGAAGCTTGAACTGGCCAAGATGCTCGGCCGTGTGCCTGTTCCTGTCAAGGAAGGTATAGATGAACCTCACGCCAAGATCAACGTTCTCCTACAGGCGTACATCTCCCGTCTCAAGCTCGAGGGCCTTGCCTTGATGGCCGACATGGTTTACGTGACCCAATCAGCTGGTCGTATTCTTCGTGCTCTGTTCGAAATCTGTTTAAGAAGGGGCTGGGCGTCTGTGGCCAAGAATGCCCTTGATCTTTGCAAGATGGCTGAAAGACGAATGTGGCCGACCATGTCCCCTCTCCGCCAGTTCCCAAGGTGCCCGAGGGATGTGCTGCAGAAGGCTGAGCGTATTGATGTGCCTTGGGGTAGTTACTTTGACCTCGACCCTCCACGCATGGGCGAGCTTTTGGGTATGCCTAGGGCTGGCCAAACGGTCTGTGACCTGGTTTCCAAATTCCCCCGACTAGAGGTTCAAGCACAGGTTCAGCCAATCACGCGTTCCATGTTGCGAGTCGAGCTCACCATCACACCCAACTTTGTGTGGGATGAAGAGCTCCATGGCACCGCGCAGGACTTTTGGATCTTGGTAGAAGACTGTGATGGTGAGGAAATTCTATTCCACGACCAGTTCGTTCTACGCAAGGACTACGCACAGTCAGAGATGAATGAGCACCTTGTCGAGTTCACTGTGCCTATCACCGAGCCTATGCCCCCTAACTACTTTATCTCCCTCATCTCCGACCGCTGGATGCACTCGGAAACTCGAATCGCCGTTTCCTTCCAGAAATTGACCCTTCCAGAACGATTCCCCCCTCATACCCCACTGCTCGACATGCAGCAGGCGCCAGTCAAGGCCTTGAAGCGTGATGAGTACCAACGACTGTACCCCGACTGGGAGTATTTCAACAAGATTCAGACTCAATCGTTCAAGTCTCTCTTTGACAGTGATGACAACGTTTTCATCGGCGCCCCTACAGGTAGTGGCAAGACTGTCTGTGCTGAGCTGGCACTGCTCCGCCACTGGGCCCAAGAGAACAGCGGCCGAGCAGTTTACATTGCTCCCTTCCAAGAGCTTGTTGATCAGCGCCTAGAGGACTGGGAGAAGCGGCTGAGCAAGCTCGCCGGTGGCAAGACAATTGCCAAGCTTACGGGAGAGATGACCGCGGATTTGAAGGTCCTCGCCGGTGCAGACCTTGTTCTTGCTACACCCGCACAATGGGATGTACTCTCCCGGCAGTGGCAAAAGCGTAAGAATGTGCGTGCCGTGGAATTGTTCATTGCGGATGAGCTGCACATGCTTGGAGGGTACGGTGGTTATGTGTACGAAGTGGTTGTATCTCGCATGCAGTCCATCGCCCTTCAGACCGAAAGCGGCATGCGTATCGTCGGTCTGAGTGTTCCTATCGCCAATGCTCGCGATATCGGTGAGTGGATTGGAGCCAACAAGCACACAATCTACAACTTCAGCCCTCACGCCCGACCGTTGCCTTTGGAGCTCCATATCCAATCTTTCAGCATTCCTCACTTCCCTTCAATGATGCTAGCCATGGCAAGACCTGCATACCTTTCGATCCTGCAACACTCTCCTAATATGCCCGCCCTGATATTTGTGCCTAATCGGAAGCAAACCCGCTCTACAGCCATCGATCTGTTGGCCTCGTGTGCTGTTGACGACGACGAAGACCGATTCCTCCACGCTGATGTTGAAGAATTACAACCGCTCCTCACTCGGGTTCAAGAGCGTACGTTGGCTGAATCGCTGTCCCATGGTATTGGATACTATCACGAGGCTCTGAGTCAGACTGATAAGCGCATCGTTTCTCACCTCTATAACATCGGTGCAATCCAGGTTGTCATTGCTTCGCGGGATGTCTGCTGGGAACTTAACCTCACCGCCCACCTCGTCATTATTATGGGAACCCAGTTCTTTGACGGCCGTGAACATCGGTACATTGACTACCCAATCAGTGAAATCCTTCAAATGTTCGGCAAAGCTTCGCGTCCCGGTCAAGATAAGAGCGGTAAGCGTGGGCGTGGTGTCCTCATGGTGCCGTCCGTCAAGCGGGAGTACTACAAGAAGTTCCTCAATGAGGCCCTGCCTGTGGAGAGTCACCTACAACTGTACATGCATGATGCCTTCGTCACCGAAGTGAGCACGAGAACGATCACATCGACTCAAGATGCTGTTGATTGGATGACGTACACGTATTTCTACCGCCGCCTTCTAGCCAACCCAAGCTTCTACGGTCTCACCGACGTGAGCCACGAAGGCCTGAGTACCTTCCTTTCGGAGTTGGTTGAGAACACTCTGAAGGAGCTGTCTGAAGCCAAGATTATCGATCTGGATGAGGAAGATGACAGTGTGTCGCCTCTCAATGCGGCTTCAATCGGTGCCTACTACAACATCTCGTACATCACGATGCAGACCTTCCTCCTTTCCCTATCAGCGCGGACAAAGCTCAAGGGCATTTTGGAGATCATTACATCTGCGACGGAATTCGAGTCTGTTCAAATGCGACGTCATGAAGATCACATTCTCCGCCGAGTGTACGATCGCGTTCCGGTCAAGATGTCCGAAGCTGCCTACGACTCTCCTCACTTCAAAGCCTTCGTGCTGCTTCAAGCCCACTTTTCTCGCATGCAGTTGCCTATCGATCTGGCCAAGGATCAAGAGGTCATCGTTAGCAAGGTACTCAGCCTTCTCAGCGCGTGTGTGGATATTCTCGCATCTGAAGGCCACATGAACGCTATGAATGCGATGGAGATGTCCCAGATGGTCGTTCAGGCCATGTGGGATCGTGACAGCCCACTCAAGCAGATCCCTCATTTCGGCCCCGAGGTTATCAAGGTTGCCAACGAGTACAAGTATGTAACTTCACCTCTTTCTTTCACCGCGTCTGCTAACCTCACGCGTTTTACTAGGATCAATGATATCTTTGAGTTCATGGATGCTATGGACCCCGAGAACAAGGACTATGCCACCCTTGTCAAGCGCCTTGGCCTCGACAACAAGCAATTGGCACAGGCAGCCGCATTCACCAACAACAAATATCCCATTCTCGAACTCGACTTTGAAGTCGAAGACCCCGAGAACATCACCGCCGGCGAGCCCTCATACCTTAAGATCAAGGTTGAGCGGGAAGTGGAAGAGGATGAGGAGGTCGACACTACCGTCCATGCACCTTTCTACCCCACTCAGAAGATGGAGAACTGGTGGCTGGTCGTTGGCGACGAGAAGACAAAGAGCCTGCTCGCGATCAAGCGAGTCACGATTGGTCGGAAACTGGAGCTGCGTTTGGACTACACTGTTCCAACGCCTGGCGAGCATGAGCTTACGTTGTACCTGATGAGCGACAGCTATGTTGGGGTGGACCAAGCGCCCACGTTCACTGTCACTGCTGCTGAGAGCATGGAAGAGGATGAGAGTGCCGAGGAGGAAGAGGAGTAAACGAAAAGAAACCTTTTTTTTTATCAGGATTTGGTGCTATAATGTACTGTAATTATACGAATGACTAGAGATTTATGCTGATCAATTGTGATGATCAGTCCTGAAATGTAAAACGAAGAAATCCCGTCATACTGGAACGTATATTATTTCCAGCTGGATCCAGGCCGGTTTTTTGCGTCACGAAGCGGAGATAAGGCTGCTGTGTATACACACGCAGGCCAAAATGGAGATGGATTGCTTGAGCCTACGAAGGCATGTTCAGTACCACCGAGGCACCTGCCGCGCCCTGGTCTAAAGGGTTAAATTTACTTCGCGGATATGGCACACTTGATGGGGAAAGCTATTGAACTATAGCATTCATTTCCTGATACAGACAAGCGCCATCTATCAAGTACTCCAACCTAATCTAGCCATGCACTCCAATACCTTTGTTCCATTCTAATTCGTAACTGTTTGCGGCCGTGACCCATAAACTGGTAGTCGAAAAAGCAAAGAAAAGAAAAAAAGATCACTCTAGACAGCGAGGAGAAGGATAAGATAGAGGTAGGCACTAGTTGGAAGGAGGGATCGTTAAGATACATATGGCAAAGAAAGAGAATCTCTGAGCGTCGGTGATACCCTCAAGGCAGGGGGGTAAAGAAAAAGGATAAAAGAAATACGGGGTACATCACACAACCACAGATTACACGTAGAAGAAAGTAAAAGGGGTATAATTGTAAGAGGTATGATATCAGAAGAAAAACGCAGAGTCAAAAAGGCATAAAACAGGCGTTACTGGTTTCCGATCTCAACGAGAACCTTCATCTCGCTATCCATCCAGTCTACTTTCTCGGCGGCGAGAAGAGAGAGCGTCCAATCACTGTCGTTCTCAATTGAGATAAGTCCTTCTGGCAGCCAGACCTGGAATCGCCAGCCAGCGGACGCATCCCACGTACCGGTACTTGTGTCTGTATTGGGGTCAGCTGAAATGCCGGGTAGTTCCCCGGCATATCTGCGACAAAGGAGTTGCCTGGCATTGGCAAGATCGGGACATTGACTAGCGGGAATGTCATAAGATGGAAATATGCGCTTGCCGTGTTGCAAGATGTTGATTCGTAAGTGAAGAGGGCATGAAGGGGTATGAACGTTCGAAGTCTCGGGTGCGTTGGGGAAGGATAGGGGCGCTAGTGGTAGAGATTGCGGCAATGGTGTGTGGTTTTGAGCATTTTGTCTCGCCGCGAGGGTGTCTCGGATAACCCGCGAAACGTCACGGGCAATGCTGCTTGCACTGTGCAAAAATGAGTAAGCAAAACGTCTCAAAACGTGAAGGGCCCCGTAGTATACACTTACAATTCGTTCTTGACAGGGCGCTCAGCACTTCCACCAATGCGCCATCTTAAATCACTCGTGTACTCCGAATTGATAATACGCCCGATATTGTCATCCTCACAGCAGCCGCTACAATCGTAGTGCCCTTCGTGAACAACCTGATAATGGCTGTCAACTGCCGCGACGAGGCCTCGCCAATCGCCAAGTTGCAGGCCCGACAGTGCCCACAGATTGTCGAGTTCGTAGTTTTGATTGTACATGTCATACGACTTGGAGATCGCATGCCAGTCGGTGGTGTAGCCTTCCACGAACAGTTCAGTGAGGCCAAGATCTGAAACTTGGACTGTCGATCCAGTTTGAGAAGGCGGCGGCGGAGGCGCTGGTAAAGCAGATTGGGCGGAACTATACCCATCCGGAAGATGGTGTTGTGTGTGCATTTGAAGATGTTCCTCGGCCGTAAATCCAGGTGGACTAGCAGCGTGGAAATCTTGGATACTATCCTCTGTTTTTCGTCTCCTTCGTGCCTCGGGTCCACCTTTCCTGGTCTCGACGGCATACTGGCGCTGGCGCTCGTTCGTGACCATACGCCTCAGCAACGGGATAACGAGCGAGATAATCTTCTGCTGGTCCCTTGGCCAGACGTAGGTTCGAGGCGGCATACCCTCGTTGACGACATGCTCACCAAAGAATCGCGGGCCATTGCCCTCAACCTCGAGGAAATGGCGCACACAGTTCCAGAGACGCAACTTCACCATCTCCGTGTCTCCCTTCCCACGCTGACCCACACAGTCCCGACGCTCCGGATGCCTGTCATCCAGCATATATGCTTTTGCCGCCGCTTGCAAATGCAAGAAATTCTCCGGCGATAATTCAAGAGACGTAAACATCTTTGACATGGGAGGCCTGGTATACTTCTTATTGGTCGAGGTCTGACGGAAAAGCGCCGCTGCAGAATGTAACCCAACAGCACGAGCTTCCGCCAGCGACTGCGGTGGCGTGCTGCGAATCTCCAATCCCTCGCCGCCATAGGGACCAGCATGATGGTTCGCATGGTGTTGGGCCTGATTGTGGTGCTGTGTCTGGCTCTGGTGATGCGCAAGACCAGCAGTAGCAGCTGCTAGAGCAGGATCAAGCGCATCCTCGTTCCTCTTTCTCTTCTTCGTGCCCGATCGAGCCAATCCTGAGGACTGGCCGTGTTCATTTCCAGATGTTGACCCGGGTCCTCGGTACTGCCGAGGACCACCAATCCCCGCGTAACCTCCCTCGCCAAAACCATCGTCATCTAACTGGATATCAGGCGCGTAGCCGTCAAGGTGGTGTTGGTTCCCCGCCGCTCCGGCTGCCGCTGCAACGGCTGCTGCTGCTGCCCACTCTGATACATCTTGGCCCGCTGCCGCGGTGGCGGCTTCTACCAGCCCGGCGAGCTGGTTCTCGCTTGGCGCGTACCCACCGCTCGCAATGTGTGAATTCTGGTCGGCGGTAGAGGTGGATGGCGGTTGGTTGTTGGAGAAATCGCCTGGGGAGTTCGACGACGGGTGCTGATGATTTTGTGGAGCTGTGGAAGTCATGGCTATCAGGTTCTTCGGGCGTTGCGACTGAAAGTAGAAGTAATATAAGCCAAAAATACCATTCGGACCCTCTCGCAAACAGCGGTCCTGATGTCCAGTGAGCCCGATTAAGTATGAACCCCTGTCGGGCGAGTGAGGCGTTCGCTGGGTCGCGCCCTGCAGGGCAGGAGCAGGAAGAAGTAGGGTCACCACTCAGAAAATCTGGCGTGAGCTGGGAAGGTGGAAGCTCAGAGCTTCCGAATGTATAGATCTTGGAGACCGCGAACAGTCGATCAATCAGATAGCGCGAGAAGGCTGTTTGCGTAGTTTGGAGGATGGACAGACAATGCAAACTTTTCGTGAAGCTCTTCGAAAGGTTCTTGACCACATGGGGAAAGTCGGTCCGCGCAAACCGCATCATGTTCAGGCCACATCAGGCATCAACTCTCTCTCTGGTCGTGATTCAAGAATGCACCAACAATAATCTGGTTGCTGCCCAAACCGTGGTTCGAAGATCTGAACTTAATATTTCATAGTATCAACTAACCAATCTCGGGCCAGCCAAACGATTGATCAGCTGCAAGAAATCTCCATTCCAACCACATCTTCAGTATATCGGAACAGATAAGATCACATCATGATATCAAGAACGCTGTACGCAAAGAGGATGCAGAAATATACACAAGATAAAGGAAGAGACTCGTCAGCTAAATCCAACTTCCAGGGCTCGGGCCGCTGGGTCTTGTCCGCGCATGGTAGCATTGACCAATAAATCCTCCTTTAGCTGCAGCTTGCGCGCGATCTGATCTTCAAGCTCGTTATCTCTCCCAGGTTCGGGAATTGTGAGGTGGCTCTTCTCTCCAAGAGTGCCGCGTTGCCGGGCAGCTTCTATCACACTCGCCCGGCTGCGCCACCGTTTGAGTTCATCCTCGAGGTTTTCACGTTCCGAGTCCAGGTTGCGGAACGCATTGTATTCGTCCTCACCCCCGAAACAAATTCCATATCCGTCGCAAAAACACACGTGCTCCTTTGGACAAACCACGTTCTGGCCGGTGAAGACCACGTGCCATAGGTACTCCCAGATTCGACCAGATATGTAGTCGCTAAGTTGCGTGCGAAGAACCCAGTCTCGGTAGAAAATAAAACGCGCTTGGGGAATAGCGTGGACTCGCTCGCGCGAGACGGCAAACTGAGCGCAGCATGGCTGTGCTAGCACATCGGGAATCGGGTCATCCGGGAAGATCTCCCCCCATGATCTGGCGAGCATGATTTCCTCCTGCTTTGACTCGTCTTCCTCGAGGGTACCGGGATGGAGCCAATCGGGGCATCCTGGCCCCCAGCCGCAACGCAGATTCATGTATCCTTCCCTAACCACTCGTTCCGGCCGCAGGCGTTGCAGTATCTCCGCCGCATTACCGTCGAGAAGATCATCATTGTGCCAGGCAAACTGATGGGAGTGCATGAATGCGATTATGTCCGGTAGTTCATCGTAGTGCTCGATAATGTAGCTCAAGTAAATCATAACCTCGTGCCCTTTGTTCTTTGGAGGGTGTAACGGCGCGGAAGGGTCGTCGACGATATATACAGCAGTCTCCCATCCCGGAATCTCAAACTCCATCCACGTAGTATCCTCATAATTTGTTCGCGGCACGACTAGGACTTTCGTATATTCGTATCCTTCCGGTTTGGCAACTCCTGGGACGAATTTCGGGCGCGGAGCGTAAGGTTCCTTATGAATTCCGGTGGTGTTCCAATGCCCGGACGGTGTTGGCTTTGGTGTGTGCGTAGGTACCATATCGCCTAGCCCGACGACTTGTGAAACTTGTGCCCATGATTTGGAGAGACTATAGAGACCGTAAAGACAGAACAGAAAGAAGCCGAGGCCGAGAAGAGGGACAAAACGCCGTGTTGACGCCATGAGTCGGACCGAATTTGACGTGGCGGACTGTATGCGCTGCGCTGCGAAGAAGCGGTAGTCAGTCAACTAGCATCGCAAACTGTGGAATTCCATAGTTGAAGTTTGGGGGAATTGGTGAGGTTGTAAGATTCATGATCGAGCACTGGTGGCATCAATCCTGCTCGTCTTACGGAGAGCATGCAATGGGGGCCGACTCACAGACAACTTAACTGGGAATTTGACATGCGCCAAAATTGCAGTCGGGGCCCAGTTGTCAAGCCCTTAAAATTGAAGATATAAGCATATGCAGTTGCGATTCTCTTAAAACAAGGTCAAGGAGGGAAAGAGATCCGCATCGGAGGAGCAATTCCCCAGCCAGTGGAAAGTCAACTCGTCGAGTGGTTACGCAACAAGTCTGAAACGGTCGGCAACGGCCAGAACGGGCGGAGGCGGTGCTGCAGCCTTACGACTAAAATAGAACTTACCCAAGGAAGGAGAAGCAAAGGTGCAGATATCTGCACGGAGGAGAAAAGAAGAAGTAGATAGCAGAAGCCCGAAATGTTATCGATCAAAACACTTGGCCAACTTATCTTCCTTCATCTTGCCTCTGGATTCTGAAACACGGCTGAAGCGGCCACGACGGAAGCACGCAAGAAGAACCATGCGGGAGATGACTCCGGAGTAAGTAACCAACTTGTCAAAGATCATCATGAAGCCGCCGGAAATGCCATTGCCAATTGGAGCAAAAGACAGATGATCCCCCTGATAATCATCTGGCTCATCTTGAATCCGCCAATCGATGAAGAGGTGGAAACAACCGAATGTCTCACAGAGCAAGGCTTGCAGCAGGGGCTACGTACACCGTAAGACAACCATCAATTTAGAGTGCAGCCACACATTCTTCAGATATTCTTGACTCCATATAGTATCAATAGAGGATAAATATCGTGGAGACAACTATTTATCCATCTCGTCTAGTCGCATGTTCTTGAGCTCATGTGGATAACTATGTACAATCAAGTCTCAGGTGAAAACATCAGGCCAGCGGAGCAGAAAAGAAGAGGATAAGGGAGCGAACTATGAAGATCTTCAGTGATATCAATAGAACTCCCCTCTTATGAGCTAGGATGAGGTTCATTTGGGTATAATCCTGGCTCGCTAAAGAAAAACGGCATTCAAATGGGTCTGGCCCAGTGTATCAGCGATGCATGGTAACTGAATATAGTGGCATCCAAAAAGTACAACCGTGTGAAAAAAAAGTATGAGAAAAGTATGCAAATTACAAAGTCAAGATCATGTCTCATCGTCTGCCACATCTTCAACCGTTGCCATTCGGGCTTTTCCCTTGGACGGAGATTCCGACGCCTCGTTGTCTGTCGTGAAGTCACCGGTTTGCTGGCTTTGACTCTCAACCTGGTCGCTACTCGAAGGAGCCGATTTCCTCGCTGTTTCGGTCTCTGCACTCAAATCCGTCCATTGTTGAGAGAGGGACTCGACATTGGCGTCAGATGTAAGCGAGTTAGATCCTGATTGCCAATTTGGTAATCCAGGGAGGCGAGGAGAGGGCGACGTCGCGGTGTCGATGGTACTACTCAGCTCTTCTGTCACGGTCTCCGTGGGTACTTGTGTATTCGAGGTGTTCCCAGATGTAGGAAAAACAGGGCTCGTAACAGTGCCACTGAGTGGTCCACTTAGACCCTGTTGTGCGGAGTGCAGTGGGACCAGAGTCCAGCCTTGGGGAAGTGTCAACCCTTCGGGAAGGCGGGAGTCTCCAGCTTCCAAGGAAGGTGCTCCTGGGTCGGAAACGAACTGATGGCGTACGGTGGTAGGTGATGTAGAGGATAGTGGATTTGAAGGCACAGGAGGAGTTTGTAGCATGGTATTCTGGACATCTGGTGGTTGAAGCTGCAAAGTGCGGAGGCGTTGAAGCTCTGTCTGGAGCAGCCTGACCAAGTTCAGCTGATCTGCTGTGACCCTAAGACTATTGATCTCAGTCATAATTTGTTGCTCCAACTGTAGTATATGGCTCTGCATGTTCAACACATTCGAGGTAGGTGTTGGCGGCGGTTGAACAGCGACAGGCGCTGGCTGTGGCGGCGGAGGTCGTCCGAACCCAAAACCGAAGCCAATTTGTCTCGCTCCAGCGGGGTTAGGATCGTTTGCCTGCGGCCATGGAGCATTGCCCTGGTGGATCTGTTGATGCAAGTTGTTGAAAAGGTCCCCTCTTCCGGCGCCGAACCCTATTCTGAACGGGCCAAATTGGTATATACGGGCCCTGGGAAGACCTTCAGCCGCACCGTTCCTCCCGAACGGCTGGTTCCCAGGAATTGCGTTCTGCTGTTGCCCCGCACCGGCGTTCGCCTCTTCCGGGTTATTCGCAGCGGCTCCTTGGGTTCGAGGTGGAGCGATGACCGGTCGTCGACATGTCGGGCAATTCTGCTGCCTTTCTAGCCAGCTTCTAAGGCAAGAGAAATGTAGAATGTGGCCACAGGGGAGTTTCTTAGGCCGTAATCTCTCGGAGACGCGAGTCGCCGCTCTTTCTCCGGGTTGGTTTTGCCAATGGTTCATCTCCTCACGACAAATGATGCATACCTCTTCTCTTGCGACCTCTTCAGCAGTAGCATCGGGGTACCTATCGTTCATATCGCGTGTAGCATTGCGGTATCGGACGAAGTCCATAATCCGACGAGCAAAGGAGCGGATTGTTACCACCACATCCCGCAGGATATGGATGGGTAGCCCGTAGAAAGTGAAAAGGATGGCGAAAAAAGTAAGGTACACCGTCAGCTTCAGGAAGTCGGTGAGGAGGTCGAGATAGAAAACCCAGCGCCCTTTCTCTTCCCATCCTGGAATATCGAGTTCCATCTCATTGATGTCATTCTCATCAGGCAAATCGGGAGGTGTAGTCTGATCTCCACTCTCCGCTTGCTCAGCTTCGGCCCGGGCGCGAGCAGCCCTGATTTCCTGGCGGCGTTCCTCGACTCGGGCGTTCATCTGTTGGCGGTTGACAAAGATTTCGACCAGCGAGATTGTATACCTGACGGCGGTCGATGTTGAGAGAATGGTCAAGACGGCGAATTCGAAGCCAAACATAACCATCATGTCTGGGCGCGCTTGTTCAAGAACGGTTTCGGTGCAGTATTTCAGCATGAATGTGTTGAACAGGACAGATAACAACAAAGAGATTGCCAGCCTCGCATGAAACAGGACGGGGTTTGCGGGAGGTTGCTGTTCCAAGAACTCCACGCGGCCTTCCCCGATCCATCCCCAAACCTTTCCGACAAGTAGAGACACAAACATGACCAGGAACCAGGCCCCCAGCTCTCCCCGAAAAATTGTCATGGCCAAACATGTTTCCGTTACGGCAAACCACGCCTTTTCATAAAGTTGCTCGGTTTCGATGGGACGTAGGGGTCCGTAAAGGAGGCGCTGAAGCCAGAATAGGAGAAATCCAACAGCCAAAAGACATACATTGGTCAGAATCTGGAAAGCGCCGAGGTCAGCCACCATAAACAGAAGCGGAAGTATGTCGAGCTTACCATGAGATTTGCACTGCTCTGCGAAAGATACACACAAGCAGAATAGAAATTCGCCCTCTGATGAAGCGCTTTCATGACAACGCCCGTCGCCAGAGCCACTGAGGCCTAGAAGAAGAAGTCAGCGCTGAATTGAGCGATCTCAGGATATTCGGCAACTCATACCCCAGCATAGGCAGCTAATCTCATCGCCGCAGGGAGTGTGGGCTTAAAAGCCCAGAATCATTGACAAAGTCAAGATACAAACGTTATCACGTTAAAGCGAGCATTGACAGAGCGTGCAAGCTGTCGGGTAAAAAGGGAAAGAAAGTCGACTGGATCGCGTGGACAGATGACAGGCAAAGGCGGTTCTCCAGGTTCTGGACAGCTATACCAATCTCCGGCGGCGGGAACAGCGTGTCTTACGTCAGCGGGGGTTTACTCCCCGAAGTCACGACATAAAGGTGATCCGGAGTATAACTCCTCCCATATGTTCAAACTTGACAGAGCATTCCTCGTCCTCCTATCCGCGAGTTAATGGCCACTAGTGGCTTTCGGCTACTTTCTCAATTGCATTGAACGCTTAAAAGTGAACGCCCCCGCTCAATTACCGATTTGCTGACTCCTTCACGCGATCACATGATTCACAGTCGTCAGACATCCAACAACCTCTCGCCCTGCGACCAACCAGTTCTGGGTAGATAGAATGTGCCCTTGAATCGCTTTGCCTACTTGAAATATACCATCAAATGTTTCAATTCGATCCGCAGAGCCATTCTACGAGTTAATGATGGCGTCGCAGCGGCCTATGTTTACCGCTAGCTGGACCCAAACTTTCACATATTTACTTGGCGTGTGTCCTTTCTCAATTGCATTCTTGGTCTTCATCAACTCATCCATCTCATTCGTTGTCACCGACTTGATTGGCGTACATGATGGGGAGGGAGATGCCGTAGGTACCCTAGGTTTCGCCGATGAGCTACTTGCCTTGGCCGCCTGTCCTCTATGGGGGGTGCTTTCGGACACCATCGGTGTCCGCCAGGTACGTTAAATCCCTCTGTCGGTGAAAGATCGATGAGTATTGAGATATATCATTGTAGGTATGCACAGCTGGCTACATTATCATTGCTCTTGCGCTAGTCCTGTTTGTTCAAGCAAAGAACATCTACCCTCAGCTTCTCCTCGGAAGGTTACTATTCAGCCTAGGAGGTGCAGCGGTCTCAACAATGGTTACAGCCGTCTTGCCCGTCGTAACCGCAAACAAGCTAAACCCTCCTGTTGAAGAGACCGACCTAGAGTCAAGGGTCAGCGCGCCCTCGTCCAGGTTGGCAGGGTATGTCGGGATGTGCGCGGGATGTGGAGCTCTGATCTCCCTAGGCATTCTTTTGCCCCTTCCAGCTCACTTTCAACAGTTGGGATTCTCGCCTCCGGAAGCTATCCAGTACAGCTACTATACGGCGGCCGTTGTGGCCCTTCTTATTAGTGTTGCTTGCTTCATTGGCCTCAGGGATCTGCCAGGGGAAGATAGCAAGGCCTGGACCTCACTCTGGAGGGCGTCGCTTCAGGAGACGCAATCGAGCCGGACCAGGAAACAGTCGATCTCAGCCTTGATCAAGACCCGAATGCCGTACCTGCACCAATTCGGCTCCGCGATTGCGCTGGGATTTCACAACCGCGACATCCTCATCGGTTACCTCGGAGGGTTCGTAGCGCGAGCCTCATCTGTCGGGATATCCCTGTTTATCCCTCTTTTTGTGAACAGCTACTATCTCAGGACGGGCCTTTGTGATGGGCAGCCTTCAGAAGAGGCCACCCCAGGGGACATCAAGCAGTCTTGTCCCAAGGCATATGTGCTTGCTGCAATTCTGACTGGCGTGTCTCAGCTCGTAGCACTACTCGCAGCTCCGGCATTCGGTTATTGGTCCGAAAAGTCTCGCCAGTATCATCTACCGCTTCTTACGGCTTGTGTTGCAGGTGTTGTCGGCTACCTGGTACTCGCGCTTCTACGCAGTCCAGAATTCCATGGCGAGAGGGGAAACCCGGGTATATTTGCAGTGATGGCACTAGTTGGGATCAGCCAGATCGGTGCGATTGTCTGCAGTTTGTCGGTACTCAGCAACGGCATTCTGAGCCTAGCAATCCCGCCTGAGGAAGACGTCACCGCTATTGAAACAGACAACGCGCATGTTTCGGGTACGGTCCGAGAATCTGATGAAGAAGAGCCCCTGCTCGCTCCACCCGCTGGTCGAGGTCGGCAACAGCCCACGAATCTGAAGGGATCCATTGCAGGAGTCTACTCCTTGTTTGGAGGAGCGGGAATCCTTTTACTCACCAAGCTCGGCGGGTTACTATTCGACGTTCTTTCTTCAAGTGCCCCGTTCTACATCATGGCTGGGTTCAACGGCGTATTGGTAATCGTTGGCATTGTTAGTGGCTTGGCCATCCACTTGAGAAGCTGAGCAAATCGGTAGCGGCTTGGCTATCAGCTCGTCGGCCCGCATTTTTGACTTGGAAATTGTTGAAGCTCCAGCTGTGGGACCAACAAAATATTGACCCTCTAGGCGAAAGATAGTCGTTACATCTCTTCTCATCTCAAGTCCTACTACTGATCATCAGTTGTGTAACGCATCTCCGAGCGCCGGGGCCATGAGATGTTAGTGATATGGCAATCAACTGGAGACTCCTCGCTTCGGCGTCAAAGCCTTGTCTGCCAGGTGGGATGAATGCTATCTCGCTGGAAGCTAATCTGGAGGCTCGATCTTTGGCTATTTCTTGCTTTGTAGTAGCATGAATGGTCAATGGAAACGCTTCAAAGAGCAACAGGCCTTTGCGCATGAAGCTTGTTCCTCACTTGTAGAAAAGATAAAGCAGAATACAATGGGGCAGATTTTCTCTTGTACTTCAGGGCACTCTTTGTCTACACAAGTATATAATCGCCATAGTTTCGCTCGATAAGATAGCAGATTAACCCTCAATCAACCACCTCCAACACCATCTACTCACCAGCAACCTCGAAGCTTCAAGATGGTTGATTGTAGCGCCAGCGACACGATGTGCGACAGATGCTACGACATCTTCGAAAGGTAAAACCAACATCAACTACCAAACTCATCGATCTCAAAATCAAACCTGGCGTTTATCCTATTATCTTCTTCAGCACAATCCCTGACAGCACTGACCTTGTGTTTGCAGAGAATCTAGCCAACACTGTCTACCGCACTCTGCGCACAGTTTACCAGCTCGATACCAAGGTCTGGAAGTCGATCATTAAGGATAGTGTCAAGGGGACATTCACACTGAGTGTGCTTATGGATTTTCAGAAGTCCGTTGATTCAGACGTGCTTGACATAGTCTTTGGACAGTTTCCGCTTCATATGGACCAATGGACGAAGAAAAGGACAATGGTGGATGAAACTGGTATGCATGCCGGTCTTGATCGGTTAATGTTTTTCGAAGATATTCATGTTGCGAAGCAGGCGAGGACACTGATCAGTGAAGAGAGATATCTATCTTGAAGTCCATGGTTAGGTTTCTTGTATCCTGGGCTGCGACTTTCAAGTTGTGCGGTTGCGCTTTGCAACCAGTTTGCCAAATGGTTTCTGTTTTCTAGTTACTGATCGATATTCAGATATAAACAAGGGTTGATTGGTGAGTTTCTTTTCTCAACTAATGCCGTACGTAGATGTTGAGACTAAGAGTCTTTGACCTTGCATGACTCGAGAGAGCTTGTTTGAATCGAGCCATAGGCTATAGCCCCATGCTGCTATCAGGCCCCGCCGCCACTATCTTGCGAGTCTCGATCCGACTGAGGAATCAGGGGCGCGAATTATCTCATTTGCCTTGCCGAATCTTTCAACGGACTCCAATAGAGGCCCTTAAACGCTCTAGTCCCTGTCGCTTCCCCAAAACACAACCAATAACCAGTAGATGGAGCGACCCCCGATTCTGCAGAATCCACGACCCTGGTCCCAGCAGATTGGACAACATGGCTCCCTTTATATAGATCTCACGTTCCCTCAAAACAGGGTCCCCTTTTTTTCATGTAGCGCTTTCCCAGATCACAAGTTTCGCGTTCGCTTTTTGTGCACTCCATTTGTCGCTCTTTTCTGCCCTTGTACCTCCAGGTCAGGCTCCCACGTTCTTTGTCCAGATACTTGATTCAAACTTGAAGTCCCGACTTCGGCTCTTGTCCCTCGTTTTACTCAGCTGATCGTCAACAATTGATCAACATGCACCCACAAATCATCCGCTCTCTTGCTCTTCTGGGCTGCACCTCGCTCGCTGTGGCCAATGACATCGTCTCGCTCATCCTCCCAAACGTTGATCAGCAAGATCTGGTCGGCGAGGTTATCGGCACCGTAGGTTTTTCCATCTCATCGCGCGTTTACTTCCCGTCGACTGTTCTAACACTGGCTTCAGGATGGCCCATTGACGACCTATCTCATCCAATGCCCCGATGGCGCCGACTCGAACGATTGCGGTATTCCTCCGGAGGGCCTCACCGTCACCGCGGGCGATGATACCTTCATCTTCGATTACACCTACGAGGACTAGTAAGCACATTCCTACCTACCTATCAACAAATCATTCCCCCCAACGCCCTTTACTCAACTAACCCTCCCTTCCCCTCCACCAGCTGGCTCCGCCAAAGCTGCTCCCACCGCGGCACGACCTGGTTCTCGTGCGCTGTGACAAACACTCAATCCGACTTCTCGACCGTCATGACCACCGCCACCTCAGTCGACATGCCCTACCAGGCCGTCACCATCACCGCGACGGCCACGGACAGCGACAACGACTCCTCAACCACCGTCACAAGCACCCGCTCCTCCTCCGCCGCGCAGCCTTCTGAAACTGACATTGACGACGACTCCGAAGAAGCCTCCACAACCTCCTCCGGCGCTGAGTCTTCTACCACGCCCTCCCCCACGGCCTCTGAGGAGGCCGACGCCGAGGAAACGACTTCTGACAACGCGGCTATGGCCCAGGTGACTGGGTCTGCGGCTCAGTGGCTTGTTAGCGGCGCTGGTATGGCGCTGGCTCTTGTTCTGGCTTAGGTTGGATGAGGCTAGTATTGTCTTTGGTTGTGGCGACTATATTTAATCTTCCGGGTGGGAAATGTTGAATGCTGGATGTTTATACGTACCTACATACCTTATTATCTCGCATATGGATAGGCTATCCATCCTTGTTGTATATAATACGTCGTACTAGATATGTAAATCATGGATGGGGGTCAATGGACACATATTGATTTGATATTGAGTGATGACAACAGGATCGCTCGATTTGCCTGGATTAATCAATTTGTACCAAGTGATAGAGCAAAGGGCCCCGCAAGCTGCTTAGTCGACCACGGTCCACCTGTGCTACGTTCCACGAATGCCCACTACAGTTGTAGCTAGTCGTTCAAATCCATCAGCTGCCGGCTACAAACTACCAGAGCACAAGAGAGGTCTAGCTTCATAACGTGGAACTATGTACGGTAGCTGCCATCCTCTGCGTTCTATCTCCGCAAGTGGGTACTGGATCATCTAGTCATTAAGCGGGGTGTGGTCCACATGTCTTGTTGAGACCTTAAAGATCACATTTAAGGCTTCATCCCCGGAACCCGGGAGAAGAGGTTCCCGATCGTACTTCTCTTTCCGCCTCGTTCTTCAATCTTTGCGCGTCTGTCATCTGCAAGTGGTCGTACCTCCAGTCCGGCGCTGACGACGTTCGCGCGCAGGAGTCGAAGGTGTGCTTCGTTGACGTAGTTTTGCAGACTGCCAAGGGCTGCTTCTTGCAGTTCTATGCGTTTGTCGCCATGGTTCGATACTAGGACATGTTTTTCGAGGTCGATGCGTGAGTCGAGCGTGCCATCTTGGATTAGCCCGATGAGTTCCTGGACAAAGGCGGATTTTAAGTCTGTTGGATTAGATTGGTTGGCGGGAGTTTCGAGCACAAATATCTTCGCCATGGATTGTAGAGAGACCCGGTTGAAGGGAACGAGGTATTGTTGGATGGACTTTGTACGGATACGGGTGTATAGGGTCTGAACGTGGCGTTGGAGGTGGATGTCGAGTAGGTAGTCCGCCCGATAAGCTTCCAGGATTTCCAGGCATGGTCTAAACTTGGAGTTGCAGAAGAAGGAGATGGCGCGGCGAATGTGAGGTTCTAGTTCTAGGAAATTGCGGAAGGTATTGTTGTCTAGGACACGACGTTGGAGCTCGTTGCGGTCCATCGAGGCCAAAGCACAGAGACCACCGTAGACTGCAACGTCGTTTGACGACAAAACTTCGTTGTAGGAGTCTCCTAAGGTTGGTTCCGTCGCCAAGAAGCTGGTCGCTGCTTCTAAGTAGCTGCCAGAGTTGAGCTGTGCTAGGCCCAAGGCAGCCGATATCTTCGGTGCGTTCTTAGCCTGTTCGTCGTCCGGTTTCGATTGTAGACCTCGTAGTCGATGCACGTTGGATTGTACGCTCAGCCAATCTGCACGTTCAATCGACACACTGATAATCTTGAATAGCATTGACGCAATGTGGCTAGTCGTTGTGCAGAAATCTCTCATGCGCGAATAAGCCTTGAATGCAGATCCCAGCTCGCCGGTTTGATGATAATGCTGTCCGAGATCTTCATTTCCCATCTGCCAGAACAAGCTGTTAGAAACCAGTATTCAGTCTGTTCCATATAAATCGTCCATTCATACCCGTATGCTCTCTTTGATAAGATTATTTTTATATCCCCTAAGCTCATGTTCTAATCGGTCCGTCTCGGACTTCACGACTTTCTGTAACCGGTCGGCCCAGTCTCCGTCAAAGACAGCTTCAGCCTCGCCCGGAGCGACTTCAGCCAGTGCTTGGACAGCGCGCTCATATCGAGAAAGATCTTTTCCGGATTTCGCCTCGATGACCGCGGCTTTGAGAGCTTCGACGGAAAGGTACGTGGAGCAGGTTCCGATGAGATACAAGCGGTTAAATCTGGTCCGGCCTAAAACAGAAAACATAAGTAACAGCCAGCTAATCACCAGCGCAATTAAGATCTCAGCTCACCGGTATAGTTTGCGATATATGAGTCAAGTTCGAATTTCGGAGCATCTGTCCACCATTAGCGGGGTTCATATCCGGAAGTCTAGTTCTCAGAGGTACCATCCACCCTCACAAACGGCCCAGTGGAGGCAGTAGCATTGCCGTTCGATGATTCCATGTCCATGCCTCCTACAGCAGCCGTTTGGGTTGCGTATGAAGGGTAAGCCGCCTCCGCAATGTCCGACTGGAGCAGGTCCATTGTGAGAGATATTGTACTAAAGCAGTGTGTGATTATGGCGAATAAAAAGCCGCAGTAACAGTCAGAATCGAGGTCCCCAGGCCTATTATGATTTCGATTGAGCGAAGAAGATCCGAATGGCCCCTCAAGAAAACGACAAGAACAACAAGGTCCGGCCGATAAGTCACTTCAATGTGGGGAATTGTCTGGAAGTCCGGTTGGATCTGAGGGTTGTTACGCTCGAATCCCTATATCGACTTTCTTGCAGGTATAGGGGTACTCTCTGGGAGTCAAATCGCTAGTTGAAAATAAAGAAAGTCCGCAGATGTACGAGAGGAAGATCGTATTGAGCTGGTCGCTGAGCGGAGACATCTCGTATCTGGAGTGATAGTATTGACGTCTTTTCCGGCCGCGCTCTTTTACCGCCTTTTCCACCGCTCCATTGTCCACTCAAACTTGTGGTTCGCTGACATCCAGCCAATCTTACCTTTAGATAGTTACTTACTCGAGTTCCAGTTCAAGCTGCCCGCTATGGCTTTGCGTCTTCGCTCAAAGAGAGAAAGGTAAAGACTCAGAAGAAGATATTTCAGACGAGTATTTCCTATTTCTCCTACAAATGTCGTTTCATAATTACAGTTGAGCATCGGACGCTCGGAAAATAAGATCAATAATGAAGACGAAGTTGCATGAAAGACAAAAACTCGAGAATTATGATTACCCATGGTACAGTCATGGAAGGAAATGAAACGACGTCCCAAATGCTGCCGCTATGCCACCTCAACATTGAAAACATCAGAGAAGAATCGCAAAACCCGCGAAGAATCCCCCCAGGACGATGGTGAGGCCATAGACCTGAGTAAGGTCGGTCAAAGGCCGGACAGCTGCGTCCTCATCATCGGGAAGACCAGTAAAGGGGGCCGGCGAAGAGGTGGTAGGGCTAAGGGTGTCGGTGGCACTAATCGACGTGGTAGAGGTGGTGTTCGCGCGCCTTGGGTTTTGAGCTCCACAAGGATTGGCAGTGCGGCATTTATCTTGACAGTTGGTGTCGGATTGAGGGCAGGCATTGACGCACTGGTTGTTTTGTTCGGTGCAAATGTAGTAGGGTATAGTCTGGGAATATTCGGAAGCGTTGGGCGATTGGCCGTTGTCACAGACACAGTTATAAGCAAGGGTATCCTATTCGCACAGGCCCGTCAGAAAGAAGCCATGGGAAGGCAAGGTTCTCAAGGGCGACGTACAGCGTCACAGTCATTATAAGTTGGGTTCTCGGATGCACCGGGAATCTGAAGGCACAGAAGAGGACAGGCCCCCCTCTGTGAGACGCACCATTGCTCTGGTAAGATGATAATGTCAGCTTGGCTTCAGACAAGCAGCAGTGTGGGAAGCAGTACCTCTCGTGGCCTTTTCAATGTCCTGGGGGTCGATTTGGCATTGTACGAGGCCAGCCACGGAGGCGATGGCAATCAGGGAGCCCAGCAAGACCATTTTCAACAATCTGGAGTAGCGACTGAGGGTGGACAAAGAATAAGGTGACTCGGGGAGGTTCTATTCAATAGGCAATAGAATCGTTAGCTCAGCCAACTTGAAATTAACGAAGACCAACGTACTGGTTTTTAAGTGCAGTCGAAAAGGAGAAGGAAAAGAAGGGCCCCAGAGGAGGTGGAGTCAAACGAATGGATTCCGGGGTAAACAGTCGAAGGTGCGAAGGGAGAAAGATAAAAGTAGAATCAGAATGGGATTATGAAAATGAATGGATCGTTGTGCCAAAGGCCCTGAATATGTACTTTTATTCTAAGGTCCCACTCGGTGTTACTCAACTATCTGTCATGGGTTGAGCTTCTGTGGCGGCGCTATCTGCCTTTTAGCTTTGGATGGCTAGTGTGATTTTTTTTAGATCCGGCCATCTCCAGCCCTTGGAAGTGAGCCGATCATGTAAAGAAACAGTTTTTGCATCTTGAAAGCCTCCGAGCCTCATATCCTCTCATCTGCTACATGTTTCGACTCCTGCTAAGGATAAACTCGTATTGGCCAACTTCCCCTGATCAACTCAGGAGACGGCGGAAATATCAGGCAAAAGAAAATATGTCGATCCGGGGACACTAACCGGAGCTTCTGTTTCATCCAGATAACATTGCTCGGGATTCGCCTCTGCTGGTCTTTCAACACAAATTGATCATGAAAGGGCAGGCAAGTACGGAGTAGTACGTGGCCATCTAGGTAGCCTACCGTACTTTGTGAGACTGCCTTCGCGGTAACGAGTGGAACAAACAGCATTCATCGTGCAGGTGGCCGGCAGTAAGTGCAGTGCGAAGCGAGCTCGCGATGGCCACTGCTTCCCCTCTCTACAACATGCAATGGGAAACGACCGTTAGGCGTTGATTGGTCCTTTTGTCCTACCTGCTGTACTGTCAGTCCGTGCTATACCGACTAAGCTCCACAAGATACTCACATGGTGCTGGAATGTCTTAGAAAGTCGGAGAGAACGAAGTTGGGTGCCTTCACGGATGCGGATTAGGGGTCTGGCGTCTTATTGCGGGAGGCCCTGATTGGACCCTTAAAGGCTTGGCTTTTTCTAGCGCGAACCTCGGTCTCTTTTGTTCTGGAACCATTTTTGCTAGCTTCCCCAGCCCTTGGTGGTGCTCTGACTCGGCATTGCTCTTATCAGGCCTCGTGATTTTCTCAGTGGCGGTATTTTCATCCGATCGGCCCATCATACAGAACACTGCAACGTCTTCAATTCATGGAAATAATACTCCAACTTGGGCTCCTCTTCGTTAGGGGGGATGAAGATTAGCTGCGGCATTTTATGACAGCCACCTCGGATTCCTGATCCGGGAAGGCGTCTTGGCAATCTGGATTCCCGTGATTTCCGCTCTCTCGACCAGTTCTGGCTTCAATATCCAGATTCCATGCTTATGCTTCGGCGCAAGGCATGGTTTCTTTCATCTCTTAGATAATGCCTACGACTTCACTTTAAGCTGCACTGTTGCTCTCACTTTATTTCCTTATCCTACCGGCAATTCCGTATTTTAACTCCACTTGAGGAGCAGCAATTCAGTTCGTCCACAAGCTTCGCTCCGTCACTGGTTAGTAACCCGTCCTTGCTTCGCAAGTTCCCCGCCACCTACCCCTCCTCTCTTGTTGCATCAAACTTACCTATTTTTATCCTGGTCAATGTAGGAATTGCACCTCCTACCCTATTAGGCCCTTCAATATCTAAATGGATGGAGCCAGCGAATGAGGAGACAGGCCGGATACCGAGGCCACAGCCGGTCCCTGCTTCCCCTCCTGATCCTCCGCCGGCTTTTTCCAGCGCCTCTGATCACGATACGCCCCCAGCCGCTTCACACTCGACACCCAGCACTAGCTCGAGTCCAGTCTCTTCGCAGTCTCCCAACCACTCGCCAAAACAACGCCCGGTTTCAGGCATAGTTCCTCCGTATTGGAGCCACCAACGACATGCATCTCGCACCTCCCAAATCTCCGTCGATGGCGGACCAGCGATAACACTCGAAGATCATACTGAGGATCCCAACTGTGAAACCAGCCGGGGCTTGTGGGCCAAGAGTGTGACAATCGACGATCATGTCGTTGTGGAAGGGAAAACCGGAATTGGTGCATATGTGGTTTGGAATTGCAGAATTCGAACCCTTGAGGTATGTCTCAGGTGGCTACATGTGCTTATCGGCCGTGCATATGGAAATTGATCCATACTCTAGGGTGGTATCATCACAGTCCGCATGAGGTATATTCGCGAAACGCCCTATTCGTATAGTAGCAGAATGCTAACCCTTCATATCATAGGTACTCTGAGTTTGACGACCTACGGACGAAACTGGTAGCTGCTTTTCCGCACGCGAAGAATGCGCTGCCGTCGTTGCCGCCGAAAAGTGTCCTGTGTAAGTCTCTACCATATCATGGCTAGGAATTGGATGATATACTAATGACGTCTAAAGTCAAATTCCGGCCCAAATTCCTCGATTCACGCCGAGTCGGTCTTGAATACTTCCTGAAGTGAGCACATCCCGGCCAATCCATCCGTATACACCCAGGACTAATATCGTTTTTTGCAGCTGTGTACTCCTGAACCCTGAGTTCGCAAGCTCCCCGATAGTAAAGGACTTCTTGTTCGGGCGAACGTGCTAGAGCTGGCGTCCTACAGCACAAAAAGGTCACGATCAAGTATCCTGCCTTGTCTTTCAATAAGAGGTCCGAAGGTGTCCTCAACAGTCTATATATGGATACTACCACTATAATTTGCGATTTTCTAGCAGCCCGCATACGTGGCATGCATTGTGCCCATGATTGTTGAAAAACGATTGCAATAATGTCTCAACGGCGCGTGAGAAAGGTTATGCTTATCTCTAGTTTTCATTTCAACGGTATATACTTAGCGTTGCATACAAGTCGATACAATTCCAATCTTGCATACTTAAGACTAATTAAATCTGCTCCAAACAATCAAGAGGGAAAGGAATAATATAAACTCTATCACATTATTACTAATTAAACGAGTATGTACGGAGTACTAATCTATAAAGTTCTAGTCGAACGAAACAAGAGCCGCGAATAACAAACAGGATTCGTCCCCAGAAAACATAACATTGGGATCAAGGTCTCTTCCTGTTTCTTCGCGTACCCACATATGTATGTATGCCACATCAAATGGAAGTCGTAAGTTCATAGCGCGTATGTACGGGTTGAGGGCTTATCCAAGGGGTTTTGTGAACAGTATGTATACACCTGTGGAATGCTCGTATGTATGGGATGGGTGTATGTATGCGGGTGCTGGTCCGTATGTATGTTTGTTTGAGAAGATGAGCAGAATGCGTCAGGGAGAAATTGGCTGCAGGAATATCGCATGGTGCTTCACTGTCTGCGCAGCCAGTTCAATTCATACGTCGTATAGGACTATATCAATGGTTCTTGATAGTGCCCCTGGTAGAACTTTCGGCTGTCGCAGAGCGGAAGGGAGTTTCCCTCTCGGTTGGTCGGTCTCGACGAATTGTCAGGCAGTTGATACCGAGAAAGGTAGTGATGCGGTTGATCACGAGGATTGCCCAGTACATGTACGCGACAATTGCGAACAGGAAGTAGGTTCGCAGGTAGAAGAGCTCCAAGGAGGCAGTAACAGCAGGAAGACCAAGGAATGGGAGGTTCGCGAGAATCGCGCCGCCGATGAGCGGAGTCTGCAACACAGTCCAGTGGGGAAATGGCTGCCTCAACAAGTGAGCCAAGATAATTTTCGTGGTCATCCGCCCGAAGACAAATGAAATCGTCCAGCAGTACAGGACGAGTCGGTTGCCGGAGAGTAGAGACGAGTATGGAGAAAAGAGCCAAGCCATGTTGCAGCCGGTGAAGATGGCCATTGGTATCCATTCCTTGAAAATCGGAGTGACCGGCAGGTTTTGCTTCCTGCGGGCAGAGATGACGTTGTAAACGCATCCTGGGAGATGCCCTAGAAAGAACGATCCCAGCAGAATCGGGATCCACAGATCCTTCATAGAGTTGTTGCCGAAGATTGCTGGAAAGTTCAGAAATTCGACGATGGGCCGAGTCCAGATTTGCGGGCCATACCAGCCAGAGGCAATCATGATGGCGATAGCAATCAAAAGGCCCTCGGTAGGACCATTGAAGTACCCAAGATACAGAGTATGGGTGTGGTACGTCTCCCAGGTGGAGAAATACATGGCAAGACAGGGGACAAGAGCAGTCCAGGCTCCAAGTTGAGTTGAACCTAGACCCATTGCCGCGGTTTCGAGGAGACTGGCGAGAGTGCAGTTGAGGGAATCAATCCCATGGCTAAAGACAATCAACATCTTTCTGGTCAGCCTTCGCAATCCACTCACTCAAAGAGCTCTCCTAGTCCACTAGACGTGCCAGTCCTCCGCGCTTGTTTTCCATCGACGTTATCCAGCGTCGAGTACCTTTTATACGCGTTAGTCGTCTTTCGAGTATTCGTCGTCCACATGTCTTACATCCACATTCCCAGGGCGAAACTGTAATAAAGCCAAGACGGCCCCTGCAGAAGAGGTTTAGTAAAGCGGCGATGATCTCACGATGAGAAACTTACCGGACCAACAAGGTCAGGCATATAGACCTCTATGAGCATGACATTGCCCACGATGAACAGGAACCCAAGGAGGGTGACCATGTTCGGGGCCAGCCACAGGGGCAACAGCTCGACAAATGCATTCCACTACACCCCACCATTCTTGTTAGAGATTGGATGTGGTTGGAGCAAGGGCGCAATACATAGTGTCTTAGAATGTAATTGGAGATGTACGACTTATCGACGCTCGAGTACTTGTAGCTCTTAAGGGGTAAGAGGACGTCGTCGGAGAGGGAGTCTTGAATCTCTAGTGATCGCGCAGTGTGATTAGCTCTGAAAATGCCAGAATCCCGCTGTCGGAGAAAGAACTCACCCCGGAGCCTTCGAAATATTCTAATCATTTTGAAGAATTGTCGGTACGATCTGAAGGAGTTCGGGAGTGGTGTTATGCGACGGGCGAGATCAGTTCATAGCGCGCGGATACGGCGTCGAAAATTAAACAAAAGTAAGGACCAGCCAATATTTCAAGAAGAAGATGTTGGTTCTCTCAGGGGATCCCTCCTTGCAAAGAAAATAAAAGGAACAGTCGACCGGCGAAGACTCGAAGAGCAGTAAGGTCCACTTTTTCAAGAGTTGGAATGCGAGTCAGGAAGCCGGATCTGTTCCTGAACCTCGACCAGCACAAGCTCGTTCCTTATCACGTGCATGCAATGCTGATCTTCCGCCAATTCCCCACTCAGCTTCCCTTGGACCGTTGGACGTTTTCGTCCTTTCTCTCAATTCTCAAGTCCTAAACATGATGAGATGTTAAATTCGTTGAACCATATCAGCATACGCAAAAGGAGCCCATGACCTGCATAAAGGCTTTTGTGGACATTCCCCGCTCTTGGAAATATACAATGCATCCTGGGACACTGACGCGATTCTCCGAACCGTACTATAGTTTATTGAGGCGCTGTCTATGCAATTCAACATTTACCCTTCTTTGAGTCCTTTCCTTGCTGTTTCTGCTTATGCTTGCCTTCTTACTTTTCATGCAGGCCGATACCACCTAGAGACAACAAAAAAAGTAATACGCCAAATTGTTGGCTAGCAACAATCATGTCACACTCAGGCGCCTGGGACGAATGGTAGTGTTTGGACTCGACAACGAGCCTGCCTATGATTCAGCCACCGAATTCCTGGTACGCTTGGGGAAAGGTACCTGCTCTCGAAATCTAATGATGACTCGAAAAGTTTAAAATAAAATTGCCTGTGAGAGAGCCGACCTTTCACGGTACACAGTTGCCCTGGGGGTATATTTGCATATTTCCAAGGCCACGCTTCTTGAGGAAAGCTGCATAACACCATTATTTGAAGACTACTAGTATCAGTACTACTCGTAGCCACTCTAAGGGGCCTCGAATCAACAAGCGTTGCAGGGTATCTGGGTTCATATTCTTCTTCGCTGCCTGATGAGTAACTGCTCGGCTTGGCTCATGACTCCGCCTATTGGCTTCAAGGCTTGATGCTTTGCTTTATTCTAACTGTATATCTCTGTCTATATTACTTTGTCTTGTAGTTGCGACTTTCGACTATCCTTCCAGTAGTTGCGATTCTTGTTCCTCGTGGCATGGAATTCTCCTTCTCTGGACTAAGTACAACTATATATAAGCGATTTGCAAGGACTCTTGCCACTATAAGTTTGGAGCACCTTCGGTGCACCCGTGAATTTTAGAACTAATCGGTTACTAGTTACAAGCAATGAGCCACTCTAATAGTACTAAGAAGTGTCTAACAGTTGTAGATCTATACAAGGTGGAAAAGTCAACCTGTTTGAGAGGAGATCACGTGGCGGGCAGCTCCGCAGCTTTCGGACGGCCAATATAGGCGCGCCATGAGATGAAAGTTATTGAAGAGTGAGAAACTTGTCGGCACTTGGAGCAGGACCGCGGGCAACTACCTAACACACTGGCAGGCTATCGATTCACCTCACTTGAATACACGTCATTATTTCCCTGTCACTGTTGTCTTATTCCCCCCTCAACACTTTCTCAACCGCCAACCACCCCAGCTACGTTGGCTGGCTCAAGCTGCTCCCCGCTATCAGATCCTCAACCATTCTTTCATCCGATTCCCTTGTGACTACGCCTCACGATCAAATTGCCATCAGTTCCGACACGATCGCTCCTGGAGCCTGGACATGACGGTGGTTGGTCAGCTTGGCGCTCGCGGCGCAGTACATGACTGAGTATCTCGCGCGATGCCGGGTGTTGTCGATACTCTCGCCGGCCCAAGCTGGCCAGGGCTGGGATATACGGTCGCGCACCAAAAGGTCGAGCTGGAAATAGATTTCGCCAACCGGAGCCTCAAGGGCAAAACCGAGATCATAATTCACCCGCACTATCGAGATCTGCGCACGATTCGGCTGAACTTCAGACAGGGAGAGTTAAAGCGTCTGAATGTTAGCGGAAAAGTGCCTACAGTCAAATATGTCGACCCCTACGAGTCCCTGCAGCTATACGGTCCTCATTACCACCCGCGTCTAACGTCGAAAATCGATCGCCTCCTCAAAACTCCTGCTGAACCCGATCTCCTCGTGACCCTTCCGAAAAGCGTCCGCATAGAAGAGCTTGACCCGTTCTCTGTCGAGGCTCAAGACCAGATGGCGTTGCGTGCCCCGGGAACAACGGACGACACGGAGGGACCATTAAGCTCGAAAGCTGCGGATACTTCTCTCCCGCGTTTCACAGCGCTCACAGTCTACATCGAGTTTGTGGTGGAAAACATACGGGATGGTTTACAGTTCGTTGGATTAGAAGGTGGTGACAGGCGCTACCCGCACGCCTATACGACAAATTCGTTAAACCATGGCACTGGATGTCCTCTCTTCCCATGTGTTGACGACCCATCTTCGCGCTGTACCTGGGAAATCTCAATTAGATGTCCGTGCACCCTTGGTGATATCTTCGAACGCAAATCGCGGGACCAGTCAGGCACAACCGGCAGTCGCACAAAGAATCACGATCGATTTTTTGCACCGGACGACGAGGCTCTCGACTTGTCCGTTGTTTGCTCTGGGGACTTGACGGATGATATTGTTGACCCGAGGGATCCCAGCCAGAAGACCGCATCGTTTGCTTGCTACTCGCCCTTGTCTGCTCGTCAAATTGGGTTTGCTGTCGGTCCTTTCGAGTATGTCAACCTTTCCGATTTCCGTGAAAGCGATCAGGATGAGCAGCTTGGCCAGAACGCCATTCCCTTGCATGCATTCTGCCTACCTGGCAGGGGCGATGAAGTCCGTAACACCTGCTTCCCGATGGCAAAAGCCATTGATTTCTTCTCATTGACGTATGGGTCTTACCCATTCGCAAGCTACAAGATATGCTTTGTCGATGACGCACCAGAAGACACATTGCCAACAGCTTGTTTCTCAATCTGTAGCAGTCACCTTCTGTTTCCGGAAGAGATAATTGACCCCATGTACGATTCGACTCGAATTATTACACATGCGCTGGCCGTCCAATGGATTGGGGTCAACATTGTCCCCAAAGAGCCGGCCGACACGTGGGTAACAGTCGGAGTTGCTTGGTATATCACAGATACCTTTATGCGCAAACTTTGCGGAAATAATGAGTACCGTTTTCGACTCAAGCAAATGTCGGACAGGGTTTGTGACCTCGATTATGAACGCCCCTCGATACACGATATGGGAAACATCCTGAGCATAGACCCATCGGAGGCCGATTTCATAGCGCTCAAAGCGCCCCTGGTCCTCTTCATTCTGGATCGACGTCTAACTAAAGCCAGTGGAAAGGCCACAATGTCCCGGATTATCTCCCGCCTTTTTTTGAATGCTCGCATGGGTGAAATACCAAATGGCGCTGTCACCTCTTCCCTGTTCCAAAAAACATGCGAACGGCTTGGGCACGCAAAGTTGGATACATTTTTCCACCAGTGGGTTTATGGCGCCGGGTGCCCGCGCTTCCAGGCAACTCAGAGATTCAACAAGAAGAAACTGGTGGTGGAAATGATGATCAAGCAAGTCCAGTCAGATCAGCCAAGCGTCCGAGACCTGGAGAAGCATGCTTTCATGCGTGACGTGAAAGAAGAAATTCGAAACGTTTATGCTGGTGTAATCCAACCAGTATTTACAGGCTCTATGACGATCAGAATCCACGAAGCCGATGGCACGCCATATGAACACATCGTTGAGATCAAAGAAGGCATCACAAAATTCGACATACCATATAACACAAAGTATAAACGTCTGAAACGAAACAAGCGACAGAAAGAGCGGGCGGCTGCAGTTGTGGGAGCCGACGGCAACACGGAAGTACAGGAGGATGTGCTGCTTTACTGTCTTGGGGATGTATTGCAGACGGAGGAGGAAATGCAACAATGGCGACTGGCGGATTGGAGCAAAGAGGATGAAGAGAGAATGGGTCAGGAGTCTTACGAGTGGATTCGCATGGATGCGGACTTTGAATGGATCTGTAAGCTCTCGTTGGTAATGCCTGGATACATGTATCTTTCGCAACTCCAACAAGACCGTGACGTGGTGGCCCAGCTAGAGGTTGGTCAAGATACCCTTTTGTCCTTCCAGACACTAACAGTTTCATAGTCCCTCCAGTACATGGCCGCGCAACGGGAACACCGCCTGATATCTACAATCTTTGCGCGAACACTTATGGATCGACGCTATTTCCATGGTATCAGAGCGGCAGCAGCACGTGCTTTAGTAAAGCATGCAAAGGAAGAGATCGATTGGCTTGGGTTATTTCACCTAGAAAAAGCGTTCCAGGAGCTCTTCTGCTTGCCAGGTTCCCCAATGACTCGATCAAACGACTTTTCCGACCGGGCGGCGTATGTCCTGCAACTAGTCATACCCGATGCGATATCCAAAGTGCGCGACAACAATGGCAAGACTCCAGCGAGGGTCAAGCGGTTTCTGTACGACAAGCTCAAGTTTAACGACAACTCGAACAACGAGGTAAGCAGACAAGGCCAACCCGAACCTATTTCTATACTGACCATGGAATAAGTACTCGGATAATTTCTATGTTGCAACACTGATGAAAGCCCTGTGCCACGCAATGCTGGGGCGGGTTGAAACACGCACCGACGATATCAGTGATTTCGATATGGAAGCACTTCTTGAAGCTCAGGCGGAAGAACAGCTGGAGAAAGACGCCGTGGCAGAAATAGATCGCTACCGAAGAATGGACGAATGGTCTAGCTCGTTCCAAAACGTCTATTCACGTGCGGCTCTACACTGCCAGATGCAGCTTATGCAAGCGAAAATTGTCGATTTCGACATCATGCAGTTCCTTCCCTATACCCGGGTAGGCACCTATGACCTTCTTCGTCTAGATGCATTCGAATGTCTCGTTGAGCTTGATATTTTCTCAAGCCCTGAACTGCTCCGATGGTTCGTCTTCACCATGTCCAACGACCCATCGGTATGGCTTAGATGGCGGCTGCATGGCCTGTTCGGAAAAGCACTTGCGCCTGTCGCATTTGGCCGCAGCGTGGTTCATGAAACTTCCGCTGCAGCAGATGGCCTGATCATTGAACAAGAGTCGTCAACAGAGGTCCGCCAGGCGGATCTCGCCCGTCGACAAACCGTTACCGGGGCTTTGGCGGCCCTCAAGGCCGAGGCTGCCAACGATCAAGTACTCAAAGAATGTTTATGGGCTGCGTGCAACTCCCCGATCATCGGGGTTTTAGAGCTATCCGAATTCGCGGACCTATGCAGAGTCATATATGACCCCATAACCACCAAGAAGGTTGCCCTAAAATTCCCGCGGTACTGGGGCGTCAAACACCTAGGGAAGGTAAGAAAGAACATATCCACTCAGATAAACCCGAACAACCTGACCTCATCCCAAAGAACAATACTGACTAAACTCTCAGGGCCGCCTGCACTTCTTCCGCACCGCGAAAATCCGCACATCCCTCCACCCCGCCAAAGACACCTCATCAGCTTCCTCTACTAAACGCAAACGCGAAGACCAAGGGGCCCCATCAGCCCCAGGTCCCCGAATTACATTCAAACAATCAAAACTCGCCCCTCCCCCTCCTTCCACTCCCTCCTCCTCAACAACAACCACGGCAACCCCAGGCCACCATGTTCCAAAACCAAAACTCCATATACCGAATTTCCCCAAGTCCACTCTGCCACATCCACCAGTGCTCGGTGGAACTACTACACCCACGACTCCCGCAACGCCTGGTGGCGGGCTCAAGCTGAAGCTGAAGATTGGGCCGCAGCCGAAACATTAGAGATTTTTAATGAGTGTTTCATATTTATTTCTCTTTATTTTTATGATTCCTGTATTGTATCATTGATCTATAGTTATGTTTTTTTCCCCTACCCTTATTTTTTCATATACTTTCGGGGTGGGTGCGGCCGGACGGACAGGTGTTTGGATTGAATCGAATGCATGAGCTTTGAGCGGCCTGGCGCGTGGAAGGAACGGAATGGATGGATGAATCCTTAGGTAGCATTGTGACTAAAATACACTCCTATCTGGGAATATCCAACTTGGCATATAAGCATGCTCAACCTGCAGAATGGCGTGTCGGTCGTTTCAATGCTCATTGCAAACGCATACTGTTGACTGCGCAGCTGTCCTAGCGACTTCCAAGCAACTGCGGCGGTCGTATACAGGAAGCTCTGGAGATATCGAAGATTAGTGTATCTCAACTGAACATTTTCTTTTCTCTCTCATAAGCAAACGTGACAAAATCGGCAAACTGTAGTTCCATGCGAGCAGTCCAACCCGTGAACTCCGTCCTTGTTGTTTAAAGTGATCCCACATACATCGATCGTATGGTATAAATAATAAAAAGCGTAGTCGATCAGGACATTCCACCCCGTCCATTCCTCTCTAATGACAAACACACACACGACCTCGGTTCTATTTGTCGCTTATCCGCTCGAGAGCCTAGAAGATCGTGAAATTAGCAATGTGTTCTAGAACTAGGGCAGAGGAGGTTTGTAGGATGAAGAATTAGTGCTGTGCTGGACATACCTCAAGCATGACGACTGAGTTACCGCGGATGACCTGGAGATGAGCGAAGAGCAGCTGGTTAGTGGCACGCAGCGCAAAAGGGTGAATAACCAATGGATAAAGTATGGGGGTTCCCAGCTCAGCAGCACTTACAACCATGCCGATAGCGACCTTCTCTCCGCCTTGTTTCTCCTCAACCGCGTCGTCCAGCACAATGTTCATAAAAACCTATAACACAGGTGATTTGTTAGGCTCTTGTTCATGAAGTGGCGTGTGAAATGCGTGAAATCCAAGAGATCGTTAAAGGGCGATTACACACATCGTAGCCTCGTAGGATGCCAATGACTTTGCGGTTGCCGTTCAGTTCGCAGAATACCCGCTTCTCCATATACTGCAAGGCCGATAGTTGTTAGCAGTGCACGGCTGGTTATTTAAAAAATTTTGCAAGCGACTGACCTTTTTCAACTCGGGTTGTGCTTGAGGCATATTGGCGAATGATTTGAGTCTAGTTCCTGCCTTGGTGTCTAGATTGATCGCGTTGCGGAACTTTTGATATCGGCGGGAGTGAGCTGCGCTCGGAGAATCAATGTTCCCGATAGCTTAAAATTCCCAAGTGACGCAGTTGTTGTTAACAAACTTCAAGGCAACTTTACAAAACTAGGATTAATATACGAGAGGACTTTTCTACCAGAGACTACTATGAGCTCCGGTTTTGCGAATCGAAGAAAGCCCCGCAAGATCGCGGGGACTGACGAGGACAACGAGGATGAAGGTAAGCACCTAATCAAGCACAGCAATTCTGGAGCTTGTGCTGACCGAAAGTACTAGACACCGGCCCGGTTGTCAAAAGACCTATCACCAAGGCGAAGCAAAAGTCCAAAACGCGCCTTTCTTTTGGGATCGGTGAGACTTCCATGACAGAGGGAGGGGATGACGAAAGCGAGGTGGTGGTGCCCAAAAAGCATGGTCTCGGACGGCGAGTGCTTGAAAAGAATGCGTTCCAAAAGTCAATTACACCGTCAGGATCGAGCAATCAGCTTCCGCTTAGAGTCGGACCCCAACAGGATCGACCGAGCTATAGCGCGGACTACTTGAACGAGCTCCGGAATTCGACACCTTCAACTCCCAAACCCGGCACCGACGATGGAAACAAGGGCGAGGTGGATGTAGCGGCGAAGTTTGGAGAGCTTATGACGGTTACAGCTCCATCGTTAATTCCCACCGAGGCCGAGATTAGAGAGAAGAAAGCTCGGCGGGCGAGATTAGCAAAGGAGCAAGAGAGTAATAGCCTGACAGAGCAAGACTATATCTCTTTGGAGGACAATGCGAATGAGGATTGGGAAGTGGTCGATAAGGAAGATCTAAAGGACACAAGACTAGTGCGAGACGATGAAGACTTTGCCGAGGGTTTCGACGAGTATGTGGAGGATGGACGAATCTCTCTAGGAAGGAAGGCCGAACGCGAGCAGAAAAAGAAACAACGAGAAACGATGCGAGAACTCATTGAAGAAGCCGAGGCGCTTTCGGACGAGGAAGACTCTGATCTGGAGGAAAAGGCAGCATACGAAGCTAGCCAGACCAGAGCTGCGATAGGTCATGGCGGCAAAGACCCCCTGGACCGGCCAAAGACGCCTCCAAAGATGACGTCGCTCCCACGTCTCTCGACATGTCTCGACCGACTACGGACGACCCTCGCTGTTATGGAGAAAAATAGATCACACATGATCAACCGAATGGAGGAACTAAGAAAGGAAAAGGCCGATATATCAGTCAGAGAGGTCGAAATCCAGGCGCTGATAAAAGAAACCGGAGATCACTATGAGAAGCTCAAACAAGAGGCTGGCGTTACACCCGGCTCAGACGTTGATACCCCAGCGACCACAGATTTTGAAAGTTCGCGAGGGCTGGAGAACATTGGGGCGTCCATGACGGTATCCAGAGCAAACTCGGAAAGCGAGACTTGACCTGTTGAGCCCGCTGATAGCGGCGTTAGTCGTGTTTAGATCACGCGCTCTTGCCTTGCCATGTCACTCTACCAGAAGGCGCTACACAACACTGCTCCTCGCTACTGATTCGGGGAATTCAGATCGGCAAAATGCGATTTCCGCTCGGTGAATTCTGAATGCTTCATCTTTCTAGAGTCCACAAGCATTACACATGGCACTTGCCTTTTCCCGCCGTATTCAGAACTCGGTCCACCCTTGGAAATCCATGTCCGATGAGCCGAGCGCCCATTTTCTCCCTGGGACGTTGGTCACTAACCTGGCCTGGGCGTCCTCGTGAACAAAATGAGTAAGTTCTGCCATCGGTGTCTTCAAAGCCCTGTACCATAGTAACTTATCGTGGGAAGACCACGTAGGGGTTTAGCTTTAATCGAGACACCTATTGACGAGAAGGATGGAGCTCCTCCACACCTTTACCACAATTCGGACGCAACCCCCATTGAACTGTTCTTCGATCTTTTCTTCGTGGCAAATCTATCTAGCTTTACAACCACACATGAAATCAACAATGTGGAAGGTTCGATAGCTTGCCCTGTGTTGGATTCCGCGTCTAATTTGTCCCCTAGCCCTCGGTGCGTATATCGGCTTCCTAGGAGTTATATGGTTCAGCTGGCTCCAGGTAACGCTGTACGATGTTCGATTTGCCCGAGATTCGGTCTTCGAACGATTTTGTAAGGCTGTACAACTGGGAGCTATGGTTGGATTTGCTTCTGCAGGCACGAGGTTTAGTACGCGTGTTCGAGACGAGAACGTATGGGCATTTCAGTCATTGAGCTTCATTCTTGGTGGAAGCCGACTCCTACTGGCTATCCAATATACTGTCAGCATCATGTTGATCCGAAAGCGAATGAGAAGCTCCGCCAAAGGCTTGTGCGTCATAGCCGCGACTCTAAGTGTTTCGAGTTTGATATACTTTGGGGTAAACTTATTGTGCAATTGGGATGGTATATACACTCACGGCTAACTTGTTGACAGTTGTTTTTCGCCTTTGGTGAAGAAAACTCGGCTCGTTCTTACATCTGGACAGTCTGGTTTGCGTTGTCTTGGGTTGAAATGTGGACGGTAGTGGCAACCTCTTGCCTCACTCCCGGGATTGGATTCCAGGACACTCATCTGAACGTCCGTATGGGCCTTCTCACACTGATAATCATTGGCGAAGGTGTCATATCCGTCACAAGGATTGTCAATAAAACAGTCCGGCCGGGTGGCTGGACGAAATGGTCGTTTGTTCATATTCTAGGCGTCACCACCAATGTGGTAAGGCTCTGTTGATCAGTCATAGTTTGGTGACTGGTGCTTAAGCTTGCTGCTAACTGGGTACTTTAGTACTTCATCTGGCAGGAGTATTTCGATCTGACCCCGAGGCGCGCTATGAGTACAGTTGCGCAGCAACTTTGGGCACAACTGCATTTCCCGTTCCACGTGGTGCTCATCCTCCTTCTAGAGGGCTCGCAGATTCTCGCCTTGACTTTGGATATCACCTTAAAGCTGCAGTATCTTGTCGAAACCATTCTGTTTGCATGCGAAGAACCGCGGCCGCCTCCCGAGCTGGCCATCAGGCTACTCCGACAGACAATAGAGGATATGGAAATTGAGTATAGCCGAGGAGCAATCAACGAGCAAATGGCGATATATGAGATATTGGACGATCTTCCGAACCATAGGCTGTGCCCAATCAACGGAACAATTGGATTCAGACTCACACAGAACCGGATCAATGATCTCGTGGGCAACGTAACCTCCGCTCTCTTCTCCAGCATGAGGATTGTACCGCCCCGCAGTGCAAACCTCAATCAAATGGACAGCTCTCAGCTGTTGAGGATGTATGTGGAGCTTCTGGGCTTCGTATACGTATACTTTTTCATTGTTGCGTCAATCGCAATGTTCCTTTTTGCTGCGTTTAGTTATCTTGCCCGGCGCCACGACAAACTGTTCGCTATGGGAGTCGGAGTGGCAGTGCGCATTCTCTTGGGCGTCTTCCTAGCGAGCCTTACGGTTTTCGCGAAGGATTTTGAGCTCGCATATTCGTTCATGAAGTCGCCAACCATACTATACGCATTCACGTTTGTTCTATTGGCGGGTGAGTAACCATCCACAGTTGATTTCCAGTGCCTCTTCCTGATTGCGATGCAGTGCTTTTAGTTGACCGACTTTTGGACCACTACGCTGGCTACAAGCGCGGCATGGATCCGACTCGACGCACCAAAGCGAGGTAAACGTGAGACCCTCTCGTCGCCACCTACTTTGCCCTCTGAAAACATCGAGCCCCATTCTTCTATGGCCAATTATCAGTCTTTCGAGTGGCGTCAAGCTTGTTTATGGTTATTGATCCTTCTCGATCAATCAATTTCTAGTCACCAATGAGCCTGAGAGTTCATTAGCACGCATGGACGACCACATGATAGGGTCCAAGCTTGGTAGACACATCTCAAGATGAGCGGAGACTAAGGCTGAGGAGCAAGTCTCTTGCATCTTCCGACGGCAATGTACCGGCCTTTGCCATCCCCAGTGAAGAGAAGCAAGCAATGCAAGACAAGATAGGCAGCTTCAGGATAATAATAGAACTTGAAACCTCTGTTTTCTGGAGTCCTGCCGGTGGCTAAGACACCCCTCCCACGGACTGCAAACCGGACGGAGAAGCATCAAACGGGAACAAACAGGAAAACGGCGCACTCGTAGGAGAAGGCCAACAATGGATATTGGTCCACGCCCACTCAACCCACTACAAAGTAAATCTACTCTATAATGATTGACATCCTGGAGTAACCTTAGAGGTATATCAAGGAGGGGCTGACCGTTTCACCCAAAGCTCTGCTGTACACAGAGCACAGACAGGAAATGACTCGGACGGGGAGGGGAGAAAAAAAACCAACAAACCAGCTGTGGTTGGATGAGGGATAAAAAGCTGAGGCGGGAAGCGCACTGACCTGGCCGCATACCTACTTACAGTCCGGGCCTGGAATTCAGTATGCGGTACACGCTGGACCGCTGGGTGATCAGATTCAGAGCAGTGCGATGTTGCGTTGTTGCACTGTAGGTATGCAGCGAGCCATGGAACTCTCAATGCGGGGGAAATCGTACTTACAGAAGAGGGTAGACCTGACTGCCAACCCGTGTGTCTTGTTTTCTTTTGCCATCTCGTCTTCCGGGTCCAGCTACAGTACACCTACACGTACGTTGAGCCCCAGCCATCAGTCACAGGCCACGGTTGTAAAAAGAAGTGTCCGGATTGTTCTGTGGAGGTGCCTACCCACCGGGTGCGGGCTTTCGTCTACGCATTGCACTGTAGTCCAGTTCTTCATGTCCTGCAGACGACAAACTGGATACGTGGATTCTGGGAAGAGAGCAAAAGGGATGTGTGGAGCCAGTCCTTAAGCTTATTGTCTGGATCCCCACGGAACACAGCGGAACTGATTTGCAAAGTTTGCGAGCGTCGTGTGTCTCCGTGTCTGTTCTGTTCTCGAACGTCATAGTGTATGTAGTGTAGGACGGACCTGGCATCCCTAGATGACTTAGGGTCAGCAATTTTGCAGATCATGTTGGCGCTAATATACCGCCAAGTGGGCGCAGACTATGACTCGACTCAGGGCTGTGAGGCTTTGCTCAGGTAGTAAGAGCCAAGTACTGCATATGCAGAGACGTTGTATGGTGCAGTCTCTGATATAAAGGCTAAAAGCCCCCCTTGGGGATCGGGGACATTAAGGGTAAGCGAACGGCCCCCAATAGAACAAAGAAAGCGACTCAGCCTGGAACGGCCGGACTGTTGAACTTGTCGGGTACATCGGTACGAGCTCCAATCCAATGAGAGAACAAGAATTCTCCGATCCAAACGTCTGATGCTTTTAGATCCAATCGATGTGTAGATCTTGGGGTTGGTCTCTCCTGCAACGTCGCGTTGCTCTACCTTGGATGTCTGTGTTTTTTCTTCTTTTCTCACGCTCTGGTTGACTTGTTGACTGTGTGGTTGTTGGACAGAGCCCTATGTAGGCAGCCGGCGACGGGCACAGCCGTGGGACGCGAATAATTCTGATGCCCCGCTGGGGCGAACATCTTGCGCCGAGATTGTTGAAGCCGTTAGGTATTCGGGTGATCTGCATTGCTTTTGGGGATCTTCGCCGGGAGCCGTGGTCCTTTTGCTAATCTGCGTCACCAATCCAACTATCTCAGAACGAGCAGCCCTCTGATTGTCACATTATTGAGACTTGTCAGTTGACTGACAGGCGGAGATCTAACAAGCAAAAATAATAGAGTTAGAGTTGGACCCCCTTTTTTTTGTTGTCTCCGGCTCTCCGCGGTTGATCGTCTTTCAAGCAGGATTCATGTTGGACGTCGGCATGTCAGTGGACAAAGGCTCCAAGCGATCAAGGCTTAGCTCTATATGGCAGTATTTCCGTCTACGAATTAAGAAAAATACTGCTCTGTTAGTACGATGAGCTGCTGCCTTGATGAAAGAAGTTAGCAATTCCCAGGGATATGGTACCTGCCCGCGGATTCCTTATTAAAGCCGGCCTCACTGGGGAGGACCACAATGAGAAAGATTCTTGATGCAATTCTGCAATAGAGCTGTCCAGAGCTTCTTCTTGTCTTGGCCTTCTTATCTTACCCTCATTATTAACGCGTCTTGCTTCGTCTTTGCCCTTTCCAAGTGAGACACTCCAAGACAGAGCATTCGTCCGCTCCCGCTATCGAGCCATACTGGTGCTTCTCGAATCCCCTCTTTCAATACGGTGAGCAACTGAAACATCATCACCTGCTGCACGTCACAGTCCTGTCAAATCAAGGACGAAGCAGCCGCCCAACCGATATTCGGACGCCAGAGAGGGGCTCGCTTCCTGACCACCCCGTTTCGGTTTCCCTTCAGCCTTTGCATCGCATCGTAGATTATCTGCCCCTAGAACTCCCCTGGCAGACAGTCAGTGCAGCTTTTACTTAACCTCGGGGGTGTGGATTACCTTTTGCCATCTCGTGGTAAGTCATCTGATGCATATTGGGAGACCCCTCCGTTCAGATATTGCAGTACTGACCGGGACCCTTAGCCCTGCAGGTGCCCCGGTAACCCCAATACAGTGCATGCTCCAGCATCGAGCTCTGATGCACGCTCTTCAGTCAACGTCTATACTGGCTTCAGGCGACAAGAGCGGTGTGGTCGATAGCAAGAGCCACTGGCATCACTTTAAAGCAATGCTCCATGCCTTTGTTAGGCCTGGCAATCCAGGAAAAGACCTGGCCTTCGAGTGCAATCTCTTTCCTTCCACTTCCCCTACATCTTTCGCCCCCATTGGCAGCACCCAGGACGTACTTCAAGCCATACCTCTTGACCAACAAGCACGGAGCACTACCAAGTGCCAGCAGTTCCAGATGGACGACCAGGTGGGGACCAATGAACAGTGTTCGAAACCGCCCAACGGAATATCAAACGGCGATCTATTGAGGCGAGGAGCCCAGACGAGGGAAGACCAGTATAGTCATTGGCATATGTGCTTCCCAATATTTGAGTCAGGGGAGACCAACCCATCCAACTTACTTCGAAGCCGATCATCATCGCCGAGCCCGCATCTCCTATTACCTTTCGATATCAGTCACTCCAGCCCAGACAGTCAGTACACAGCCGAAGACGTTCGCTCTCATAATGGTAGTGACACTACCCTTGAGTTGCTCCACCCTGTCCCGAGACAAAGTCCGTACACCTTGACCAGCTACTTCGCCTCTGAGAAATTCCCAGAGACGGCCCCGGTGTTTGGCACGGTAGGGAGCCAAGTCGATGAACGCATGTGCGAGAATAGCAGTCATCTGATGCGAGGTTCTGGCTGGACAAACACCGACCTGCCCTACCCATGTTCTCTCCAGGACCCAAAGTCTTCCGGCACAACGTCCGCACCCGGGGTGACGGATGCTTATGCCTCAAAAACAGTGGACAGCACATACTCTAATCCCTTGATGCCATCATGGACTTCCCTCAAGCCTCAAGTGCCCTGGGATGTGCAACGACACAATGCCAGTCAGGATGAAGAGAGTGTTGAGTGGAATCCCACGCGCATTCAGGGGAGCCTCGTCCAGCAGAATGATCAACTCAATCAAATCCCTTCCCCATCTGACGATGCAAATGGCCTCCCATGGATAGGAAATATGCCCCCGACTTATATCCAACCTTCATCACTTCTAGATCCGTTCAGCTCGACCTGCCCCAGTTCTCGGTACTCGACTGACAGCTCCAACACATTTTTCGAGAACAACAACCTTCAATGTTTCGATGATAGTCTTGCTTTCCAGAGCGGTCCACGACCGAACGAAATACCAGGTGCCCTTCTCGAGAGCCATGGATATTCACCATATCAGTCATGCGCTCCAAATCGAAGAGTCCCCTGGACGAGTGATGCCAGAAACGCATTACTAATAGATTACAAGCGTCGGGGCTTGTCCTACAAGGACATCAAGCGGATCGGCGGATTCAAAGAAGCCGAGTCAACGCTCCGTGGCAGGTTCCGAACATTAACCAAGTCCAAAGAGCAGCGTGTGCGAAAGCCTCAGTGGCAGGAGAATGATGTGAGTTTCTGGCCGTGACTTGGGCAAGTCAGGACATGCTGACGCCGTGCAGATCAGACTCTTATGTGAAGCTGTCGAAGCGTGCTCGGACTCTCGCAAGCATAGCCCCTGCATCTCCACATGCAGGTCGAGGCGATCGGGTTCTGCACCCAAGGTGTCATGGAAGAAGGTTGCCCAGTACATATGGGCTCACGGAGGCTCGTACCACTTTGGTAATGCCACATGCAAGAAGAAGTGGTGTGAAGTGCAGCAAAAGAGGTGATCAGACTTTGAGCCGTGCAATCCTCATTTCACAACGGCTGTCATTTCTTTTGTGATTTCCTTAGTTTCCGGCAATTTTGCGATGTCAACATGGAGCTGTAGATACCTAAGAATAAGCATTAGTGATAATCATAGTTTTAGAGGATGAATCATGCCATTAGATATTTTAACTCACGATGTCAAGGCGGCATGATCTGACCCTTGGTTCAGCAAGGCTGATACTACTACCATAGAAGAAATGACGAGGAAGACTGTGTTCGATGGTTGAGCAGAAGGATGTCGCAAGTCTGTGGTCAACTATGTACATATTTGGGAAGGCACCATCTGCTGAAATGAAATGGTCTATATGCCGGACTGCCAGCTTAGATGCCCTTATTAGAATAAGGGCCATGTCCATTCTATCATCAATGCCATATCTTGCATTACGGTTATCAGGCGCACCACATCTGCGGTCGTAATGCTCCCGGTGCTTCTCTCAGAGCTCCGAGGAAGGATCCTTCGTGTACTTTGGCAGGGAAGGCATGAGGACGAGAGAGAGAAAGACTCTACGCAGTAGCTCATAACAGAGAGACCTCTCTAAGATCGGGGTGAGGATAGCCGATAGCCTCTAGTACCCTCGCCAGTGAGTCTGGTGTCCGACGCAGCTCATCCCACTCAGCCTCGGCTTTCACCATGAGTGTACCGGCGAGAACCGTTCCGTTGAGCTCGACGATCCCGGCCTCGGCGACATCTTCGCGTGTTGCATCGTCGACCGAGATATGGGCACTTGTGCTTCTCCTTGGGCAGATCATCATCGTCGATTCGGTCATGGCGAGATTATAACTGACAACGGCTGGTCCGCTCGTTGCCTGAGCCGCGCTTCGAGGAACCCCTGCAGCCACTGCAGCAGCCTTGTATAGAGTCAGATATGTCCGATGCAGACTCTCCGCTGACGAATCTGAAGGTAAGGGTAGAGCAAAGTTCGCAACCGGGACTTCGGTTATTCGTCGAAACTCCGAGTCAGACGAATCAGGCCGTGATGAAACTGCATCAATCAGAGGTCGCCAACTTCCAGAGTTATCCGCCTCCGCAATCGCTTCGATGGGAAGAAACTGCAAATGTCTATGTGGTTGGCTTGCGCCACTCTCCTCGCCTGAGTTGAAGAATGCGAACAACCTTCTAGGTCGCGTGCTGCTCGTTTGATTTTCGTCCTTCCATGCCTTGACGCAGGCATACGCTGCCGCCAAATCTTCTTTCTCGAGTATGTCTGTTTGCTCTTGCCAGTCCTTCGTCGCCAGGATGAAGTGATTCGGGATGACTGGAAATTTATTCAAAACAAGGAAATGCGTAGGATTTTCTTTGGGAATGTGAGCGATCAAAAGTTCGGGCGAAGGGTTCTCAAAGGGGTCGAATCTCCTCCCCGTACGGGACTCATCTGGCTTGGGTTTGCCAGTTGGCTTATTCGCAAGCGCCGGACAATAGCGAAGCTGAAACTGATTGCACAGATGGAGAAAGTTAGCTGCTGGTTATCGCACCGAGCAAGAGAGTGAGGCTGTGCGGCGTCTTCGTCCTTCACTTACCGGGATGCCACCGGTGTGCAGGATGGCAAGATGTGTCTGGGAGAAAGTCAAATGCCCAGCGTCTTTGGCAGCAGTGAAGCGCTTCGCTACAAGAGCGGGCAGGTTTTCAGTGATCCCAAGCTGCATTATTGGTCTGACGTAGAAGTTGTAACGGATTGTTGGAGCAAACAGGACTCGTTCTCTTCTTTTTTCGGAGATGCGGGATGCGGGGTATGCGGGCGTATCGCCCGGACAAAATACGCGCCTGAGGCAACCCTATCACCAACACCCAGCCTTGCGTTTGTTTTGACGAGGACTAAAAAGAAAGGAAAAGATTTAATAGTGAACAATCTCCTCGCTCTGAACTTCTCATCTCACATCCTCAACAACCAACAGTCGAGTTTTGATCCTCAAACTCACTACCTCCAAGTACTCGCTTCGAAATATATAGATCTGCCTCCAAGGAACAAAGGGAACAACAATGGACGCCTCGAAACTGCTAATCGCCGGCCTGAATTTCACACGCGCAGAGACTTTCAGCTCAGCCGTATACCAATTTGCAGCCGACCGATCTCTCGTCCTCTCCGGCGTCGACCACTTTTCTCAAATCTCAGCAGAGTTGCAGCAGATATGGGCTCATTTCATACAATGGCTCTCCCAACCTGGTATATTCTGTCCATTTGTTAAGTTTTCACTACACTGTTACCAGTATCTATTGACTAACCGCCGCTCACTCGACCCATAGAAGTTCTTGCCGTTGTCACAGCGTGGTGGATAACATTCACCGTGGTCATGACAATCCTCCTATGCCTCGGATTCGGACCTGGAGGGATAGTCGCTGGTTCGTTACATCTGATTATACCCTACCTACTCCCGCTACCCCATTCAATATACGCACGCACACGACCATACACATATACAAGCACACAACAACCCTTGACCTACCCATCACCCATCTCAGAGACCCAAGCTAACAATTGGATACTCTCGCTCTATAGGGTCCATCGCCGCATGGTTCCAAAGTTGGGCGTACGGGGGGTTCACACCAGCCGGCGGCATCTTCGCTACCCTGACAAGCATGGCGATGCTGGGAGTGTTCATGTGGCCGTTTGCGCTCCTGGCTGTGATCATGGCGACGGCGGTCGCGGTTGTTGTGTGGTGGGTGCAGTAGACGCTTGCTGGTGATGTGGCTAGGTTGAGAAGGGTCTTCAGGTATCGAATTGATTCTTGAGTCTGCAGAGGAAGTCAGAGAGTTAGCTTTGGTTAGGTTTTTGGTCTGGGGGATGAGATGGAAAGAGAGGGATACATGGAGTGTAGACTGTTTGTTCACCTGGGTATATTTTTAACTGCTGGTGATCTTGTGAGACTTCTTGCGTAGCCACTATCAACCCACAAGCAGGCCTCACTGATGCCAATGCAGACGGGAACCTTGAATGCCAGTGGGAAAATGACCGCTGAGCATCCTTGGGGTCCGTGAAGGGTAGACATCATGCAATGGATAGTTACTTTTGCCTTTCCACCTGGCTGAATAGTAGGCCCTACCATTTACCTGTCCCGCCGAAAGAGTCAAAGATAGGACACAAAAAATGCAAGCCATGATGAGACCATTCTCAGCCGGCTGATCACGAGTAAATAGAGCACAAACACTGATTGAATGTGCAAGGGCTTCCGAAACGAAGCTTGTTTACAATATCCAGGGCACGCTGTACGAGAGGGTGCAGCTGCCCCAGCGAAATGTTGCCACCCAGCAAATCTACGCTCACCTGCTCCACAGCCGGAGACCATTGCGAGAGTCAGAGCTGGCTTGCTGTTGCGCAGCGTCAAAGACTGATAGAAGACCTCAGCTCACCACTAGAGTGTTTCCGCCTAGGTTCGGCTTCTAGAAGCCTAACTTGATGCTACTGCGCTGGATACCTGTCTGCTGAGATTTGACTATGGATAAATCAGGACGCCATACTCCAGGCCAGCTGCCGCTCATACTACCCCCTCCAGCAACCGAGGTCAGCTCATAGCTTTTCGCATCTTGCGCTTCTATCTCAGCCTGAAAACATAGGTGTGCAGATATACCCTGAGAAACAGCAAAGTAAACAAGGCAACCCACGAGGAATTAACCATGCTAACTAGCCCGTCCCATCATCACCAATAACTTCGCCAAGTCAAGTAACCAGGCCTAAGCCACGTCCTTGTTGGCCTCTCCATGTCCCCCAAAGGCCCCACCACCCTTGTGCATATGAGGACGCCTAATAAAACTCAAAAATATCGTCTCAACCGGAACAGGTAACAGAAAAAGGGGGCGTTTCAAAACGGCCCGAAGATCAGGTAATCTAAATTGGACCCGGTCGTTCGAAGTCGCGAGGCAGACAAGGCAATTGGCCAGACGAAAGACGGCTCAAGGGATCGGCTCGGTTTGGCACCAGGACGACGAGACCCCGGATATTTGAGACCATTGGATGAGGCTTTTAATGAAGCCATGCCATGTTGGACTAATGAGGATGCAGGGACGAAGCCTTGGCCGCTTATTAAAGAGCTTCCATCCTTGTCCTCAACCTTCCCAAAGCATCCATCCGAGAGGAACGATTACTCGGCATGGTAATGACAGACGCCGTTGGCTTGACTTCATGGGTCTGGCAGCTTGGTGACGCCATGACGGAGCACGTAACGCCAGATATTGTCTGAATTAGGCCATAGTAATCTCGAACTCTGAAACATCCACCTTTCTGTGCGTTGGCGGCTTGTGCTTGACGCTAACAAAGAGTATTCGTCTGGAGACCATCTTGGAGTTGGATTGGGGAGTCGGTGGACCCCGTCAGACTCAGCCCTGTCGCTAAGACCGATATTAATGCACGTACACTGGGAGTCCACCGGAGTTCCCGACGGCGGGTCGAGGAAAGGAATCACAAGGGTCTTTGCAGTGAAGAAGTGCCCCGACGGATCAGCCGTTGAGGGCTTGCAATCAGATGATTTGCTTCGGCATTTCCACAACACCAGTCTTGTAATTACGTCTGGACACGCTAATGTAGCGTTCGAGGCTCCAAGCATTGATGCAGGAGCATCGATTGGTGGTTGCGCAATTTGCAGCAATAGAGGGTCGTGTCGTCTCCCACGCCGAGAAATATAGGGCTGATGGATGAATCGCCCGCCCGGAAAGGAAAGTATCCGCCCGAAAATAAACGGACTCACGGTCCACGAGTCAGCCAGAAGGTCAAAAAAAGTTCAAGAATCTCAGAGAGGATGCCCGTTGACAATCCTGAACACCGGGTCTATGAAAAGGGGGGAAGGAGCAGATCCCTGTAACCAGAATTAATTTCAACTGAGGCTTAGACGCCTAGACGCAAGAAATAGGAGAACTCGCTCAAGGAGTCCGTCTGCGACTCTGCAGCTCTGGCAAAACTTCAGCCCTACGGGGTCGGCTTCGCCATGACAGTCAGAACTCAGAACACGTCGTCGTAAGCTGCAGCAACCCTGATGCTAAGACATATGTGGATCTCTGGCACGATATCTGTGCCGTAAAGTGCTGCTGACCAACAGGATGTCACGACGCTGACAGAGCGCCTGCGAATCGAGTAGTTAGCGACAGGCTGGATCCAAAATCATCTGTTTTCCAAAGGAAAAAAAAGACGACTGTACGTCCGGTGGCAGCTTAAGATTCAATCTGGGGAACAGATCTGGTTAGGCAGCACACAGGGGAGCAATGCCTGACCAGAGCAATCTGCTTCGAATTGCAGATGCAGTCATTTCTCTAACCAAGCGCGTGGGAAGACGGAACGAGCGCCCTCACTCCGCGAATGAAAAGTGCTGACATTTGCAGACACGGACACCGACTTGGACCAACCCCCCAAGCAGCCTGAGGGGCTCCAGGATAAGCTTGGCTATTAGGCCAATAGAAGCAGAGATCGCTATTTAGGACCCCGGATAATTGGGTAGGATGCAGCGCACTGTATCCGTACAACGTAACATCAGGACGGGGGGCCTTACCGCAGTCCTCGATGCTGACCAAGCCTTTTGTATGGAGAGCACTTGACTTTTCATCTCAGCAAACGGTGAGGGGAATGGTGCTAATCTGCAGCGATCGACCTGAAAGATGAGTAACCTATGATATTCGCCATTCCATGCTTTTGGTCAAGGGAGGGTGATCTGTCGAGGTGACAGGGAAAGCAGCTTGATTGACAGAGAGAATGCCACGTCTCAAGGGTCCTTCGAATATAGTTCTGTTCTCTTTTCCGATATATTACCAATTTGATACCATTACCGACTATACTTTCATCTCTTAGAACGGCTGTAAGTGCCTCGTGGCATGCATGCCACTATTGTCCGTGATTACGCGAGGTACAAAGCATCATTTCGGCTCGCCAAGATTTCTCGGGGAAATGTAAACTGGGCTCGAAAGAAGCGGCCTCAATTGACGTATGGTGTATACGGCCAGAGGCATTGAAATAAACATTCCGCGGAACTAGAACAGCGGGACGTTGAAAGACTGACTGAAAGACCTGGTCCAACATCTCAACGGTTGCTGCGGCTCACCTCTCCTGTTGCAAGGCGCGATCCAGACCGTCCAGGATCAAGCCGCATGGCAAGGGTAATGATCCTGCTGCCCTACAAGGGAAGTCCAGGAGAGTCCCCTTTTCTTCGGCAAAAACGCGGGAGAAATTGCTCACCAACAAGAGGTGAAGTCTTCGAGGGCAATATGTCGGTAATCAGTATCGGGCCATGTTCCTGCCTTAATGAGAAGGTGCAGGAATTGGCGCGATGGATCATTGATCACAACCGCTAGGCGTACTCCGCCGAGTCACACTTGAACCCAGAGAAGCGTGAATGCTGGATAATAATACAAGATAGCCGCCTGGTGCGAAACTCGAATTCGGAGCGGCCGAACCCATTGGCCCAAGAAGCTGCAGATCCCCGTATCTAGGAGCGAGACCGCTTCATGTTGCCATTTGGGCTTATTGCTGGTGTTCGACGTCAGGATCTAGCAGCTATCGGCTCTGCTTTTCCATAGGCCAACATCCGAGGGAACTAGCGGGCGCTGTTCCGCGTTATTTCTCCACTGGATTGATGGACTGGGTCCATGTGGTTCTGAGGGTCCGGAAACCGATATTAGCCCGGAATATCCCGTGATTTATTCGACACTGGACATTGAATGGCCACGCTTGTTGTGGCTGAGCAGAGAACTGGCCGTTTCTGATACAGTGCAGTTTAGCGCGAGGAACATTATTCATGGACCCAGGCTTTTGGTTGAGGCCAACGATCGACACAAAAAGATGAGATGCGAGCATCAAGAGACAGAGAACGTGGCCCTCAAATTAAGACCTCATGAATGGCTGAGCAATAAATCAATGCGTGAATGGTGACGATGGTGAGTCGTCAGTCGTGAGGGAATGAAAGTGAACTCTCATCAAGTTCCGAGCCGGACCCGAAAGAATGGATGTACTAGGAGTGGAGTTTCGCAGTGGGTTTCTGAGGCATCCATGATCCGACTTCAAAGTTTCAAGCGAGGACGGAGCCGCCGAGAGCGAGCAAGGGTCATTATTCGATAGCCCGTCTGATGAAACACGCGAAAACCAGTCAGAGCACGCTATACCTTTCTCTATCTGGCAGCAAAAAGACATCGAGATTCTGGAGTCTAGACTCGACTAGCTAACGAGCACCGCACGATACCGAGCTCGGCGAGACGTGTTAGTAGGTCAATAATGTTGACTTCCTGGGTGCCAGTGTCATAATTTTCGACTCGACGAGTCGCTCAGCTGGTGCCAATCGACGATCTGAGGCGGAAAATTCAATAGCTCTGGTGTCCACGCGGCAGGCGTCGGACTATCGAAAGCCAAAGGGTGCAGCACTGCAGGGGTCCGGGCCACATCGTACCATGCCTCTTTCGTAGGAGACGGAAAACGGTGCGATCTCATCGGCGCCAGTGATGATTGAGATCGCCGACTAGTGACTCGAATGACTCGTGCCTTGTTTTTGTGATCGCAAGTAGGCCACAGAATAGGACCGCTCGAAATATACCGTACGATCAGGGAGAGGGAAGAAAGGTACGAGTGACAACTCGCTCTCACAAGCAGAAAAAAGAAGTTGTGGTGATAGCTCATGTGGGAAAGATCTACCGGCAGCCTGAACCCGAGGGATACCGATTCACTTTCCAAGGTTCTGATCACAGATCGAACCAAGATCGACAAGAACGACACGAGGTGTCCAATCATGCTCGGTTCCTGGCGTCGACAGGGCCAGATCAAAAACTTCACCTTGTGATCAAATAATCATCAAACAGACATGCATGATGCCCCTGAGGCCAGAATTCCAGGGTTCTGGGCCTGCCATTTCTCCTGCGGCAGCGCCGGCTCAAGGATGTATCGAGTTCTCAACAATAATAGAAGAGTTGGGATTCGTGGGGAACAAAACGGAGACGATTGTGGAAATTGTTGGCGGGGCGGAACCTTGGAAGCTGCTTGAAAGGTGAAAGTGGAAAGGAGCCGATGCCGGGGAAAGCTTTTCAAACTCAGAGTTGGGCTAAGAACCACATGGCAGAGAGAGATCTCAC